AAGGATGGCCGTAACCATGCCATTGCACACGAGTCACGATGGGAGGAGACTCTGCACTCTGTTGGATATGGTCATGTCGACTGGACTGATGGCTACCTTCCAGAGACTACCATTCAGAGAGTATTCATTGCCCTTAGTTCGGGCTCACAGAAGGATCGCCTCCCACTCGACCCCAAGCCCTTGCCTAAGAACATGCTTACTGACCTGCCTGCTCGTGAGGCAGCAGTGGGAAACTTTGTGCAGAAGTACTCTAGTGGTTTTGCCCCAGCTGCTCAGAGCGGTTCATCAGATGCTTCAAGCACGAACGAGGCATGTGTACTCGTCACAGGAGCAAGCGGCAGTCTCGGAGCCCACCTCGTCGCACATCTCTCCAAGCTTCAGGAGGTGAAGTCTGTGATTTGCCTCAACCGAAAGAGCGCTGCGGACCCTGATACCCGACAGCAGGAATCCTTCCGCAGTAAGAGAATCTCACTGCAAGCCGATGAGCTGTCCAAGCTCAAAGTCATCGAGACGGACACATCAAAGCCGAAACTCGGACTCTCCAATGGTGACTATCTATCTTTGAGCACCCAGGTCACTCACATTGTCCATAACGCGTGGCCCATGAGCGCCAAGAGACCCATCAACGGTTTTGAGAACCAGTTCCAGGTTCTAAGGAATCTCATAGATCTCGCCGCCGCGGCTTCTGCCGCCCGCCCACAGGGTTTCAAGGTCGGGTTCCAGTTCGTATCCTCCATCGCTACGACCGGCCACTATCCTCTGTGGAGTGGCAAGGTCCGCGCCCCAGAAGAGCGAGTTCAGATTGATTCTGTTCTGCCGTCTGGTTACAGTGACGCCAAGTACGCCTGTGAGAAACTCCTCGACGAAACTCTTCACAAGCACCCTGACCGATTCCGAACCATGGCTGCTCGCATCGGTCAGATTGCCGGCTCAACTTCCAGCGGCTACTGGAACACTGTTGAGCACTTCTGCTTTCTAATAAAGTCTGCGCAGACTCTGTCAGCTGTTCCTGACTTTGACGGGGTACGTGCTGCATCTCCCATCTCCGCTGTAGAGTCATCATCGCTAACTATTGGTGAATAGGTTCTTTCCTGGTGTCCTGTCGACATCGTTGCCGGAACCCTATCGGATCTTCTTCTCGCAGACAACACTCCCTATCCCATCTACCACGTCGACAATCCCGTCCAGCAGCCGTGGAAGGAGATGACTCCACGCCTTGCCGCCGCTCTTGGTGTTCCATCCGATCATATCATCCCATGGTCAGACTGGCTCATACGGGTCCGCCAGTCGCCCCTCCCAGAAACCGAAAATCCTGCCGTGCGTCTTGTTGGCTTCTTAGAAGAACACTTCCTCCGTATGTCATGCGGCGGGCTCATCTTGGACACAACCAAGTCTTGTGAGCACTCCAAGACCTTGGCTGCCACTGGCGCAGTAAGCGAGGAGACTTTGCAGAAATATGTTCGTGCCTGGAGAGAGTGCGGATATCTGAGGTGAAAGCAGTAAAGGTGCTTAGATCGAGTTGGCGGTCTTCGTTTTGTATATTGCCGGTGGCTCCAAGTCACAATTTATTTTAATGCCATAGAATCACGATCATAGCTAGAATTGAAACGGAATGACTTTCACAGCAATAACACTAAGATACAAACATTTAAAAAATATAATAAAACATGTTTCTCATTTCAGGCTGAGATGAGTAGAGATACCTACTGTTCGCGCTCATGAGCTACTACAAATATTCACTAGGTCTTATCGTCACAGAGCCAAGGTTTGTGTCGGATCGCCAAAGACTTTTTGAGCTGCTATAATCTAACGAGCGTCAACATAAGGACCAATAGCTCCTCAACAAACTTTAGACGGCGCAGCCCTTTGATGCCACAAGCCGGGCAGCAAGGCAAGCCCTCTAAACACTGGGCAACTTGTACGAATAGACTTTTGATCAGTGTGAATAACAAAGAATTCGATAATCATCATCGCTATTTCTAATCCATTATATACAGTCTATATGCCTTCGAGCCCCATATCTACAAGCTAGGACAACCAATTAATATACAAACAAGGGCCATGATGCACAACTATAAACATGCCCAGCCAGCAAGCGAGTCCTATACTATGCTTTTTTCCGTAACTCGGATGTTTAATTGACCACAATGCAGTAGTCAATGCTTTAATCATCCTTTTTTCTGCCGTATAACTCACCTTTCTTGATAGTAAGAGCTAGGGCTGCGAACAATGTGTTAGATACTTGCCACTGCAGGCTAACTCAAGACTTACAGCAAATGGTAGCCGCGACAAACATCGCGCCAGAGTAGACTTGTACGTCGAGAAAGCCGTCTCTACCGGGCTTCTTCAAGCTAAGAGCAATCGCCTCGGCAAAAGTATACGGTAAGGCCAATGTCAGAGTTGAAAGAGAAATGACTGAACAAAAAATATTAGCGGTATCCTTCTAGAACCCGAAAGTCAATACATACCAGGTTGCATCTTCTCAAGGCCAAAAATCGATGCTGTCATCACCGCAAAAGTAGCCCACATAATGCTGGGAAACATGCCCAATAACCCGTACACCATGAGCGCCCCGTAAGATTTGCCGCCGAAAATCCAGATAAAGAATGTGAACAAGGCGGAGATGAAAGTTCCAAGCGTAGTGACTCGGATTGTACCGAATCTGTCGCCCATGAAACCGACAATCGGACGCCCTATACCGGTTGAAACTATAGTAACAAAAGCGTTAGTGTTATGAAGCTCATCACAGACAAACTATTACGCACGGTTGAACATGGCAGACACCAGAGAGCCCTGCTGCGCAGAAAACCCAACTTGCTGGGCATAGGCCGATAGAGAGAAGACGACGGCAACATAGCCAAAACTAGATAACCATGCCCATCCCAAGAATAGCCAAAAGTCAGGCAGTTTGAAAAGCTTAAAGTCGAATGCGGTGGCCGAAATTTTTGTGCCCTGGTTGCGTTCTTTTAGGAATAGAGCGCTGGTTATCAGCACAACAAAACATATGATGGCCATGATCCGGAATGTCCAAGCAATTCCCATGCGCTGAATCATGGCATTTGCCGCCAGGGAATATGTAAGGCCTCCAAATCCTGTGCCGCCTGTTGCGATGCCATTTGCGAGAGCCCGCCGTTTCTTGAACCACTTAGCAATCAGGCCGGCAGTTGCGGTATAGCAAATCCCCATACCAAGGCCGTAACACACGCCTTGACTTAGAATGAGCTCCCAGATAGTTTTCGCGAAAGATGCTCCAATGTATGCGCCACTGTAAGCGTTTATGAGTGAGTACTTTTGCTCATATGGGAATCAGGCAGGGAGAGCGTACGATATAAACAATCCACCAATGATGACAGTCACCCTTAGGCCTACTTTGTTGAATAGTATGGTGGCGAATGGAGATATGATAAAAGCTTGCAAATAGGTCAGTTAATTCCTCATCAATAAATGGTGCCGTAGTTGTATACGAACCAACTGAAAAACTGAGGCCTCCGACGAAGGCGAATTGTAACGGCGTCGCTCCTGGAAAATGATCATGTGCGAGATAAAATGCTAAGAATACGCCAAACATCTGGGCACTGTTGTCAATACATCATTGCCAATAGATATACAGCAATCGCTTACTGAATTAATGCCAAACGAGTGAGCCAAGATCAGCCAGACAGCAGCTACCACGACCCTATCATAAGATTTATGAGCATCAATTAAGCCAAACATATTTTTCTCCCATTGAGCCTTACCAGCCGTAACCGCCTTCTTTAAATTCCTCCTCTTCGTGGGTGGGCTTCTCTGTATCTGTAGGTCCATTTTCCGAACCACGCTCTGTGGTCTCTCCACCGTCCAACGGCTGGATAACACCGCGCGGTGTTTCAAAACCTTTGCTAGAGCCCATATTTCGATCAGTACTTAACTGGCAACAGCATAGCACCAAAAGAATCTTTGAAAAAACGACTGAAACATTTCTCTGGCCCGTCATTTATACCGACCAGGTGGTATTGTAATAATAACCGAGGAGCACCTCCTCGCCATATCTCCGACACTATGCCTCAAGTAGCAAGACTTAACACCAAAGCAGGCCAGTAGAAATTGAAGGATATCTCCGATGAGTCGCAGCCAATCATATGGGGCTTTTACCTCCTACCGCTACTCCAATGTCCAATCATTAGACAATCTTATTTCCTAGTCTGCCCCGCAACCCCAGTTTCCCAGCATGGCTCGCTGTCATCGCTTCCTTCATCGTCATTCTAAGAGCCTGTTGGCACCAAATCTTTTATCGTCTTCAATGTCTTAATCCTCTTTTCTCTCTTACACGATATCTCCGCGCCTCGTACTTTATTAGAGTTTCATAATCGCGATCCTCCGGCTACAAACTCGGTAAACCGGGGCAATGGATGAAAAGCCGCCAAGGCCTATGGCGGCTATAACACGCCGTAAACGCAATAGACTTCGAAAATCTTGTCATCCATGTCGCCTCCGGAAATCAAAATGCGATGGGACTCGGCCCTCCTGCCTTACATGTTTGAGCAGAGGCCAGCCTAACCTGTGTACATATGAGCAAGCTCAGCCTGGACAATCCAAGAGAACATCAATCCGGTATGTCCGCGGCTCTAGTACCATTGACTTCATCATACACGTATACTGACTTGCCTCCGAAAAGCAATCATAATCTTGGGAACACACCCACTGAAACGCCTGGTGGTACTGTTATAGGATCGGTCCCGGATCTCACTCCTCATGTCTCTTCAAAGTCATGGTCACCAGAGAGCATTCACAGAGAAAGCGAGATACCTATTTCGAGCGAGAGTCCTCAACCAATCGAAAAGTCCATCCGACAAAATGAATCCCTATTCGGGCCGCCCTCGACTCATTCATTTATAAGCCGGGTTGCTGCCACGATCGAGCCAGTCAACAAGAAACCAGCGCAGCCTAGTAACTTGTTCTCGGGAAAGCCATATCTCAATGACCCAATCGGGTTTAGGGTCTCAAATACTATTGATGTTTCCATGGACATTGATGCTCTTTTATTACCTGAAAAGAAATTGGCGGACTCCCTTGTGAACACGTATCGGCGGTTCTCGCTTCCCATATTTCCCGTATTACACTGGCCTAGCTTCATGAAAAAATATGATAATCTGTGGAGGTCTACTGAATCTTTTTCACTGTCAAAGTATACGGGCAACGATATGCTCCTGCTCTCAATAGTCAATGTTGTCTTAGCTATTGGCTGCCAGCGATCTGAACATTGCCCAGCCGAATGGAGAACGCGAGATGCCGAATCATTGTATAGGCGGTCAGTTCGCTTGGTATCTGCTGAAACACTAGACGAGTACTCCTTTGAGGCGGCGCAATTATTCATCCTGCGGGTAATTTACCTTCAGTATACGTCATTTGCCTCAAGATGCTGGAGTACGCTTGGCGTTGCCCAGAGAGTTGCTTACGGGCTTGGGCTACATAAAGATATCCCTGAGTCAACAAACCAGCTTGAACGGGAGATGAGACGTAGGGTATGGCATACTTCCCTTATAATGGATAGGTGAGACGATGTGTTCGCGGTCGCACCCGAGGCTAGAAACGATTTGTTAATTTGCAAATAATAGTATAGCTTCATACACGTTCGGATGGCCTTTAGCGACGAGCAGAACAAATTATGTGCCACTTCCACAAGCAATCGACGACGAATATCTACTAGAAGAAGGTGAAGGTTACCAACCAGCAAATAAACCTTCCAAGTTAGAGTTCTTCCGTAATTATCTCCAACTATCCGAGGTTCCTCGCGAGATTACAGATAGTATGCATGCGTTGGGACAGAATTCGATTGAACAGGGCTCAGCTACATCCCTAACTCAATATGTTAGCGAAATGCCAAAGTATTGTCTGCGGTTGGACGAAATGTTAGACAATTTGCCGAGAGAGCTTCAAGAGGCAAACCAGCCTGTTGTCGAAGAATGCTTTAGGGTTCAAAGCCTAGTTCTCAGTATACGGTCAGTTGAAAAAGAAGAAAGGTCCATTGAAGTGCTCCCTATGCTAACTGTCTTTTGTCTAGTTCAAACTACTATGTCCGACTTTCCATTCTTCGTCCCTGTCTTCTGGCAACTGTCGCAAACAGGACAATCCGTTCAGAGTTGTTAAAAGCTAAGTGTGGCACTAGAAGCCTCGCTATGGGGCTGCTTCACGACATCAATAAGCTTTGCGTCTCCACGGCACGGACAGTTATTAATAGAGCGCATAAGAATGCCCATCTTATGTATCAGGCCTCTACTTGGCACACATTACGAGGTGGGTAGACCGCATAAAGTCTCTGATATTTGTACCAATCTAATTCTTTCTAGTGACTTTTGGCTCGGCAACAGTCTTATTAGCGGCTAGCCTACTACCAGAATTGCACGTTGACTTGGATCAAGAGCCAGATAAGACTATATGGGAGCAGACCATTGGAATATTTGAACTCTACATGTCATACGATATCTCTGCGCAGGGAGGACTTCAGGCATTACGGGAGTATCGGCAGAAATTTGAGACGGCCAAGAAGCGTGAGGAAGTATCAAAACCCGAACTGGGCTGTGCTGATATACCGCCAATTTGTCAGGGCAATACAATGATTGGCTTACCAGCTGAAATTTCTACTGGACTGGATAATATATTCCTTGGGGCTGGCGCTTCGGGTCCGGACGGAGATCTTTCTCAGGCATTCTTTGATTGGAATTGGCTCGATTTTGACATTACAGAGGTAATGAGACCCTAGAATCTTATGATGCAATTACTTTTAGATATATATCTGCCGGATTAAAGGTTTATATCCAGGACAATGTCATTGATGTATAGAGTTAATCGACTAACTATAAATTACAAAACTCTGTAATGTCTCTGAATGTCTCTTCCCCTTTTTCGATCCATGGGAAATGGCCACACTGCTCATATATCACAAGCTTGGATCCAGCAATTCCTTCTTGCGTCGCAATACCCTGCGTCGGTGTACACACTGGGTCCGCTTGGCAAAAGATCATGAACGTTTTTGCTGAGACTTTGCCGAGTTCCTGCTCTTGGTGTTGATCTTTTTGGTCATTCCCTCGTAGAAGTTGGTAGTTCCACAGGGGAACAGTCTGAAGGCCATTCAATTCTTTAGACTGAACAGAAGCATCGGGATTCCAAAAATACACGGGTAGAAATAAGCGGATTACCGAGGCAAATTTCTCATCGGAGAGATCGTGCCACGAAGAAGTCCATGCTTTGAGCGGAGCATGCATCTTGGGATCCTTTTTCTTCTCAATAATCGATTTTTTTAACGATTCACCGTCGTCAAAGCCGTCTAGACGATGGTTCAAGAGAACAAGACGGTCCACTTTGTCGGGATATCTTATAGCGTACCAAAGAGCAATTGTGCCGCCACCTGAGTGGCCCAATAAAACCGGAATCGTTTCCAGCTGCAATTCCTGGCGGAGGTACTCTATGTCATCTGCGAGATGCCAACAGGTCATCTCAGATGCATTTGGCCTAGTAGATTTCCCGTTTGCTCTGAACTCGAGATAAATCAGGGTAAATGATTGTTCCAATGGTACAAGACCCTCTTGGAGGTATAGTGAAGAAAGTCCCCAGGCTGGCGGTGCAACGATCATAATAGGTCCACTGCCGCGCTTATAATAGTGCAGCTTGGAACCTATCTTGGTCTCGAATAGACTTTCTTCCATTATCAATGAATAGGTGATGCGTTTTCTTGTGGCAAGCGATATGCATGCAAAGAAAGCTACAATCCTTGCTGTGATTGACTCTTCGAACGATGCGGCATGCTGCTCGCAGCGATTTATCAGAAATTAAATAGTACTCCAGACCAAGCGGCCATATCCGGAGACCTGTAGGATGTCCAATCATTGATGTTGAGACCGGAGAAAATTCCGGGGTTGATTCAGTGCTCAACACTTTCTCAAACGGGAGCGTCCCCAATCAGCTCCACACTTTTAAGTCCAGCCACCATTTCTTTGGGGATCAGCCTTAGCATATATTAATAGCAATAGATTGTGTGCATCACACTGTACATGGCGGTAGAACATGCCTCTACTCGAAATCCTTTGTAGCTAATCTTTGGTCAACTGTTGTGACTTGAACTCAACAAAACAAGGCACTTGGCCGATACATGATTCTCATCCTAACAAGAGTATGTCACTTCCGGATCGCTGGAGTCAACAAATCTGCCCCGCTGTTAGGCCGATCAGTGCGAAGAGGAACCGAGTTTCAAATACAAGAAGACTAAAAACATTTCCATGAAATTGATAACTTTCGCAGTCGTTTGTACATTAGGGATTGTTTTGTGCTAACTATATCATAAGAGCTATTTATGGCAAGTTCAAAAAGACTTCCAACATCTTGGCATAGTTGATAGTGCCCAAGCCAGTAGTGGGATCCCATCCAGGCGTGGCATTGAAAGCCAACGATCCGCAAACTGAGTTATTGCCGGATGTGATGTCGTTAAAGATGTGAGGGTTTTGATAGAATATAGGATTCACAAAACCCACAGGGGACTTTCCGACTGCAAGGCGCTCCTCATTCACTCGGTTGATCAATGAGGCCACGATTGGAGTAGAAGCACTGGTTCCTGAAGCATTGTCGGGAGCTGGATCTGGGGTTGTGAACATGGGCAAATTCCAGCCGACAGCACTAACATCGGGGAATCCGCGACCAGAAGCATTATACGCATCGGTTGGTAGCCGGTTATACTTTTTGTTGTAGCTTTCAACTGCCTCGTGTTGGTACCATGGACGAGAGTAGTTGTAAGAAAAGCCTCCGCTGCTGGCGTATTCTCTACCGTAAGGATTGGCCACAACTTCTTTCGAATCGGGCGTCAACATTGTAGCCCCGACCGATAAAACATATGGGCAGCTATAGGAAGAGTGAGAGTAATGATTAGCTGCCAGGTACTTGAACAGCCTGTATGAAGACGTAAGATGAGATTATGAGACTACTTACTTTGAAGGATACTGCGCCGTTGTATGGTATTCGTCAAAGCCTGTACCACAAATCTCAGAAACGCTAGTTCCAGAGTCACCACTAGCAACTACAACTGTAGTGCCCATGAGCCCTAGCTTCATGAACCTGTTCAAGGTAAGCAAAGGCTTAGAACGGTACGCAAATGATGAAGCTTACTCATTACACTGGCGAAACATATAATTGACAGGGAGTTTATACTCTAAGCCTCCGTAGGACACGGAAAAGACGTTGGTGGAGTTCACGGTTCCGCAAGCAGTCAGTCCTTCGTAAAAGTCGGGACTCGTTGAGTTTTCGCTGCCGGGAGTTCGATTCGGGTTAGGATACACCGGATCAATGTCTGGATCATTTCCAGTCTCGCCAAAGGCCGAATATGTACAGTAAGACTGTTCAACAGACGGTTAGTAACCTGATGCATCAGAAACATGTATCAAAACCGTGAGCATACCCCGTCAATAGCGTCAAGCCAGTCTTGAAACCAGCCGAGATGAGAGTCTAGGCCATAGCCAGTATAATATATGTCGTCCGACTGATAGATGGTGATGTTTTGGGGGTATATCAGTGGGAAAGCTATTTGTACATCCATGTCAGCTTCGACGCCCTGGTTGTATTCGCCATAATGCCAGGCGCTCAAGTCAATTGACACGTTGGCCGGCCTTGTGCCTGTTGGTACATTGGGCGCATATTTCTCTACGAAAGCATCCAATGACTGTGGGCTATACCAAGATCCGAATTCGAAGAGGCCCAAAGTATTTCCCGGTACAGCCTTATCGCCAAGCGGGACATTATAAAGCTTTCGAACACAGTCTGGTGTTACCAAATCGTAGCAGGAGCTATTGGCAGCATTTCGTGACTGCAGTTGACTGGCATTCGACCGGTCTATTCCGCGTTTTTTGGGAGACGGCGTTTTTAGACCAGCCATTAGAGAGACTCCTGGATGCACAAAATCCACATGGTCTCTAACATAATGCGGGAGTTGATACCTATAAAAGCGAGCAGCGCAGTTAGAGATGGTTGATGCCAAACGAATACGATAGGCAAATAAAACATACTCATCGCATCCAACGGCAGTACGACTCTCAATGCTGTGATCATATGTATAGTATTCCGTTTGGAGCAGCTTTTCTGCTTCCGCGGCGGACGCATTGAACGTTAGCCATCCATTACCTCTCGAATGCTGGATTCTGTCTGCTGTAATTCCAGTGCTATCAAGCCATCTCTTCACCGTGTCTAGGGTTTCTTTCGATGGCTCAAACATTTCTGCGACCTGCTGTCTTGTCCAGTGCTTGCCATAGTTTGCCGAACTTGGGTCTGATACATCCCGAAGCAGCTCAGCGCCGCGTTCCAAGTTTCGCTGGGTGAGGCCAATGCGCATGGGAAGGACATCTCTAGCGGAAATTCGATCTCTCTTTACCCACGAGTCTCGCTTGTCGATATCTCGCCTCTCGTGCGTGGCATAGCCGTTTGTTGTTTGTACAGCATAAGCAGCTGCAGCTGTCAAGATGCCGTAAGCGGCAAGTTGAGATAAGCCCATGTTGAACGTCTGCTACAATACTGGAATGATATAATGTTGATAAGACTGTCAATGCTGCTTGAAACGAGGAACAAAGAACAAGGAACGAGGAACGGGCTTCCTTTATAGAACTGATTCTCTCCCGAAGGGTATGTTAACCCATGTCTAGGCTTGTATTCCGGGGATCGATCGGCCACAGACAGCCCTAGAAATCTGATCTTAGGCTGTATGAAACTCTTTACTTGTTCAAATTAGGCAACTCATCAGCTCTGTTTATAGCCCGGATCAACCTGAACTACTACTCTATAGGGCTACACATTTACAGCAACAAATCCCCAGGCACATAGAGCTTCTGCGCCCGCTTTTACCTCGCTTTTCTCAGGCCTAGCGCCTAACAAAACGGGCACTCGCGATATTTTACACATTGCTCGAATCATTCCACAGCTGGAAGCTCATGTCGTATCACTGGCTCCTATGCAGCTCACGAAAAGGAGAGGAAACGAGATACCTAGTCTTAATGAAAACTGCGAGCGGAGTAATTATTTGGAATCTCGAATATAATTTAGCCCAACAAATGCACACATTGCGTGTTTTAAAGGTTACAAAGACAGGCGGTGTACGTCCATTCAATGCATCGAAAGCTTCAGTGTAACTGTATCTCTTTACATAAGCTTCTCGTAATAGTTTTCATTATCATTAAACAGTTATCTAGCCTATAAAAACTCGCCACGAGCCGCCCTGGGTTCATTCTGCCGCAAAGAGCGGGCTACTATCTCGCTATTAGATATAAAATGCAAAAAGCATAACCGCAACGACGACCTGGATGTTAGTCATTACACCCGAGACCAATCCAGGCGCTCCGCTCTTGGGAACGGAGGGGATTGAGAATGATGGAAGGCCAGATGAGGCCGTATTGGTGGAACCCGAACTTCCGGATGAGCCACCAGATGTCTCCTGAGAACCGGGCGTGCCAGTCTCACCTGCTGCAGAGCTCTCTGAGCCAGAGGTAGCGGATGCGGCTTCAGAGACTGGTTCAGTGGACCCATTGACGATGATCTCAGATCCTGAAGTGGGAAGTGACAGCGTGTTGCCTCCCACAGTAACTGCAGGTCCTCCAGGGATCAGAGTTGTCGATCCGTGAACGAACTGCGACTGAGAGTTTTCGGTGAAAGCCACCGAGCCCACTGAGATGATGGAAGTGGGAGGAGCTCCGCTGCCAGTATTCTGGGGGCTGGTGGAAGAGTCTGCAGCACCACCTCCGTTTTGGTTTCCTCCATTTCCAGAGCCATTGTTGCCACTTCCATTGCCGCCGTTTCCATTGCTGCCACTTCCGTTGCTACCGCCGTTTCCTCCAGAGTTGCCGCCATTGCCCGAGTTGTTATCGTTGGATCCGTTAGGAGGTGAGCCAGCGCCGTTACCGTTGCCTGAGTTGCCACCACCTCCATTAGAGCCTCCATTGCCACCTCCATTTCCTCCATTGCCGCTACCTCCATTACCACCGCTGCTACCACCTCCGTTATTGCTTCCTCCAGGAGTGCCAGAGGGGCTAGAAGCCGATGTGCCACTGCCACTGCCATTGCCGCTACCAGCTCCGTTTGAAGAACTGGCTGGTGGAGGGGGGCTGTTGCCGCCAACTGATGAGCTAGAAGCGGGAGGGTTGCCAGCACTGCTGCCCCCAGCTCCCTGAGATGAAGATGAAGGCGGGGGTGGAGGTGGAGCATTGATAGAAGATGAAGGTGGCGGTGGTGGAGGAGTGTTGCTGGAAGATGAAGGCGGAGGAGGAGGAGCGTTGCTGGAAGACGAAGGCGGAGGAGGAGGAGCGTTGCTGGAGCTAGAAGGAGGTGGTGGTGGTGGTGTAGCCGAAGACGACGTCTTTGGAGGAGGCGGCGGCGGCGTCGATGTTGGTTGAGTATTCGATGTCCTGGGCGGGCTGGCAGCTGTCGTTGTAGTCGGCGGCGGAGCGGAAGTCGGTACGAGAGCAGTCACGGAGCTGAGCGCCGAAGGGGGGTCGTAGAATCTAAATGAGAGAGATTTTGTAAGAATAGCTCCAAGTTACGCAAAAGGCAAGTAAACACTTACCCGCCGAAGCCATCTCTAATACAAGATGCCCAAGCTGGGTCCAAGCTCCTGACTCGATCTGGGATCACGATGGTGGGGTGGCAGGGATCAGCTGTTGAGAGAGAGAACGTCAGCAAGAATAATCATCTATAGAGAGTGGTACAGGAGGATGAAACAAAACATACGCGAAGACTTCAATGCATTGGAAGGGTTTCCTGGGATGTAGTTGTATCCAAGAATCGTCGAGCAGTTCCTTTCTAAATCTTTCGTGTTGAGTGCAGCAGACCCAACCGGAGTGTAGAAAGTCAAAGTATCGGTCGTGGTAAAGACACCACCATTTGTAGCAGTATCGACGTCGGTATCTGTTTGAGAGCCTGACGGGGCGAAGACAATAGTTGATAGCTCGTCGGGATCAAATCCAACTGTTATGTTGGTAAAGGGCTGGCCGACCACGCCGCAATAGTCAAACGCAGAGAGTGAAGAGAAGCCGATGTAAATAGAGGGAGATTGGCTGATGAGCGTTAGGAGTACTGGAGGATATATCGTTTGCTTTCTCGGGATACGCGTTCTCTTACAAGGTATAGCCATTTGACACGAAAGAGGTAACCTGGGCAAAGCCAGACGATGTTGTGGTAGCTTACACAAGGTTAGCTCATGGATCACTGGATTTCGCGGCAAAGTGAAGAGGTGGGACATACCATCAGCCCAGTAGAATACTTCCACGGTGGAGGCAGCGATTGTACAGCTGTAGCACTAGAGAGCAGTCAGAATCGCCAAAGTCGTGTTCAAATACAGTGAAGATCCACTTACACATGGTGATGATGCAGATCCGTACCACACATTCGTCCGAGCATCAATAAAGTTTCCCGTAACTGTTTCGGTATCAACCGTGTTTACAACCGTTGTTACTACGGACGTTGTAGTTGTCGAGCCGCTCGTAACGGTTTCCGTAAACGTAGTGATGCCGGTTCCGATAGTCCTCGTAAGCGTTCGCGTCGGCTTCACTGTTGTCTCCAGCCAGCTAAACGCTTGCTCCAGACATTGGCATTGCAAGTCATGGTTGGTGGATAGGCCTTGATATTCCTGAAGAATAATAGCTGGAAAGTCACTCTGGGTTCCGCATGTGACGTTTGCAATATCAGTACTGCTCGGCGGTGCAGTAGTGAATGTCGGCGGTGGAGTGATTGTGCCATTGGATGCAAAGACTAGGTAACAAAAATAGAAGTCAGCATTGCTCTGGAGCTGAGATCCAGTATCTTAGCTGCGTGTAACTTACATGGCGACGCCCGCACGGCGGTGCCGAGGGCGAGCAGAGCAAGAGCTCTTGATAGACCGGCCATAGTCTCAACCGTAGCGAATGCAGATGAAAACGAACGACTCGAAAACGGCAAAGAGAAGGAAAGATTTTGCCCTCCGGCACCGCGAGGTTGGAGATATATACGAGCTAGCTCTGTTTACAAGCAGCTGGGCCTCACAAAGCCCAACCGAGATCTTCACGCTATTCGCTTAGACTTCAGGCAATCAACCAAGTTCATAGTACTTGTAGGTACTGTATGTATGTGCATCACAAATAGTCCCGCTTGGATAATCCAGGCGTAAGCTTAGAAAGCCGGTAAGGCTCTCTGCTAGCCGATGCCAGCACATGAGGAGACAACTTCCAGGCACAAATCACCACACACATTTTTCACCGGAGAGACGATCCGGAGCGGTGGTTGGAGACAGGCTCGCTGGAGTGTGGTGCCGACCTATCTTCAAGTGCTTACGCCCTAGTGCTGGCACCATCACCAGAGCTCCACGGCATGGAATAAGACGGGGGCTAAGCCCGGCCATGAACCAAACAGCACGCCACAAGCGCTCAGCCTTACCAGGACGCAGCATCTGTCAAACGGCCAAGGCGGACGCAGTTAGCGAGCCGCGGCGATGTTGCTAAAGGGAGAAAAGTCGAAAAGTCGGAAAGGCGCCACCACTGCTTCTGGACGTAATTTTACGCCGGCGTCTGAGGCGATCGCGATACCCCTGGCTATTGCTTAGTGGACCACGCACATGCAATGCGTCTGCTATCGGTTACCTATATGCGAGCAGCTTACCACCACTTTTGTTGAAGCTATTCACATACGATTCATAAGAGCCCTATAAATACTAATACTAGTTGTATGTGGCGTTATACCATCGGCTGGTACGGGCCGCCCTCCTGAATCCAGTTGACATGTGCGCCTCAAACTTTACTCGGCAGCAGCTGAACTCGGTGAGTTGAATGCGGCTCTTCCATCACAACAGGAGATTTCGATTACTTATCATGTCCCGTCGGCTAACTCTTCAAGGGTTTCCCACCCCATCGGGACGGCCATGAGCGCTGTTACCAGTGGGCCACCGCGTTAGCAGCGGGTTCTGCTCGACAAGAGCCTGATCAACTTGGAATAGTTTGCATTAGCTCTATGGCGAGAACGGTGGGCGGTCATATTTTCATCTTCGGAAGACATTCGATAGTGCTTCATTTCGCACCTAACCGACGTGCATCGCATAGCTTCGCACGGCATGAGTGGTGGATTTTCCCATTCTCCTAAAATCTGACTCCCATGTGGATGCTCATCAAATCAGATGGCTATAGTACATAGTGACGAGGACGCTGTGCTGCTGTGTGTGGACAAAGACACAACCCCCATGTCTGCTCATTTTTTCTTCTTTTCCCTTTCGTAGCACTATCTTCGATCGTTGCCAAGGAACGGTCTCTATCCCGTATTGACCTAGATAGCCGTTTGAAAGAGCGCCTAAGACGAGTCGAGTGGACTGCATGCGTGCTGCAAGAGAGAGTATCCCATTTTTCGGCACCATATACGCGCTCCACTCAGTAAGGCAGGGACTTTGGGGGGTTACAACACTACATGATCTCGCATTAGGATGTGGAATTACTGAAATATCCATTACATCGTTGGAAGATGCGTGCGCGGCTGCAGCATCTGCTGCCATGGGCGATGCTGATGCCGAATGCAGCGCTTGCCTCGGCGTTTGATCTCGCGTTGGTGAAGAGAGCCACAGATACGGCTACAGCGCCGTCTTCTCTTCCAACTCCCATATCTGTGTCGCCGAGCCAGGTGTTGTAAGTACAGTTCCTACTTCTTTGAAGCGGCAAAGAAACTTACGTGCCTTTAGTGAGGGTGTTGATGGGCCTTGGTCGTCGTTTGAGTTGCGCGTAGGAACTCCAGCTCAGAACCTTCGCATATTGCCTGGCACTTCATCGACTCAAACTCTAGTTGTCATACAAGAGGGCTGTCAGATCATCAAAGTCAACGATTGCGCCAACAGTAGAGGAGAACTATTTAACACGACGGCTTCCCACACTTGGAAAGAGATTGGCTTATTCGAGCTGGGCTTTGAGAATTCCCTGGGCTTCACAGACAATGGTGAATTTGGATATGACACCGGTAAGGCAGAGTTTTGTTTCTGTATCACTTTTCATGCTCATATTGACACCAAATTTCAGTTGGGCTCGGGTATCTTGGCAGTGGTGGCCCTGTTGTCAACCACTCCATCATTGCTGGGATTGCAGGCACCGAGTTTTATCTGGGAGTGCTTGCGTTGAACCCGCGACCTACGAATTTCACGACTCAAAATGAGCCGCAGCAAAGTTTCATGCAGCTTCTCAAGAACTCATCAGCCATTCCCAGTCTATCGTACAGCTATAACGCGGGAGCACCATATCGGCTGAACAAGGCGCTAGGCAGCTTGATCTTGGGTGGTTTCGATACATCTGCGTATCAGGATACGAATTCTTCGTACAAGTTCTTCAGCGATCAGTCGCGTGACTTATCAATTGGCATCCAATCCATTTCCACGAATGCCAGCGCGGATAATACGGTACTTCAGTCTGACCTGATATCCATGTTTATCGATTCTTCCGTGGCCGAAATCTACCTTCCTCTGGACGCCTGCCATGCTTTTGAGAAAGCCTTTGGTCTAACTTACAACACCACCCTGGAAATGTACTTGGTTAGCGACTCACTACACAGCAAGCTCACTTCCGAAAACCCAGCTGTCACTTTTGAGATAACAACTCCGATTACTGGCGGCTCGTCCTTTAATATCACATTTCCCTATGCGAGCTTCGACCTGACGGCAAACCCTCCACTGTTGAAGTCTTCGTCTCGATACTTTCCTCTCAAGAGGGCAGCCAACGACACTCAATATGTTTTAGGGCGAACATTTCTGCAAGAAGCGTACCTGATTGTGGATTACGAACGAGGTAACTTTTCGGTTCATCCTCGTGTGTGGAACGCCAGCGCCGAATCGAACATAGTCACCATATTCCCGCCTGGCGTCAAACAGAGTGAACCCAGTCCGAGCCCTAGCCATAGTAGCAGTATCAGCGGCGGTGCTATCGCGGGTATTGTTATCGGTGTTTGTGTCTTTATAGCTGCCGCGGCCGCTGCCCTCTTACGATTCTTGGTGCTCCCTCGCCGCAAAAGGGCAGCGGCAGCCCAAACTTCTCAGGTCGATTCAACAACAGGAATGATGCTAGGAAGCGTGGACGCAGCCTCACCCGAAACTTCGAGAACTCTTCCTGCAGACACTCTCGGCGCAAACTTGGGAGAGCTTCAAGGAGACGATACGACGCCGAAACCGACACCGGAGATTGACGGCACTACTCCGGCGAAGACTCCTATGAGTGAGCTGGAATCAGCAGGCACTCCGCCACCGTCAGAGTTACCTACTCCGGCACCATTGGCAGAGTTATTGTCCAATGAGATTTATGAGATGCCCGGAAGCGATGTTCCGGAGCTCGCTGGAAGCCGAGTAGCAGCTCCTTTGATACTTACGGATTCTGAATCAAGCGAGTTTAGCTTTGTGGCGCAACCGGAGGTAATAGGCTCAGCTGAGCCAACAGCGGAGGACAGCCCGCAAAACAATACAGTAAAGGAGAAAGGAGATGCTAGTGGAACAGAGGATACCCAAGTGAAGAAGAGCGACGAAGTGAAGGACGAAGTGAAAGAAGAAGCAAAGGAAGATAGAGACAATGAGAAACCAGCTGGAGACGGTTCAGCGGGAAACGATGGAGTTCATAAACCATAATTTTTAATCTGAAACAGTAGCATTTATACCACAATAGACATGTCTATAAATATTCTTCACTTACGAGCAATTTCGCCTCGCTTCAGGAACAGAAGTATATGCTTAGCATTTTCCGTAAGGGGCATTGACTGGATAGAGTTAGGAACGAGGATTCAAACGGCAGCCTAGATTTGACGTTCCCACCCAAGTGGGTAAAACGATCAAGACCATCTTCGCAAGATGCATAGCTAGCCAGATCGTGGGTAGCAGCCGAATGGCATGCATATGTACATCGATCTACAGCCAGCACCCAATCCACTAGGAAGATCCCGAATGCACAAGCTGCAGAAAGTATATTATATGACCCCCCTTGGATGTGGGCATCGTGGCAAGGATACGGAAGGGCGGATACGAGATTCTTACCACGGGAGAAAGGAGCTTAGCTATGTCTATTTTTGGTGTCAATTGCTGCGTACAAGTGGACTTTATGCCTTCCTATTCCGCCGGATTGGAATGACACATTTGAATGGGTACATCTACCCAGATAATAAGTCAAGTTCGTATATTTAAAGCTACCGTACCTAAGGCCGCAGCATGGAGCGTATAGATATGTACATGCATATCTACGCTCTCAGAACATAATTGGATGAAAGCGTCTTGAAGCTGAGCAGTCGGCCTCCTTTCTAGACTGGATATAGCATCAAACGACGGCTGGCAGCTTTGGAACGCAAATTGTTTGGGTCACAGAGAGCTTTTTGCAGACTGTGTAGATATAATCTCCTCCACGGGACGTAGTCATGTCCAACTCAGTACATTTATTTCCTTAAACAACGCTCTTGGGGCTTCCGGCATTAGGGAAGCTGTAATGAGCAGTTCGCTGGAGTCGAGGAGAAAAACCTGTAATGTTTGGATCAGGACCCAAGAAGGCCGAAGGAAATCCCAGGTCAAACGGCCGTACTTCCTCGAGGAACTTGATTTGCTCGTCTGTGAGCTTAATCTTTAGGGCCTGGATATTGTCCATGAGATGCTCAACTTTCCTTCCACCAACAATAGGGATAACATTTCCTGCCTTGTGCAACACATATGCCAGAGCGACAGCTGTAATGGACGTGACGCCGTGTTCTGACGCCACTTTCTGGAGCGCTTCACTGATCTTTTCTTCTTCGGGGCTCTGCTGTGGGAGTGATACAAGGCTGCGTAGCTGTTCGCCATTCTTCTTGCGTTCTTCCAAGGCCTCCTTTGTCTGGAACTTTCCTCCGCCAAGGACGTCCCAGGGCGCCAGGGCCATGCCAAAGTGCCGTGCCATGGGGATGATGTCCCGCTCAAAGTCCCGCAGCATGATGTTCCATCGGCCTTGGTAGATGCTGAACGGCGTCTTGCCGTGGTCAACTGCGTACGTGTTGGCTGCGCTGACGATCCACGCAGGCATATCTGAGGCTCCCAGGTAGAGAACCTTGCCTTGCTCAACCATGATGTGCAGAGAGTCCATAAGCTCCTTGATGGAGGTTGTGCTGTCCCACCAGTGGATGTACAGAATATCAATGTAGTCGGTCTTGAGCTTCTTCAGAGAGTCTCGCACGCTCAAATGCAGACTCTTGCGGTGGTTGCCCTGAAAGTTTTGGGCCTTTCCTTTCCCCAGCTCGTGGCTTCGGTAATCTGAAGTAAACTTGGTAGCAATAACAAGCTGGTCTCGAATGCCCTTGTTGGCCGCCCACTCTCCGATCCATTCCTCGGACTGCTCGTTCTGGTAGTTGTTGGCGGTGTCGATGAAGTTGCCGCCCGCCTCCCAGAATGCGTCCAGCAGCTTGAATGAGCTCTCCTTGTTCATGGACCCCATCAGGTCGGCCCATGCATCACCAATGGACATTGCGCCGAGAGCCAAGGGCGAGACACGAAGACCAGCCGTCGGGGCCAGAATACGGTGCCGACCAAGCTCGGTCTTTGGCTCTGGCGCAACCGAGAAGAAGGTGGAAGCCATTTTCGTGCGTTATGGTAAGCTTTGCTGTGTTGAGAGGCGTACGATTCTACTTTGCTTGCACTGAGTGTGATGTTTTAGAAGACTGAGTTTCTGGTTCAATTTGGTGTTCGATTAATGGATCAATGGTTACATGAATCATTACCCCTCCCTTCTGCCTTTATATATCTCATTCATCTCTCTCATTGCGCCTTCCAGGACTACCAACACGAAACCAATAAATTTTATCTCCGACATTTTTGACGCAACTCTTCCATAAAAAGTCGGAATTAATCCGGACATAGTGTGTTCTTCAACCGCCATGACACTCATGAGCTTCAACAGCCGACGGCGATGATGGCATAGATCGGTGATACCTAGTGCAAATCACAGAGTCCATGGACGTTGCACTGAGGGGTTGGCTGGTGAGGGGGCTCTGATACGCTGTGATACGCTGTGATACGCTGTAATACCAGAACTGGAATTACATGTGCCTATTGATTGGTGGGTCGTTGTGGTAAAATCTGCTGTTTAGAATCAACCACAGCTTGTCTCCGGGCTCAAGCTCCGATAAGGCCGGGTGGCTTGAGAATTAAAATGCTTGATAAGTTCTTTCTAAGCTCCAGCTCAACAGGATACATGAATAAAACAAAAATTTGTATAAAGAAACGAATCGCTAGATTACAAATTGGACTTGTCGAATCTGTTGCGCCAAACGCCTGTTTTTCCCTTCCATCTAACAAAATACATCAAGCGGTCTGCGATACGATGGAGGGCTTGGTATCATGGCGTCCTCCCAACACATGAATCGAATCCACACATTCTGCTGCGCAAAACGAAGATAAATTGACGTATATCTGAATTGGCGTATATCGAGATCGAGTCGCAATCGCTATTCGCTAATCGACCACTTCCGTCGACATCATCGTGCAGTTCTGGTTTAGTTGGGTATTTTGCAAGGCTGGTTGAGCTCGCAGTTCTCCGGCAGGCTGTCCACCATGTTGAAAGAGAGCTCTCCGTGGTTGACGTCGTTGTCGCCCTTGGCATAGTGGATGGGGATAGAGCCGCAGATGCCACAGCCGTATTCGATCAGCTCGGTGTAGAGGCTCTTGAGCGTGGCGCCGTCGACGCTGCCGTCGAGGTTCTGGATGTAGGCGCAGTACACTCCCTTGAAGGAGCCCTGGAAGTTTAAATGAGTCATCTCGACGCATCCGATGTCGTCCCCATTGTCCCAGATTCGCTTTTCAAAGATGTTGTCGAAGATGGACTGGAACTGGGTGAGGCGGCCGCCGGCCAAGTACGAGATTCCGCAGAGAGAGTCGCCTTCACAGTTGATTCCCAGGCCAGCAGCGCTTTGAGCGGTCGCAGCCGCCAGGGCGATGAAGCTGTTGAAACGCATTGGAGCAAGACTAAAACGTGTGTACATGGTTAATTTTCGCGCCCGGGCTGGTGTTGGAGTTGAGGGCGGCAACACAACCTACAGCAAATATTGATCTCAAGACACAAACGACTGGATGTAGACAGACACTGTGGGCTGCAGCGACAAAGGAGATATGCAAAGCAAAGAATTCGAAGCTAATGTAACAAGAGATCGAATCGGTTATTATACGAGCTCCTCTGCGAGCTCCCGCCCAACAGTGGAGTCTCCAACCGGCCATACGAAGAAACGAACCAGGCCAGGCATTGGGTCGTCGAGACCTAATCTCTGCTCCCGGGGAGGCTGAGCTCAGCACTAAGCCATCCGTGCAAACGGCCTTTGCACTGGCCGCCTTAGCCGAAACGTTCACAACCATCGACGCCAGCGCGGAAGGGGTAGAGCGCCCAGGTCTTCTATTGGGTGGTGTTTGTCATGCTGGACTGCTGTGCTAAAAACAGACATCCTGCCTAAGCGTCAACGACCAAACAGTCGCCTGGCAATGCAGGTACAGTTTGCCCAGCCACAATCTGCAGACTTGAGGCCTCGAGTCTTCAACGGGTAGAATCTTTCCGGGCAGCGCCTCGGCTACCAGATATTCCGGAGCATAACATGACCAGGATGAATGTAGAAGATGGTATACATTTACATATTTAACTAGTAGCAATCCCGTGTTCAACATTTCGTAGCTTGTAGATACCAAGTCTGGCCACCTGGTACACCAAATCGGGGACAGATGGCCGGCAGGATTCGTGTCCAGAGTTGAAGACTTTTACCGTCCCTCACACGATGCATCCTTTGCCTCATTAGCTCGCTTTGGGAAAAAGTCGACAGCACGTGTAGGATTGGCCAGAGATCAAGGCCTTTGTTTGCTACCAGAACCCAGATCTATTTGGTGCCGGCTATAGCAGGAGCCGAACCAGCAACGTTATTTTAGAAGCGCTGGAGAAGCTAAATTTAGATGCCATGAATAAAGCGGCGTCGCATGAATTACCAACACTTCCCGATTTGCACCTATTGTTGGGTGGTTATTGTTCTATTATGGGTCCCGACGCAGGGGAATCCCAGCAACAGAACGTCAGTTACTCTGATCAACGGTCTTTGTCTTTGTTCAACTTGGCTGCAAAGAGATGCACTAATAACTAATATCCAAATTTGAATCCCTGGGTTTCATCACATTTCTCAATACCACAGGCTTTACGCGTTATCAGAGATACATGTAGACTGCGCTAAATCCTTAGTTGCTTCTCTACATGTAATAACCCCATCAAGCTTCTTCAGGTACCTAGACTCCAGCAAATTGCAGCGTCCTTTGTGGGACGAGTTGTGATTTTATATTTCATGAAGGAGAAAATGGAAGAAGATCAGTAGAGAAGAAACTATACGGGTAGGTGTAATTTGCTTGATGGCATTGTAAATAGCCGATTACTGGAATGGGGCACCGGGCACAGGTATATGAACATAGATGGACAGCCGCAAGTTGAGATTTAAAGTCAAAAGCTCTTTTCTTATTCAATGGCTATAAAAAGATGCAGTTAATAGCTAAGCTTGCCTTCCTTGCCTATATCGCATCTCGTCAGATGCGAAGCTCTATTGGCCTCCAACAGGCGCTGCAACAGGCGTTCCAATCGGGCCCGTAGCAGATATCTCGGTAGGCTTGCCACCAGCACCAATAGCACCACCGAGGGGGCTGCCAACAACACCCGGCCGCGGAGCTGGAATCGAAGCAGGAATCGGGTGATTAGTAGCATTAAGCGACTCATTGGTAGCAACAGGTGGCTGAACGCTGGGAACATCCGGCGCGTGGACGCTAAAGGTGCTGATTGTTTCGCCCAGAGTCTTGTCGAGGTCTTTCAACTCGTCTCTCGCTTTGACTCCACAGGTCGGGACCAGGGCAATGACTCCCTCTGCGAGATGGTCGAGTCCAGCTCTTAGTAAGACCAGAAGGGCGCCGATGGGCTCTGTGAGGGTCGTGGCGTCTAGGAAGATCTTCTTGTTGGCGAGGGCCTTGAAGAAGTCTTGGTGGGTTTTGGCGAACTGTAGCGTGGTAACAGGGTTAGACTTGAATACTGAGGGAGATGTAAGGTAATTTAAGACTTACGCCGCCGAGAGCCTCGCAAATTTCTGCTTGATCGCGGTCGGAGAATTGAGGAAGAGTAGTATTGCCTTGGAGAGTCTTAACGTCGTTTGCGACATCCGTGACAATCTTACGGAGGTCGTCTGTTATTTTCTAAACAGTTTGGGTTAATAAATAGGTATATCCTTCATAAAATTGCTGTTCTTGACATACCAGAGCAGACCCGAGGATATTCATAGAGCTTATGTTGGTGGCAATATCCAAAGCACCCGCAGAGATATCAGTGATGTTGTGTATAGCGTCGACCACATCTTTAGCCGTCGGGGCTGCCTGAGCCTGAGTAAAGGGAAATGCAGCGACCAAGAAAAGGAGAGGCTTGAATTGCATGATGGCGGCTTTCTAGGTTGATTACTTGGAAAAGTCGTTTGGGGTGTAAGATGATGGATGCGTTTTATTGGATTCAGTCCTGCTGATTGATGATTTGAACTTCTACAAGAGAGCGATCACATCCTCACTTTATACTTTTCCCCAGTCAATACTATCAGTGCTCTTGTTCGTAAAAGCCATGCTTGTCCGCCTTATTCGCCTGCTCAAGCTGCTCTGGCTATGGTCGCCACATCGCTCCCTTCAATTACGACGAATTGTCTCTCTAGACAACTCCTCCATTCCAAGCTGATGACGATTCAAGTTTTATGAAGTATACTCATTGGAGCGGCAGTGCGGCGAAGCAAAATGATCGGACGATTTGATCAGCAGGGCTGCCATCTTCTGGAATGCAATCACCTCACACTCAGGAGCTATACCTACGTTTAGTCAATCAATCAGCGCAGATACTCTGACATAATTACACTCCAACCTCACGTCTTTGATAAAGAAAATGACGAGTAACTGCTTTTTAAAACTACGTGGCCACCTTCATCTCCTTGGATAAGCTGCAATTGGGCCAACATGTGGCGTGGATGGAATTTGTTGTAGCAACAGCCACGTTTGAGGATGAATCAGGTATCCTCTTTGGGAGTGACTTATACAGAAGCTACCATAGCCATAAATGCTCATAAAAAGGGTTGAATCTGAAACCTGAAGGCGCTCAAAGCGGTGCGAAAAGCATAAAGTATGACGGCCAAACCTCTTGCTACGCAGCTTCGGTCTTTTTAAAACCTTCATTTTACACTTCAGCTTACAAACTAGTCTATAGACAAGGTGAGATTAGCCTATTCGCAGTCACCAGCCATGCCATTCAAATAGATACCTGGATGATAAGTGACAATTCACAACTCAGAGCGAGTAGCCAAACAATCATAAAGTACCTAAAGAATAGACAAGCAGAATATTAGCTTCCTTCTATGATGGCAGCCCACCTTGCATCTAATGTAATAAATACACATCTATTGTGATTAAATATGCGGTCATTATACTACGTCTAATAAAACAAAAGGTGGTGCGTAGCCTCCAATCTATATCAACAAGGGTGATATGTAGCCTTATACGGCCAGGGTATCGTCCAGATCCCAGTTTTATACCAATTATCCATTCTGCCAATGCGCTCGAAAAAGCAAGGGGGAAAACGCCAACAACAAAAACAAAAACGTCCATGTATGCAGAAAGACAAAGGAGAGATAGGAAGCGGATTCGAGCCAGCCCGCCCCAGGTGCTTAAATGATGCAAATGCTCCAATCCAATTCCACGAATGATCCAAGCAATTCTCAAAACATATGAAACAATATTATAGTAAGTCGTGTCTTGTCGGTTCGACATCAGGCAGCGTCTTGTAAGCCGTCTGACAGTGCACTGCGATTAGCGGTCCCGGCTGTCGTTCTGGCTGCAGCACTTTTCTTCTGCTGTGCTATCCAATGCTCAAATCCCGGAACTGCACCAGGTTGATTGATACCCGGCGCCCTTTTAGGTACTTTGGGTGCTTCTTTCTCTGGTTTGGGTTGGGCTTCGTTCGAACTTGCTGCTCCTCCCCACGGCCGCCATCCAACCCATTTCCCGAGGCTGCCAGCAGCAATCCGCGATGCTTGCGAGGATGAAACCGATATATCAGACGTAGGAGTAGAGCTTCGCTTGAGTTGTTGGAAGCCGGCAAAGTGATTACGCAAGGCAGCATCGCTGCGCTTCGAGTAACTAGTCGACATGGTCGGCTGAGCAATGACGCCGGTAACAACAGCGTCAGCACCACCATGGAGCGGAGGGCGCAGACTCATTTGGCTGGGCCGAATCTGAAGTGTGTGGATGTCAAGACCGCCCGATAGCGACATGATTGATTCATGAGACGCAATGCGGCGTATTCTTGAGCTGGGTTCCGGTGCTGATTCGATGGTTGTATCTGTCGACTGGTTCGTGTCATCATCCGCCGCCGAGGTGTCTTTAGAAGCGTCGGGATTTGTCAAGTCAGCAGATATGCTTGTGGATAAGTCTTCATCTTCTTCGTGAATGACACCGCTACTAAAGCGGAAGGGAATTGGCGCCTGGACCCCGGTCATTCCTGGCTCTATGTCGATGATTGAGAGTGATTGGAAGCTGGAGGATGAGGCCGCCGATGGTCGCTTTCTGTGCGACGCACGCCAAGTAGGAGACATGGGGTCGTAGCTTGTTGTGGGCGACATGAGAGAATCTGTTTCGGTGCCGCTGTGGTCGAAAATGCCGGGCGAAGTGGGGAGCGAGGAGGACATTTCGGAGGGTGTGGAGAATTCGTGCCAGGCTGAGGACCTGGCAGTGATGGGTGTTGTATCGCCGCCGGTAGTGGAAAGAATCGGAGCAATGGGAGATGAGATCAAGCGGCGCTGAGCCCATGGGCCCGGCGAAGAAGATCGACTTGAGATTGTGGCCGGGGGCGTGAAGATGCCAGGCAATAGGCCCTGGCGCTTTTTCTTGGGCTTCCGGACATCTTGCTTGGCAGCAACGTGGTAGTGGTGGTGAATATGAAACTCTTGCGGGGGTTTTGAGTGTTCAAACAAGGAAGGCTCCAATTCTGCCTTGAGAGTCGAGGCTGGGCTGGAGTCATCGGCAAGAGGCTGGTGGAACATGAGCTGCTCTCTCAGCTCCTGAATCTCGTCATTACTAGTGAGGAGCATCTCGCGCAATTCGGCAATACCCAGTTGGAGATTTGCATTGTCCTGCAGCAGGTCGCGAACAAAGTGGCCGACAATTTTGCTTCCCTGTCGGTTATCGGTGATTGATTTGGAGGCCGCAGCGCCCTTGAGTCGCACGGCGGCAGCATCAAGGTGCTTCTCCACTTCACGCTGGCGGTCGACCTTTTCCATCATCTCCTCGTGGCGCTGCCGCTCCAAGATGGCCTCCCTCTCCATGCGCTCGAGCTGGTCCTGCATGTCGAGGATGCCCCGCTGAGCCTCCTTGAACCGCTGCGCGTGAGAGCGAGCCTCCTCCTTAGAAGCCCGAAGCTCTCCTGTGAGTTTGTCCTGTTCCACTTCAAGGATCTTGAGGTGCTGGTCGGCCTCGGCCGCTCGCGCCGCCGCATTTTCGAGGCGGCGAATAGCCTGTTGTGAGGAGAGGAGGCTTGCTTCTAAGCTCTTGATCTTGGCATCAGAGTCGAGGAAGGTGCTGTTGAGTAATTCGAGCTGCTCGAGCAGCTGGTTGTTCTCTTCGCTCTTTGCCGCATTGTTGGCCTCCAGCTCCTGCTTGTCAGTCTGCAGGCGTTCTATGCGGGAGTTGAGCCGTAGTCTGTCCCGTTCCGCGTCGGCCATGTAGGCTTCGTGCCTGGCGAGTAGCGCCTGCAGGGCAAATGTCAGTGGAAATTCCGTGTGATTGGAGTCGCATAGCATTGCAGTTGGTGTTGAAGATCATGCTGGAAAAGGCTCAGGACGATGCATACGGGGTCTGGGGATCTTCTCGCGCCTTGCCCGCTGTGTCTGCGGACCGGAATGCTCCTTGCGCGCAAAGAGACAAAGGGTCCGAGGTCTGTCTTGCGACAATGCGAGCGAACAATGAGATGGGATGAAAGGAATGCAAAGGACTGGATGAAAAAAGAGCAGCGCGACACCTGCAGGCACGCACACCACACACACATACCTTGCCTAACTGGGCAGCTGTGTGCACATCCTTCTCAACGGCTTCGAGAATCGAGCAGTTCTTCTTGAGGTGGACGCAGTCGGGACTGCCGCAGCAGCACTGCAGAGGCGACGAGGCCGACTCGGGCTGGGGCAGATCGAGCCTGTCCATGGCGTCTTGGGTGTTGGGTAGAGAAATCGTCGGTTAGTATTCGATATTGATGGCCGCTGTCTCGCGCGTCGCTTTGCCGAGACTGGGAGACGGTAGCAATGCTGCAGCGACAAACATGATCCTTGGCGGTTGACGCGGAGAGCCGGCTGGCCGCAAAAAAAGAGAGGCTAGTAGGTGAAGACTAAGGATAAGGATGGCGGAGGAGAAGTGCGCTCAACATCGGACAGGTGGGTAGGAGTGGCGATGATTAATAGGCCGTCGTGGTAATGGAAATTGGATAAAATTAAACAAGAATGAACAAGCGAAAAGACTGATGAGGCCGGCCAGCCAGCCTTGTTCGAAAGGAGGTTTGACTCAGGCTGGGAGAAGTAACGGTACTCGACAGGAGCAACGGTCGGCGCAGAGGCGGTGATGAAAGAATACAGGCGAGGTGCAGGCGAGGTACAGGCGACTTTGGAGGCGGAGCAGGGCGTGCAAGGATGCGAGGACGGACGCTTCGCTTGACAGGATGGACAGAACCGGGTGAACAGCTCGGGCTGAAGCACTTGGTCAAAGGATCTGGCGGTTGCGCGTGCCTGCAGCAGCTGACGCGACAGACGTTCTGGTGTTGAGCCCAGCTGAAGGCGTCGAGTCGCTGATACTCGTCTGCGGGCACGGCGGACGCGGCGCTGCTGGTACCGTGTACAGCGCTGTGCCTGTGCCTGGATTTAGTGGCTGCGACCTGCATTAGCCGGGCTGGGTCCAGTGTCTCTTAGCGCCCGACCTGCTGGAGAGACGCGAGCGGACAGCAGGGACGCAGAAAAGCTCCGCTGGAGTGCATCCAGACATGCCGCCTTTTGCAGCTGCGTTTTTGCAGCCTCATAATTGCACGAGTAGGTGCTACAAGCTACGCAATAAACAACATGGAAACAATTGTCATGTGTCGCCTGCCTCGTGGTTTTGAGCTGGCTTGTGATTTTGTGCTATGATACTTGGCATGCTATGCAATGGGCCGAGCTAAACTTTGTTCTCACGTGGCGTCGTAATTGCACGATCCAATTCGGATGCCTTTGCGGTGAACGGAAGCACCAGAGACGGGGCCTCGTGGAATCGGATCCAGTGCCAACACATCAAAGATGGGGCCAGTTGGCAAGCCAGGGTGGCGGACCGGGAACTACGCATTCATGCTGATTCTGACATGAGGAAGCGCAGCGATAGGGCGGAAACCAGCGGGTGAGGCTTCGAGAAGCCGGGCGCGTTGGTGAGCGTTCATGCTCATCATTGCATGCACTGTGATTGCAAACTCCGGCCGACATAGGGCTGGGCACTGAACAGAGGAGAGAATGGGGTTTAAACGAAGATTATAAACAAAGATTATCTTGTCCTGGTTGCCACAGGAGCTCCGGGCGCTAAAGACGGTGCAGCAAAGCAACTTGACTCGCTCACTGCATACCCCTAGTTCTAGAAGCTGGCGTCCGTCATCTGCCAAAGAAATGCTTGTACAAGTAGTATATACAAATACAAAGCATTTGACAAAGGAAAATGCTCTATTATCGGCTGATTATGCAATGCTGCATCACAAAATGTAGGGAAAAGCAACGGTTATCCCCCTATAGGGTAGCATGCAGCAATCAACCCGCTGGCCGGCAAAATACAAGACCGCCTTCTCATTTCGTACAGCACTAATGTACTGCATAAGCCTTGCGTCATCCATCTCGACGTCCAATCAACATCCACCATTTTCAAAGCAGCTCTTGAAACAAGCTCGACATCTTGCCTCTACCAGTAGCTGGTGGTTTGTTTTGCCTCCAAAAGTACCGATGTAGCAGCATCAGATGCTTCCTCACTTTTTACTCGACCCTGGCCGGGCTTATCAACCAATCTCCGGGCCTCCAATCTCCAAAGCCCCAGCCTCCAGAGCTCCAGCTGCCATGAGCTCCATTGCTTAGATCTCACCCATTCAAATCGAAGCTCGCCCGCACGAGTCTCTCCGAAGCTCACACCATCTCGCGTCATCAATCTCTCCGGCAGAGCTCAGCTTCTATATTTACTCTTCTGGGCCATGCCGGCTTTACCCCGCAACCCCCACCTCCGTCGTCTACTTCAACCAAGCCACCATCTCTTGTCTTCCTCTGCCTCATTATCGCCGTCTCGATATTTTTCATTTACTGCTCGCGCCATGGCTCAAGAATACAAGCTCAAGGGCGTGACGTCGTTGTCACTTAAGCCCGGTCAGAAGCAGGAGGCCGAGGTTGAAGGCATCCAGGATGCCAAGGTCCTCCTCGTAGGCCTGCAAACCGGTGGAAAGGCAGAAGTGCAAGCCATTGGAGCCAAATGTACCCATTACGGCGCTCCTTTGGCAAAGGGTATCTTGACCACTGGCGGCCGTTTGACTTGTCCCTGGCATGGAGGTAAGTTCACAATCACAATTTCACCCTTGTTTCTACTCAGAGGCATGCTGACACTCGCCTCGCTACATAGCTTGCTTCAGTGCCAAATCTGGAGATGTTGAAGACGGCCCTGCGTTGGATAGCTTGCAAGTGTTTCCCCTCACCGAGCGTGATGGGGGATTTTACATTACCGGCGAGGAGGCCGCTATCAAAGGTGGCCGAAGGAAGCCCAACTTCCAGTGCAGCGTTTCAAGCGATGCCCAGGAGAGAGTTGTCGTCGTGGGTGGTGGCTCTGGTGCGCTTGGTCTTGTTGAAGGACTGCGAGAGAAGGGATATACTGGACATATCACCATCATCTCCAAGGAGGGCTACCTCCCCATTGACAGGCCCAAGCTGAGCAAAGCACTCATCACAGATTCATCCAAGCTAGCATGGCGTGACAAGAGCTGGTTCGACAGTGGCTCAGTTGAGTGGGTTGATGGTGAAGTCAACAGCGTCGACTTTTCCGGCCGACAAGTGGTGACTGCCAGCGGCAGCAAGGTTCCATACACCAAGCTGGTTCTCGCAACCGGAGGAACTCCCAGGGAGCTCCCTCTGCAAGGCTTCAAGGTTCTCGGCAACATCTTCACCCTCCGCACTGTGCATGACACCAAAAAGATTGTCGACGCCATTGGAGAAAAGGGCAAGAAGATTGTCATCATCGGATCATCGTTTATTGGCATGGAAATTGCCAACGCGACAGGCGCTGACAACTCGGTGACAGTCGTGGGCATGGAAAAGGTTCCCCTCGAGCGTGTTCTTGGCGAGCAGGTCGGTGCTGGCATTCAAAAGGCCCTGGAAGGCAAGGGCATCAAGTTCTACCTGAGTGCTGGCGTCGACAGGGCTGAGCCATCAGCCTCGGACCCATCCAAGGTTGGCGCTGTCTATCTCAAAGACGGCACCAAACTTGACGCAGACCTTGTCATTTTGGGAGTTGGAGTATCTCCCGAGACGTCTTACCTGAGGGACAACTCGGCTGTTGAGCTGCAAAAAGATGGATCGCTCCAGACTGACGAAAACTTTGCTGTCAAGGGTCTCAAAGACGTTTACGCCGTTGGAGACATTGCAACCTATCCGTACCACGGCCCAGGAGGCAACGGAGGCCTGGTTCGTATTGAGCACTGGAACGTCGCTCAGAACGCCGGCCGTGCTGTCGCTACGCACATTGTGAACCCATCTGCAAGCACTACGTACTTTATCCCCGTCTTCTGGTCTGCTCTGGGCGCTCAACTGCGGTACAGCGGCAATACCATTGCCTCAGGATGGGACGACGTGGTCTTGGACGGCGATGTTGGTGCTGGGAAATGGTTAGCATACTATACTAAAGGAGAAACCGTTGTGGCCGTTGCCTCGCAAGGACGCGATCCCGCTGTGATGCAGGTGTCTGAGCTGTTGAGGCTTGGAAGGGCACCCACCAAGAGTCAGCTGAAGGGTGGTGTAGACATCTTTAGCATTGACGTATCGGCATAGTTAATGTGCCGCATGATAGCATTGATCAATGGCATTGTACGATTCTTGAGTTTGCAGCTCAGCTTATGTTATCTGTTGTTATGTTAGAAGATTGTGATCATAATGGACGGGTTTAGTGTTCGTGACTACATCCCTGTACCTATCAATATGGTATGGCCAAAGTTTGGCGAATTCACTGTGGTAATGTTGTCTCCCTATCTAAAATGGCTTTATCTACTAAATAACATACAATACACGACATTGATGACGACGGTAATGATAGCGAGAGCTCGAAAAAGAAGCAATTACCGAGGCTTTAACTTTGCATTCGCGATGAAACCAATAGATCTCGTGCATGCAGTTCCAAAAACCATCCGCGCTTGTGGACCTCGAGATATATACATCTTCCGCGTTTGTTTCGCCTCAAACTCGTACTTAGTTCCTACAAATGTGCCTAGATAGACATTGTCGCCGATATCTTGAGACCACGGTTTACTTGGTCAGTGGCAAAAGCGCCGCTCAACCTTCCACGATTCGAATCCGATCGGCGTCGACTTTCAGATTCACCTCTTTATAGTCGTCATCATCCGGAAACTCTAGATGAACCTTGCTTTGAACTGCTGCAGAGAGTTTCACCGGCGAGCCCTCCAAAGTCGTAACCTCCAATACATGTCCGCCACGGTCTCTCTCATCGGAAATAAAGTGAAGATGGTCGCCTGCTACACCGACGCCCTGCAGAAACTCTGGTGATCTGAATCCAATTATACTTCCGCGGACGTTGGTGAACTCGTAGGTGGTTTGGCGCTTGTGCAACTCTCTGATGTTTTCATGACGACAGAATTGACCGCCTGCGGTGCGAACTGCTACCACTTTAAAGAGCCCATCGACTCTAAAGGCTACGAAGTGATTTTTGGTCTTTGGTAAAAGATTGGAAAGAGCATCTGTGAAGCCCTTCTTGTCCTTGAACTCGACGTCGGCTGTGGCAGACGCTTGGAAGCGAGTGAGCTGTGCAAAGGGCGCAATTTCTGAACCCCCAGCGCTGTCGACTTTGATGATTGAGCCGTCGGCTTTCATTTGGTAGACTTGGCCGTCGAGGGCAATCATTTCGCCGTCCATTCGACGAAATGTTCCGAGACCGTGGTCGCCGTGCTGGACGAGCTCTTTATATGGAAGACCGAAATCCCCGAGGCCCTCCATGAGGGCGGAGACGACGGAGTATTGATAGAGCTCGTTGTACGCCATGGTTTTGGGCTATCTTTGCTCTTGAATGAGGTTGGATGAAGATGAAGAAGATGTGATGAGACGATGTGTTAGACAAAGACTCCGACCGGTAGTTGGACAGCCTCCTTTTATCGGACACTAGCAGAATACTTGGAGTTAATTATGGGAACATGTAAGCTCAGATGGCCCAGTCGACGCCCGCCACTTTGGTAGCTTTGGTGGTGACGTTTCGTACCTAGAGATGACCGCCGTGGTGAAGCCTTGAGTTTGATAGCTATAAATAGGCTGCGAGTAGGCAATAGAGGTCGAAAAAAGCTGTTAATCCGGGCAACTAAACCAACTGATGCATCGTGAGTAGGCTATAGAAGCACGAATATCAGCGAGTAGCCGCACTTTCATTGTTGCGTTGCAATCGTAGAACCTCCGGTATTGGATAAGCGCTAGTAGTAGATCGATCTGTAGTGGAGTTGGAGCCCCTAAAATCGTGAGCTCTGACAGCTAAAATGGCGATTTTGGTGCATTATGATGACGTTGTCGCTAGTCTGGCTGCTAACAACTGACCTATTTTGGAGCCTGTAACGGTATGCGAGACGAAAATTCCCGACATGAGAAAAATCTAGAAGCTGGGGCAAAGTCTGATGGAAGTGAGCGATAGAAGCACTGAGCTAATTGCGAGAAGCGAGCGAATGAACAAAAGAGGTGGTTACAGGGCATTGCGTGCAGCTGAGTGCATGTAAAAAGTAGCAGAGGGGGACGCTGGGAGCAGACAGTTTTTCGAGCACACAACTCTGTGATTTCAATTACTGTTCGCATGCTATAAGTCGCAATGTTTCAATCTTTTCTGCTAGATCTACTAGATCCACTGCATCTACTATTTGCACAAGATATAATAGAGCTCTTATGAATTGCGTGTTTTCATTCATCTTCGACAGTCACTTGCAAGCGAATGCTGTTCAGATATTTCCCTACCCGCCTCTCTATGCCGTCACCGGCCTCGTCCAGCGCAACCAACACCCCCTTCGCTTTCTCTTCGGCCTCTTCTATGCCTTTCGTCACCTCTTCAATGCCGTATTTTAGGTATCCGAATTCCGATTCAATGGTCCCGATACATTCCGTTTTCAAGTCATCCATGGACCCATCAATTCTGCGATCTATTTCATCTGCTCTGGAGTCTAGCATGTCGTTCAGGTCATCCTTTAGACGGCTTCCGGTAGCTTCGACCACGTCCTTCACATGATTTCTTAAACGATCTTCAGAAGATTCGATCATATCCTTCATGTCATCTCTCAAACGATTTCTCGAAGATTCGATCGCATTCTTCATGTCATTTCTTAAGCGGGTTTCCGAAGATTCAGTCATTACTTTCATGTCATTTCGCAAACGGTTCTCCATATCAAGAAGGTGCCCTATGAGGCCTTTCAGGTCGCTGGATGGACGATCATAATTGGGATCGGAAGATTCGCGTTCACGTTCGCGCTCGCGTTTGCGTTTACGATGTGGTTTGTGTTCGCGACAGGGCTCATCTGAAACTGAGTTAGTCATACTCAGATAGCATCATCAGATCATCGGTGATGCAAGTATCATGCTTACATTCAATCGGAGGGGGTGGTGATGTGTCCTCTGGTAAACCTTGGTCTCTTTTGTTGTTGCCTCCCGCAAAGATTGTGCCCGTGTTGAAAACATGGCCTCCTATGCCACTATATAATGATTGGAGATCGACGCGGCTATCATCCGTCTCCAGACGTCTGGTTTGGGGAGATGAGAATGTCGATGCAATCTGGCGTAAATGATAGTGTGTCAGCCCGGTCATACCGGAAGCTTTCAAATGTACTGTAAACGTGTCTATCTCTGCGAGGGCTTTCATTGACTGCAGTCGAGGAAGAGTCGAGTGTTTGCATTCCAAAACGCGGTCGTTGGGGACAACAAGGCGAGAATAGTTTTGGTTCATAGAGAAGTGTAGTAATGACACACCATCAATGGCTTCCAATCTGATGGTCTGAATATTCTCAGGGTGTATGAATAGATAGACGGACGTCCTGTTCTTGTCTTTGCCCTTAACCCAGATCCGGCATGTAAGCCTAAAAATGGCTTTCGAGATCAGGGTATCGATGTCGACTTTGAAGTATACATCATCAATGCTCTGTGCTTGGCCACTGCCATCCGTCCAAGTTAGATCGGCCTTGTCACAAAAGGCGTGAATCTGTATGGGTTCTTCAAGCTGTTCGTCGTCATGCTGTTCTTGCTCCGAGCTACGCAGTGTCAGCATTTCAAGACATCAAAAGGAGTGCCAGGAACCTGGTGCAGTCGGTCCACCACGTTGAATGAAGGACAATGCTGTTAGGTGTAGTAGAACGTTCATCCACCCTGCACTGGATGACAGCCGCCCAGAAAGAGTAAAGGCGGACGGGGACCGACAAGAGGACGGGGTCACGCAATAATGGCACAAAACCACTTTCCGTCGCCCAACGCTGAATTCAATGAGCTATTCCTCTTTATCGGCGGCCTCAAGATCCGAAGATCTTGCCTCCCAAGGACTGTCTCTGGGGAGCATCATCGAGTCGGGCGGGACTGCTACACATAGGCGCCTGTAACCTAGAGGAGTAACGAATGAACGATTTTACCAACCAACAAGAAGTAACAGGACAATGCTGTTAGGAGTAGTAGAAAGTCCATCCGCTCTGCACCGGATGACAGCCGCCCAGAGAGAGCAAAGGACAGACGGAGACCGACAAGAGAACGGGGTCACGTAGTAATGGCTCAAGGCCACTCTCCGTCGCCCAACGCCTAATTGAATAAGCTATTCCTCTTTATCGGCGGCCTCAAGATCCAAAGATCTTGCCTCCTAAGGGCCAACTCTGGGGAGCATCATCGAGTTCGAGCGGGACTGCTACACATAGGCGCCCGCAACCTAGAGGAGTAACGAATGAACTATTTACTAACCAACAGGAAGTGACGGGCTGTGTCGAGGTGCCGTCGTCTTCTGAGTCGAGATTGTGTCGAGTTGCCATGGCGTGAATGGCGTGAATTGGCGTGAATTGATGCGGAGATCCCAAGTTGCGCTAATGGCGACCTAAAGAGTGGCAATAGACATGTCACGTGATCTGCGCTTACGCTGTTGAGAGCCAAATTCACTAGCACGTGTTGGGACTAGCGCGGTTGGACTCATGCTACCATCGCCTGATGTCGCTGTAGCGGTGGAGAGTGACAAACGAAATGAAGGTTATTAAAAGCATCAATAATTAGTACTGATCTGTTTATAAAAGGAGAAAAGCCCTAGGGCTTTGACGAGTGAAGTAAACATATCTGTGGTATTGCAAACGGGCAGGCGCGTCGCATCGGGTCACGTGTGAACACTCACGTGCAACAGAAAGGAAATATAGAAGCGGCTTACTGGCTGCATACTGCATCCGTGCACATATTTCATGTAGACTGAGGTGTTCACTCAGACAGATTTTGAACAGAAATTTGGCGAAAACGAAAAGGCCTTTTGGCTGCTTTGATCTTCTTCGGGGTCACTAACGGAATATGGCTCAAACTCCCGAAGCTTCACTGTACAATGAGACATATCCACCCAGATCCTACGCGAAGCTCAAATACACTCTCGTTAAAGACAAAAAGAGTCATCTGCCGGAACCAAGCAATTGCTGACAGCAAACACCAACATACATTCAAGAAAAGGGTAGCGACTGTTGGCTCAATGGTTATGGCGATGGAGATGAAGGCATCATAAAAACTCTAGCTGGAGCGCTGCATGTTGCCTAATTTGGCAATCCAAGATTGCACAAACGCCAAGCTTGAATGTAGCCACGGAAGAGCATTCAGTGCTATGTACATGTACCTGTCTTCTCCATATCGGTACAAGATCGGCTGCAAGATAGAGATTAAGTGGCGATTGGTTTAAGCATTGTCATTATGACAGAGCTGTTCCGCTTCTTGCCGATCTATTACACAGGATAGATCCTCTAGGATTGGTCTTATATGCATCTCGAGCTGCGTTTCTGAGTTAACAGAGCGCCACGCCGTCAATGTGGTCGATCCAGGGGAGTATTTTACGTATAGAAATAGAGTAGATGTAACCTTATAACTCTATTTCAAGTCTGGCTGTGAGCTCCGAAGGATCACATAAAGGATCAAGATTCTATTTAGACCAAGTCCAGCGCGCTCAATCTATCCCGCGGTGGAGTTTCAGACTAAGACATTGTATGAATACACGAATCAGAGGCAACGATATCATCCCACTGGGCTAGAGGATCGCTGCAATACAACCTTGGACAAGCAGCGCGATCTTTTGTAATTGTCTCAACAGCCGAGGCAGATTCTGAGGTTTGCCTCTGCTCAAGTAGTTACCAAAGGGAGTCGGAAACGTGTATTTAAAGGGCAGAGTTCGCCTCACAATACAAAGAAAATGAGAATAACAACATTCTACTGTTGACTCAAAAACAAACTTCATCAAAGACCAAGTTACTATTCTATTAAAATGCATTTCACGAGCTCAATTGCCCAAGCTATTCTCTGCCTCTCAGTGACAGTGAACGCTTCAATTGCCATCGGAAACCAAATACGAGAAGGAAAATCACATTTCAATGTCGCCTGGGTTGAAGGAGTGAGCCCATGTCAGGGGGATGTTGAGATCGCACTTGAAAGCTCGAAGCTTTGCAACCAGAATTTTCAGCTAAATGGAGAGTCGTACTACTTGGTCAGCTATTACATGAATAGAATAAAGCCTAGAAGACTGTTGAAGCTTACATTTCATCAGGTTGGATGCACTGATCCTAATACGGGTTATGCTCAAAAGCCACAGAGGCTTCGACGGGTCAAGGACAATTCGCTCTATGGAACTTGTGCACCAGTTTCGAAGAAGACTATCAACTGCAAAGGGTCAACCCATGATGTGGTGAAGCGATATATTTGTGGCTAAGCCTCTAAAAACTCAACTGGCTCGCATCGATTAAAGAAGTGGGTGATTCGATATTTGCCAGCGGTAGGGAACAAATGTTGAGAAACATCAAGTGTTGGAGAAGTGGGGATTTGAGATTGGTTGATCTTTATATATTGATCTTATTATAGTTTGATCTAAAAAATACTTGGAGCATGAGTTTCGTATATGGTTACTCTCAAGTTACTCTCTTCTTGTTTACCAGCCGCTCTCCGTCGTAAGTGAAGATATGGTGACGTACATCCGCAAACAAAAGGTATTACCTATATGTAGCTGTCATACTACTATCCAAGATACCTGTAATAATTGCTACTATCAATCATTGATCCAGATAAGAACCGGCTAGAGGCTGTAGTCCCCCGTTCCCATCCCCCACCCCCCTCCTTTTTCTTCTTCTTCTTTCTTTCTCTTTTAGTTCCTACTGCAACCTCGCTCTATGTATTCTAACCATAGGATTCAAACACAGCACTTGATAACGAATTATTTCCAGTATTTTTGAACCAGTATAGGTTTTATTAAGGAAAGTCTAATGTCTATATAATTCACCGTGATATCTTCGTCGCTACCCAAAGCCCGCCATGTTCCGAGTCCAACTTGTACTCCGCCATGCCCGAAAAGGAAATGCTATGCTAGGAAAGATGGTATTAAGAGAGAAAAAGAAAAGGAGCTGCTTAGAAGCTGCTTAGAAACCGCTGTTGGGGTTGGGGTTGGCACGGGTGAAGCCTCCGTTCTTGCCGCCTTGAATAGTTCCGACGGTGGAAACACCAGTGCCAGCAGCAATGACCTTCTGGTTTGAGAGAGTGTTCTGGGAGTCGAAGTTCTGGTTGACAACACCGACCATGCCCATCTGGCAGTGGTTGCCCTTGGTCTGGGGGCAGTAGTACCAGATGGGGTTGTTGTCGATAACGGTGATCTGGTAAACGTTCGGGTTCTGACCTTCTTTCGTCGGAAACAAGAACCCTGCAAAGAAACTGGTGCCGTCGGCGAGAGGCTTGCAAGGGTGGGCAAAGTCGGATTGAGCAACGGAGTGGTTGGCGGCGGTGAAGTGCCACTCGATGGTGTCGCCAATCTCAGCTACAACGTTCTCGGGATCGAAGTGAAGGCCGCCGCGTCCAACAACCACGGAGTGAGTGACTCCGGTCCATCCTGTGCGGCTGACCAAGTCGTTTCCAGTAGTAGGAGTGCCAGCTGGAGCAGCGGAAACGCTGGCGATGACAGCGGCGAAGAGGGCAAAGGCCTTGGAAGCGAACATTTTGATGTTTGGTTGAGAGTGAGGTGTTGAGAGAAGAAGTGGTATTAGAGTATGGTAGAAGCTGTTGTTTGCTTGCTTGTTATTGCTTGTGATGATGATGATGAGAACGGATATTACAGCGGGATCAAAGGTTCTTATTTATACAAGCTTTCATCTAGAAGTCAGCACTTCATCGTGAACTAACATAGTGGTGATGACTACATTGCAGTAGTACAGCCTCTCGGCTGGAAGCCCAACCGAGCAAGGTGCGATATTTCGGGTCAGTTCTCATCTTTGGCCTTACCAAACCCGCCCGCCTCAGCACTAGCTTCGCCATATTCCGAGCCTCCAGTCATCCTCAGAGAATGTGTGATTGGGTAATTTGCAGAAATCCCAGCCTTAGTTGACAACCAACTCGTTGGGTCCAAGTCGTCAGCACTATAAGGGCATTAGCTCAGGTCTGCGCCGCCACCGGTTCAAGCCAGCTCCGTATGCAAAAATAAGCTAGCCATGTCAGCCCCATGAGCTTTGCCCTATTCATGGCCTATTAATAGGATAGCTTGTCGTGACTAAGGATCCAGACTCGTGCCTATGAATAGAGCTCCCTAGAGCACTGCACAGTACAACTGGGCGAAATTCCGTGATTACTTTTCAGCAAAGAAGCTTAAGCGGACCAAGCGCATAGTGGCGCCAGTCTTACAGGCACAGCTACGTGTAAGGCATTATCTTACTGACTTGGTGATGTGGCGCCGCTTTACAAAGCATTCTATCATTAGACTTATGAGGTTAAAAAACGTGGCGTTGGGTAGCAACCCAACTCTGATCAATGGGTAGCACAATTACCCTACTGAATCCTCACGACGCGGCCAACCGAGTCATATGCGCAACAGATTCTGCAATTCCTTCACTTTCGGTGTCTCTCATTACCCTCATTGACGTCACATTGTCTTTTGTTTCAAACTGCCACTTTTCGTGGATTTCCGAAGCCCAACCGGCTTGTTTACTTGGGAGCACAATGTGCAAGTGCTGACTGGCTGGAGACTTAAAAGTTTCGTTTCGTTTCATGCAAGGGGAACCGAATAAACGTTGAACCATGCGCTAGAATTCTTTTTCCCGCTTTGGGGGCGTAAAAAATAGCCCGTACAACCACGGAATGCTGGGATCTGCCCCGGATTGACGGTAATCCGGAGAAGCTTTGTGCGGCCACGTAATTATCTGGTAATATGAAGCATTAGTGCTACTAATTTGCCAATATTGCTCATAGACAGTGAGATATAAGGCCAGGATTCTTGTGTTACAGAGGGATAAAAGTTCATGGCGAAGGATGAAGGATGAACGCCAAAAAGCAGACGGAATCTGTCGCTCAGCCATGGAGAAATGCTGAAAAGCCTGATCCTTCGGAGAAGACGCCTTCTTTACAGCACATTCGCAGAATGAGATCTATTTAGACACTAGTCCTCTTGGAAGATTGCAGTTCTATTATTTGGAGGACTATGGGCGAATAAGCAATACCGGCTTGCTTTTAGTCACTGGGATGTGTTCTTTCACCGACTTCTGATCGGTATGGAGCCTTGGTGGCTGCTTCTTCGTGCATTCTGCCAGTACCGATTGGTGAATATTCTAAGCGTCGTGGTCACTAGCCGCCATAGTTCATTCTCTCTTACTATCCTCGTTATTCTGAGCTCACTCCGTTACTGCTTGACAATAGCTGCATGAGTTGTCTTTTTATAGCTACTGATCGGTTCTTGGTTCTTTTATTTTTAAGTAAGGCATGAGATGCATCTCTACCCAAAATATACAGCATATCAACTGAATGCAGCTGTCATCAATGGCTTGAATGGCATTGCCCAGTAGGTGATGGCCACGTGCGAACTAATGGAACGCAGTAAGCTATTAATGCATGGACACTGCATGCACCTGTATATCATTATACCAAAGTCAGCTGATATCTTTCAGACTGACTTAGAAACGTATCTAGTTCGATAGAGCACTCGTTCACTCCAATCCTCTCGTACCGAGGAGGGTTTTCGCTCGTACGGCGTAACACGAGGAGATTCGCTCTGACGGTCTCAGTTCCTTCGCCTGCAGTTCCTTCGTCTTCAGGATCCATCTCACTCGAAGTTGTGCGTCCAAAGAGCAGGCAAAAGACTTGCGAACTGGAAGAGACGTAGTCATTTCCTGGCAAATCTAGGCTGTAGTCTGGATTGAATGTGGTAAACTGTCCGCAAATATGCAATCCATAGTCTGTCCCCCTCTCGCTAATCAGCAGATGAGAAGTATCTGTGGCATCGCGCATTGCTTCCAAAGTCTTAGTCCAATCCTGGCCGTGATGAATGATCCCAGGAACGACATGCCCAGCGAGTGTCAATGTTCCGCTCACCACATCGCCCAAGAATGGATCACTACCGGAGGCATATTTCACGTCGCTTCCCAAAAACTCGATGCCCTCTAAAGAAGTCTGCCAACACTCTTTATCTCCATCCACAGAGGCCCATGACCACGTTGGGATCTGGGGATTGGGCCGCGGACCACGGGGAGGCTCGGTAAGATACCAAAATAAAGTGCTTTCAAGCTCATTTTCCCAAAGCCCGCACAGGTACTCTTCTGTACCATATCCCTTTGCCACCGCAGTCGTCTTAGCAATGCCTCCCAGAGCGGGTAGTCTATCCGTGGCAACAGTCAGAGGACGTTTAGCATATTCTTTAATCACCTCAACCCATGATTTGTCGCTAGTACCTCGTTTATAGGACCCTGTAGCCCCCTGGTGACGGACATTATTATTATCGAGCCACCCGCATTCACACTGGGTTGCCTCGAGACATTCCCAAACAAGTTCATTTCGTGTGAAATGGAGCATTCGACGGGATAGCAGCTGTTCCTGATAGACCCAGCCTCGAGTCAAAGTCGGCCATTCTAGCTCAGGATCCTCGGTCGTCGCCTGGCCGAACCAATATGACTCGTCGCCCATCCAGCTGAAATGAGGCTTCCTGCGGCGAATAAAGATGGACTGGCCACCAATCTCGGCAACATCTACCCCCGATTCATGAGGCGCGCTGTGATCTCGAAAAAGACGTTGCCCGACCTTGTCGCACCAGGAGGCCGCAATTGTGATGTCCGCATTTTTGTAGATCGATGCCATCAAAGATGCCTCTCTTTTCCAGTCCTCTTTGTCATCTTGCACTATGCACAGACAGTCGATCCATACGTACTCGATGCCCAGTCGCCGCAACACAGACACGGCATCCTGCATCATCTCTGGCAAGCTTGATAGAGGCATCCCATTCTGCTTTCGATCCAGCATATTAGTTGCCAGGAGACTCTTTGTCGGCGTTTCCTGTGTCCATCTGTGGCTCAAGGCAGCATATGGCACAGCATGCTCCAAATTCTCGACCAGCTCGAGGAATTGACAATCTGCTTGTTCCTTTCCCAAGTAGAGAAGTCGGGTTGGCACAAATGTTGCATCATAGGCTTGGCATTCGCCGTGAGAGTCTCGACAGGCGGCTAACCAGGCAGCCGCTTGACTGAGAGATTTCTCGTCTCCTGTTGAGCGTGAGAGTTTATAGCCTCTACACAGAGCAGCATGCGGCGATGGCGGCTCGTCTGCAAATAGTACGGGCTTATCCAGTGACGCATCGCTGCAGCAAATCTCCAAATTCTGCTTCGTGCCATCGGCGGTTGTGATTTCTAAAAGTGGACTTCCCGGAGAGTTTACGTAAGGGTTCCATGTGGCTTCATGAAATTCGATTTCCAGTGTTTTGAAGGCTCTGATAAAAGCTGTGCACCGGCTGCAACCACGTTCAGAGGATTTAACCAGATCCGTGAATCTGAATTCGCGATCGTCAGATTCGGCAAATGCATACTCCCATCGCTCGCCTACGTCCGACGGGAGCGATTTAGCCGTCGGATTGAGCTCAAAGAGACAGACACCGCACCACTGTTGTTTGTCTCTTCGTACCATTGACTTGATGAAGTCTAGCATGACCTCCGATGTTGGTTGGTGTTTGCCCAATGAGATTGAGTCACGACGACTGATGTGGGGTTACCGAAGAGGCCTGAGACGTGAGAAAATAGAGGGGTAAGGTTCTTCTTCTCCAGCGTCTCTCAGTCTATACTTGGGATATCGAAATAGGGCATTTGACAGTTGGGCGTATTGAGCTAGCCTATGTACTCTGTAGATGTTGAAGGCTAGAGTCTATGCAGTTGCTCTCGTGTAAGCAGGCGGTATAGAGTTGAATAGTCGTAAAAGTCGATACGGTAAGCCTCGCTGAATAGTAATCGCCGGTCTAATCTAGAGGCCAGGCCTATTGATGAAGCTACAGGGCTTTGTCGACGTATTAAACTAGCCTCGGAAAAGGCCCGTCTTACCTCCAAGTGGGTATCCAATAGCTTGAGCGAGAACAGGCCTGGATATCCGTGACGCTGATTGGTTAAATGCCTTTATGTGTGTGTATATACGTGTTGCTTTGCTGATACTACACCCTTTTTGTCGAGAATTTTTTACTCTGTAAATATAGTTGTGATCTAAACTACATGTCCCTTGTAGACAGAAAGTTAGGTAAGTGGACTCTTGATGGCAAGTGCGCACAACCTAGGTCTAGATTGGTTAACGTCTTAATTCTGACAAGAGTGCGTATATACAATCGACTTTTGCGTATAAACTTTGCTATTTATATATAATACAATGTTCCATCACTCGCCAGCTGTGATGTACGCTAGAACCCTTCGAATATCATTGCTTACAGACCAGGGGCAATCTTCTGCTGGAAGTTGCCGTTTTGAACCGCCAACTGGGCTTCCCAAAGCATGGCGCCTGCATAGTTGGGGAGGTTCATGTTCTTCACATCTTGAATGGCGCCCAATAACGTATTAGCATCGGCAAAGCCCTGATCGCCATCGGCTCCACTGGCCAAAGCACCGATATAGAGCTTGGCGTTGCCAATACCGCTGCTCCAAGTCTGGACAGAGTTCAAGAAGTCAGATTGCGCAATGTTGCAGTCGCCGTTATTGTAAAACTGGACCCAGACAAAGTCCAATTCGCTGCAAACGTCTTGAGGCTGCGAGGCATCGGGGAAGGGGCATTGAGGAGCGGCACTGAGGAAATAGCTCTTGCTCGTGTCGTTTTGGAAGTTGGACTTGAAGCGCTGAACCATAGCTAGGTAACCTGTGGGGTTGCCAGATTCATTGTCTGCTTAGTGTTAGCAATATTGGCCTTATCACTAATTTATTCATGTCACTCACCCAAGTCAAAGCCGTCAAGCTTAATGTCTCCAAAAGGACGTAGCTCTTGGTTATCAGTGCCGCCACCAAACAGATTCCATAGCGTATCAGCGATTTTCTCTCCGTCAGAGTCTGACTGAAGAGTAACATCGGCACCAGCGCCACCAAGGCTGAGAAGAACCAGCTTCCCGGCCGACTGGCACTGCTGAATAGCATCTACAAGGCTGCTGCCATCCTTGAGACCAGTGGCACCAGCGCTTTGCTGAGCTTGGGATGGACCGTCCAACCCGCTGAGGCTGAGTTGGGGAAAACCTCCTGCAGCAAAGAAGGTGTCGAGGAAGGCAAGATTAACAATGCCATAAGAACTGTCTGAACACACATCATTCAACGTCGTTGAATCGTCTTCTGCTCCCCAATAGACGGCTAGTTCAGGACCGGAGGGTTGTGCACTGGATAGTGCAGCCAAGAGGCTTGTTACGGCGGCAGCCTTACGGAAGTACATGGTATAAAAAGAAGCGATTATATATACAATAGAAATGCTTTCAAAGAGCGTAATGGGAAAAGAGTGAAGTATGTACTAATGATGATTCAACAAAACAATGGCATCACAACTCATGATATGAGCACGATTCTATATAAGATTTCGCCGAACCTGCTCGTCTCAACACCGGAGTCCATCCCAGGATGACTTAACGTTACTCGGCAGGTGCCATTCAAATTTTCAGACTCTTCAACTTTCCCATGATGATGAGAGGGACGCAATGCAGATCTTGAGATGCCCTATGAGACGGATGTTACATGCAAAACAGTTTGAGACGACGATCTTTGCTAGTATGAGCATGAAACTTACGCTAAAAAGGGCAGCTCAGTCTGAATGAAACGCAAATAAACTGGACGCACTCATAACACGAGCAATTCAATTCTAGAGAACAAATTGATTAGATGACCAATGTAAGTGAATTCGGTCCTACAGCTGGTTCGGAGTGACGATCACGGAAAAACTACACGAAGTCGAAGAGACGTGCTACTCTGGCCTTGGTGTTGTCTGGACCGTACTCCGCCTATGCCCTCCAAAAAAGTATTGTACTCGATCGAAGTCCTATTTTCTGGCTACGTGCTATCTTGTGAGCACAGACTCTGTTGCATGGCTAGAATTGGCATTTTGACATCTCCTACATCAGAATGAAGCTGTAAGACTGTCGCAGGTATCGTGAAATGCTCTCTATTCTAGGTCCCACCTTCCACTGAAATTGTTACAACGCCAATTGCCTGATTAGGAAGGTAGCCTCCCGGAGCAGAAAAGTCCGCTGCTAGACTCCGTGCCGTGGCCTGCCAGACGCAGCCCATTTCAGCTGAGTCTCAAATTTTGTCAAAGCGCTCAGACTGCGCCCAATGAAAAGAGGCTCACAAAGATGGTTCGTACTAAAGTTTGTGAACATGTTTATGGCTTGTAAGAGATCTGCATCAGGAGCCCCTGGAGCCAGATGTCGCCCAGCTGAAGCGGCAGGACGCGGGAGGCTAGACCAGTCTCTTACATGGTTGAGCTTACGGCAGTGATGATTACTTTGTGCAATGGCTAGTTTTTCTGCCCAATCTGTGTGTTTTGGTTCGCGTCATGATGCCCTCTTCAAACCGCTGACTGCTAGCACAATGAACATTGCGCCATACTAAAGGGTAGGATACGCTTACCACATTGCCTCCGTATCTGGAAATATAGACCCAGTCGTCTAACACCTGCTGTATAATTTGAATGCATAGCTAATTATGATCTCTTGAATCGTATGCTAAGATAGTTGATAGATGCCATGCGTAGTTACCCGAGAGTTGCCATTATAAGAGTGAGCATATCCAGCCAGCATTCCAGTTTCCCACCGACTCACCAGGTCTGGGCGCATGAAATACTGAATGAGAGGGATAATTGAATGATAATGATGAGTTGAAAGTGTCCATATGGATGACTAAGATAATATAACTTATCTCAAATGCATTATTTGATGCTGGTCAGTAGCTTATATGTAGGGACGTGTTACTAGGCCACCATCGTAGAGTATATTGGAAGCAACTCCTCTGGCTCGATGCCCCTCGGCCTATCATATATAGTGCCGGGCCCCACGCCTCTTAGCTGGTAGTAACCTAGCCTTATCATCATCACAATACAATCACTACGTTCACTCTCTTGTGCCTCGTTCAATAGGTTATGAGCCCTCGTGCTTCAAACATCACGACTATAGCCTCTCTTCAACTGTTCACCGTTCACATCGCGTTATACACGCTCACTGTTCACATCGCGTCACACACGCTCACTGTTGACATCGCGCCGACAACGCGTCACCATTCACCTGGCACATCACCATGGCCAGCTCCAACTTCAACTTCAAGCTGGACCCGGCTTGCCTCCCCCAGCTGACAAGCAAAGGGGACAACTACAGCGAGTGGAGAACTGCATGGCAGATAGCCTACGAATGGGCTGAACTGTGGGATACTATTGAAGAAAAACCTCCAACTCTTCCAAATAAACGGGTTCTGTGGCGTAGTAGGTCCACATCCTAGCTAAATGATTGAGGCTGCTACTGCTACTACTACTGCTACTGCTACTACTGCTACTACTGCTACTACTGCTACTACTGCTACTACTGCTTTTATATATACCTATTTAGTGGTTGTGCATTTTAATATGTAGACTAGCTGCCTTGTTGTGCTACAGCAAGATTGGGGTGCTAGATAACTTCTCCCTTGAAAATAGGAAGGCCGCTAAGGCTGCCACTAAGGTCTCTAGAGACAAGGAAGTTAAATAACATAGGAAACACTAAAAACGGATAAGAATAGACTCCCTTCTTTACAGCTATTTTTATATGGAACAGCCGGGACCAGTGTTCAGGGGGCTAAACGCCATAGAACCCGTTTATTTGGAAGATAATTACTCTGCGATGGTGGCCTGGTAACACGTCCCTATATGTATGATATGTATAAACGTATAAGCTTGAAGACTACCAATATAGGTGGCCGTTCACATTCAACAATTGCTTCTTCTATGCTCTCAACAACTGTTCAAGAACTTTTCACTGACTCTCAATAGCTGATTTACCTTGTCAAATTACTTGGAATGACATGTTGTGCGCAAAATAAGGGTTGTTGATAAAAGCAACTGCCGGTGCCCTTTAGTCGATTGCATAATCTGCTACCCTACTGTGCGACCATGGCATTTTTCGCATTACGATTCTTGAAATATCTAAACACACAAACAAGTAACGGCAAAGGAGTCGGCGCTACTGTTTTCAGGCTATAATGAATTACTTATTCATACACCAGGTGATCATCCAACGTAGCTCAAGTAGTATGTAATTATGTTCATCTTTGATTATCTTTGACGCATTTTGTTTATAATCGGCTCGTTAAATCAAGGTGGGGGTCATAGCTACATGTATGCACACGGCATTTTACTCGGTAGGAAATACTCCGTAGGATAATACATCCCTGTGAGGTGGTATTGAGGACGGGTATCTAATCCAAAGACGTATTTTCATTTAGCCAAATCACCCGATCGGATGTCTCCCCGCTTTGTTGATCGGGTTACAAGTCTTTCGCAACGTCAGTTGCGGCAACTTATGTAGCCCGTAGTATCCGCAGTGAACATAAAGTTGGAAAATCCCAAACATATGCTTCGTACACAGTCTTTAAGTCTATCTGACGTAAATGAAGTAGCTGTTACAAGATGCTGCTTAAGCATTGGAAAGCTGCCGCATTCTTGGCCATCTCGGTCGCCTCACAGGTTGACGCAAGGTTTGAGCGGGCCGACAGCAATGATGGAACCGCCAATAAAGCACCCAACAAAGATCAATTTATTGACTCATTGATCTCAAAGATGTCTGTGAGCGATTTGGGTAAACTTTACGTTCATACGCGAAACAATAGCGCATTTCCTAACATCATGTACATGTAGTTTTGCAGCTGCATCTCATGTTTGCTGATGACATTGTTGGAAAAGATTCACATAATGAGCTTTACGGTAAACATAGGAAAGTCTCAATTTAAGCAGACAACTGACGCAAATAGACCAAACGATGCATCTCAGCCCAAAATCTCCAATTGGAGTAATACATGACTGGTACCCTATGAACAAATCTTACTTCAACAGTGTTCAAAAACTCCAATTGGAAAAGTCGCATATTCAAATACCGATGATGCTCGTTGAAGAGTGCCTCCATGGCGTTGGCAGCTTCAAGCAGTCCTTGTTTCCGCAGAACATAGCCATGGCTGCTTCATTTGATACAGATATCGTTTATCGAGTTGGGAGAGCTATAGGAACGGAGGCATCGTCAATTGGTGTCCACGGCTGCTTTTCACCAGTTCTTGACCTTGCCCAAGAGCCTCGATGGGGAAGAGTTCAAGAAAACTTTGGCGAAGATAAAATTCTCACATCGCAAATCGGAGTTGCCTATTCTTCTGGTCTATCCAAGAATAAATCTTTATCTGATCCAGACGCCGTGTTTCCGATTATGAAGGTAAGTTTTCTGTTGTTGTAGTTGTGTGTAAAGTGATGAACTATGAACCTCAACAGGCCTCTGGGCTTCACCCTTTTTATTTCAATATAAACTGACAAGCCACAGCATTTTGCGGCCCACGGTTCCAGCCAAGGAGGCAGAAATACAGCGCCATTCACGGGGCTTGGAACTCGGCAGATTATGCAAGATCTTCTCATCCCATTCAAAGCCAATTACGAGCTTGGAGGCGCCAGGGGAGTAATGATGGCCTACCACGAAATTGATGGAATTCCGTCTACGGTTAATGACATGCTGTATCAAGCTCTGAAAGACTGGAATTACGACGGGCTGGTGATTGCTGACGACACGGCATTGAGAAATCTTTTGACAGAGCATAAAGTAGCAAGCTCTCAAGCAGACGCTATGCAACAATGGTTCAACGCTGGCGGTATGATTGACTATTATGACTGGGATCTGGATTCCTATATAAATGTGAGTAGGCCAAAAAGTTTACTTTGGATATTTTACTAAATATAGACAGACCACGCAAGATCTGGTAGCCAATGGATCCGTCCCACTCAAGACCCTTCAGTCGCATGTTCGGCAAATTTTGGGCATCAAATGGGATCTGGGCCTTTTTAACAATCCTTACATTCCTGATGATATTGATCCTCTTGCAATTGTTGCCAGTCACCAAGACGTTGCATTAGAAGCGGCGCACAAGAGCATCATACTGCTCAAAAATGACAACAACACTCTTCCGCTGGATCCATCAGCTAGGGTCGCACTGATTGGGCCATTTGCGGATACTATCAATTTTGGAGATTACTCTGGTGCTCTGGGGCAGTACCCTGCAAATTATGCGCACACTCTGCGTCAAGGCATGCTAAGTTATTTGAAGAACAGCAGCTCGGGTGGCCGACTTACATCAAGCTGGGGTGCCAACAGCTGGGAATACAACAACCAGTATGTGATTCCAGGATATCTGCTATCAACTTTAAATGGGACAAATGGGGGTTTGCAGGCAACGTATTATGCCGGAACCAATTTTACTTTTCCCAAAGCATCGAGACTAGAGGTTCCCGCCCAGGACTGGGGTTTATACCCCCCACCAGGTCTTTCTTCGAACAACTTCAGTGCTACCTGGGAAGGCCAACTTGAATCTCCGACTGATATAGACGTTGATGGATGGATTGGTGTTGCAATTGGTCCGAATAGCACATCGAAGCTCTACGTTGATGGTAAGCTGATTGCGTCCAAGGGATACGGCCCCGACAGCAACGTCCTGGGAAACATTGAAGGCTATGGGTGGATACAGCAAAACCATTCCATACCACCCGAGGATGGAGTGGATTTTACGTTCAAAAAGGGTGCCAAATACCAGATTCGTATCGAATTTCAGTCGTGGAACAACTTCAAAAAGACTGCCAATGTCAACTCTGTCAACTCGCAGCTTATCTTCTGGTGGAATCTAGTATCCCCAGATGGCGATGCTATCCACCAAGCAGTGTCCATTGCACAGGATAGCGATGTTATTGTCCTCGCTATGGGCGGGGCATGGGACAGTGACGCAGAGGGGGGTGATCGTGGAAAAATGGATCTCGCCCCAAGCCAAGATGCCTTGGCTAAGAAGATTTATGCCCTGGGCAAGCCGGTCGTGCTCGTCCTTGAGGGAGGACGACCATTTGCTATACCAGATCATTATCAACAGTCCGCTGCAGTGTTAGACACGCACTTCGGAGGGCAAGCTGGAGGGCAAGCAACTGCAGATGTCATCTTTGGCGCGTTTAATCCAGGAGGACGTGTGCCAATCACGATCCCGTACTCGGTGGGTCAACTCCCAGTATATTATAATTACAAGCCCTCCGCACACGCTGCTGCATATCTTGACATACCGTCTGATCCGTCATATCCATTTGGTCACGGCTTGTCGTATACTACCTTTTCGGCTTCTTCTCCGACAGCTTCAATTAGGAGCACCGGCTCAAAAAGATCCAGTGTTGATGCACGGGGTAGTAGCCAGACCTTTGGTACTGGTGACTGGATCGACTTTTCCGTAACCGTCCAGAATAATGGCACTGTTTCCGGCAGTTACGTCGTCCAGATATATTTGTTAGGCCGTGTATCCACCATTACACAGCCTGTAAAGCAGCTCGTCGCTTTCCAACGAGTTTATCTAGATGCTGGCGAGAAACAGACTGTCTCACTTGAGCTGGAAGTGGATCGATATTTGATGATTCTTAATCGGACAAACAAATGGGAATTGGAGAAGGGGGCTTACACCTTTGCTCTCTCGGAGAATGGAGGCAGCAACACCGACACTAGTAGAAGCGTCACGCTGCAATGCGTAGGTTGAATTTATACCTCAGTCTAAGCCCATGCGGTTTGGATCAGAATGTCTAGACGTATACGTATACGAATAAGACGGAAATGTTTTCGGTTTTACTTTCATCCCCATTCGCATTTCTCTCGGCATTGGCCACACTGATTCAGCTACTTGAAGTATTAAAGTATAATCTAGCTGTAGTTGAATTGAATTTGCCTACATCTACCTATTCGCGGCTACGTGATTAAGCTTCTCTCAGCCTCTGTTTAGCATACTTTGAAGCTAACATGACCGTCTCGTATTGCAGATACTGTGGGATGTAAATGACGGCAAAGACTGTCGTTGTCGGATAGGCACTTATAATAGCCTGATTGAATGATTAAGATACAGGATACCAAGTATTATCTGAGCGATATACTGCATATTAGTGCTTTTCCATTGATCCCAACAGTCTTGACCAACTCAAGAGAGAGCTGAAAGTCCACGCCGCAACTATGCGGGGCGAGATGGCCTGCTAGCGTATGCTGACGATTACGTACACAATAAACGTGCAGCGGCATTTCAACTCTAACAGGCATACGAGCTGGCCAGCTGTAGGGATTCGTTGAATCAATTACTCGGGACATGGAAGCTGTTCAGGCTCCCATGGCAACCCCGCTGTCGCCCAACAAGCCGGCGCATCTCTTGCCCCGACTCTGCGGGCAGACCTAGCCTGGCCGGAAGTATTTCGCGAGGTCCAAACCAATAGTGACCCCTTTCCCAGCCTGATGTGGCCTAGCAGGCGCTTAATATAGCATCAGCTCCTAATATAGCATCAACAACGGGCACCCATTCGGACGGGAAAGCCATGTACCCCACTTGCTGCTATCACCACCATGGGCTTTTCGCGGAGTTGCTAGCAGCAAAGTGCGGTCCACTCGTCGCGTGGTTGGATAGAGCCAAAGATGTGCCAGGGGCATTAGTAAACAGATCGGGAAGAGAGTCTTTCCTTGAGATCTCGAGTTCTCCCGTGTCACTTAGCTAACGCGGTCATGGACAGCAGCCTCTCCTATTTTCAATTATTTGGAATTTCGAGCGTTCGGAGTCCAGAGATGGAGTGGTATTTAAGATGTAACTAGTTCCTTGAGGTAGAGATGTTGAATTCGAGAAATAGAATACTCAGACGCAAACTCAGACTCAGCAATCTCGCCTTTCATTTTGCACTTACAGCCAATATGCGTGCTACCACTTTCACCACCGCCGCTGTTCTCGCACTTGCTTCTCATGCAAGTGCGGAGACAATCAAGATCGATGTTGGAGCAAATGGTCTTGCCTTTACTCCCGACAGTGTGACGGCAAAAGTCAACGATATACTCGAGTTCCACTTCCACCCTATCAACCACAGTGTTGTACTAGGCGACTTTGCAAACCCATGCCAGCCAGCCAAGAATGCTTTCTTCTCAGGATTTCAACCTGTATCCTCGGGCGTGGGAAACGAAGTTTTCCAAGTCACTGTCAACTCGACCGACCCCATGTTCTTTTACTGTTCACAAAACGTCCTCTCCCACTGCATCAGCGGCATGAGCGGAGTGGTGAACCCCAACTCAACCCAAACTCTTGATGCATACCAGAAGGCTGCGAAAAACGCAAAGGATGCCTCCAATCCCAGTTCCGGACCGGTGGGCGGACGACTTATTACTTCGGGCTCTTCATCCACAACATCCGCCGCCCCTGCTGCCACCACTTCATGCACCGTCAGCAGCAAAGGCAGCGGCAATGGCTACAAGCGATCAGACACTTGCTCTGGGGCTGGCTCTGTCACGGCGTCTGTCGGTATCGTTGGTGCCTTTACGCTTGGCATGGCAATCTTGCTGTCTTAGAGCATTGTCTCTATGATTAGAGGTTTTCTTATGAAATCGGGATGCGTCTATGGACGGTACTGCAATTCGACATGTACATAATGTTAGACTTAATGAATAATTGATACATTACACACGTTTTCTGCGGGAATGCCTTTAACAAACATTGTGCTCTATATTAACCTTATGCGGTAAACACCCGCGGCGAGAGATCTCCTCTAGGCCCGCCTTAAAGCTATGGTAGGGTTATGTAATCGTCAAAAAGCTTATAAGCTGGTGTGTTCTTGTGTCTTTGTTTTGCCTCCTTATTGTCGTGAATCATGACTCGTGATCATACCGCAACAAGTATATCATAAGCGTTAAGCTAGCACACATGCCTATTGTGAGCCGCAAGCAAAGAACTTGAAGGATTTTATGACGTCTCCTCCAAGGCCAAAGCAATTATCACTGTCAGCGTCGTCAATCACATAAGAAGCACCAGTGCAGTCGAGGTTGTTGCGGTAGAAAGTTGCACTGCAGCCTTCAGCAATGGTACCAGTCTGAAGAGACAAGAAGCTGGAGTTGAATGAATAGCATTCATTTTCTGTGAAGGTGTCCCATGTAAAAGCAGGCGTAGCAGACCCAGCGTCGCAGAAATTGTTCTGGGTGTACACCGTCAAAGGAGCGCTGCAGAGATGGTTAAATCATTCCAAGTTGTGGTAGAAACTCGCAATGTGCTTACATAGCAGACACAGTGGTAGCTGTGACAAGCAGAGCTTTGAGTAACACGGCGGTGTTCATCATTTTGAATGAAGTGTGGGCTGAATATTTAGAGACGTGAACGAGATGGTTATTAACAAGATTGAAGCTCAACGTCCAACAATGTGAATATATATAGTTTCAGGATTTACGTGTATTTGTGGGTTAAAGCTACAAATAAGATATTGTCACAATTCTCGGCTGTTTCCAGTTCATTGTTCGAAGCCCATTGGTGGAAGGTGGACTCAAGCAAAGCCAGCATCGGATGGTCTGCTGCAGAGCAACAGTGTAGGTAGCATTCGGCAAGATCGCCTGTTATAGACAAGACCGTCCGGCAGTAAGAATGGATCTTAGGCAGGCGTATGGAGCTTAGATAGTATGAGAAGATTAATATAAAGCAATTTGTAGTTGGTGTAGGACAAAACGCTTCACAAAGGAAAAATACCTGTCATAGCAATCAATTGATTTCATGATTGTAGTTACCAAACTCTTGTGATTTCACAAATACTTCCATTATTGTCTTTATTATCTAGCGACAAATGCTTGGCAAACTGCTTGGCAAGTAATTGCTATGCCTAGGTACTACCTCTTTGACTCGTAAACAAGTTGGATCGAACCCGGCTAAAGTATCCTGCTCTAGCCAGAATCGTGACCCTTTCCCGTTAGATGTAATATATTATCGTTCAATCGGTGTAATGAGTTGCCGATTGCATATTATCATAGGTATACGAAGCGGGTATAAGCGTCAAACTTGCTTTATCCCCAGTATAAATGTTATTATAAAGCGATTACTATTCTTGCAACAACTTGCATAGCTGCCAAGTTTCCAATTAGTACCTTCTGCATAAAGTCTAGCTCCTAAATTTGTTGGGCTATATTGCATTCTAAAGCTGCTCGCTTGGTTAAAACCAAGGGTCATTGGAAAAAAGATCTCGGCTAGTAATATCTTTATAATTAACTATAATTAGGCATTCTTTAAAAATTCCCCTGTTTGACCAATGACTTTATCATATTAATTTTCGGATTCTTGAATGCGAGTAAAATTCCCGGGTGGAGCTTCGTTCACAAATCATGGTAAGATTAGAAGATCAATAACTAATACAGCTGTGTTTTCATTCTGGGGTAGCTGTATGAGTATTCTATCTTACAGTTATGTGCTCTTGATGAAGGAAAGAATCAGCTCTGCGATTTCCTCTGGTGTATCCTCCAGCAGAAAGTGGCTTGCGTTCTCTAGATGATGGATGGGCGCATTGGAAAGTGCGGCTTTGAAGACTGGAATAACGTATTTTGCCAGCAGAACCTTATCCTTCATGCCGTAAATCATCATGGCCGGTTTAGCCTTGACCGCCTCCACGTTTTCAGGGGTTCCCTTCTCTGGCTTGAAACTTCCTGTAACAATGCTCTTCGGAAAAGCAAGGACACCGTGGCATTCGTCTGGTGTTGCGAAAGGCAGTGAATATGCGCGGAAAAACGCTTTAGACGCCTCATTACGTTCAAATTCTTGGAGTAGCTTCATTAATCCCACAATGGCTACCCCGGACGACCTCAGTACTGGTTCAAAGGCCCCATCAGCCATCTCTCGATCCGCCCAGCCAAACCACGCCGATTCCTTTTCATTCTTCTCAAAGCATTCATCTTCTGGAGTTTCTCCCATCGACAGCATGGTGTTCATGACCACGATACGGCGAATCAACTGTGGTTGCCTGATTGCCAAAGCTCCGCCAATCTGGCCACCCCAGTTGTGCACGACAAGAGTAATTTCGTGCAGATTAAGTTCGTTGACGAGAATCTCCAAATTTTCTGTATGTCTCTTCGCTGTGTACTCGACATTTGGAGTCTCGCTTTTGCAGAATCCCATAAAATCGAGTACAATAACTCTGTAGTTCTGTGATTATATTGGATGACCTCCATATATAAATCAGAAGATGTCGGTTCCCATGCAAGCACACAATTGTGAGGCCTTGTCCTTCATCGACGTAGTGCATCTTAAACGCTGGGACTACTGAAAAGTGAGGCTTAAATGGAAAAGTTCCATCAAAAGTCTCATTGTCGTCAATCATGGTGATAAGGATTGCTGAGTAACTGATGTTATAGTAAAATCTTTTGACGTCGCGGAATAGTGATGGTTGAGATGAGTCAACTATGGCGACTATATATAGCGAATATTCGCGCCTTCCGTAGCTAATCCTTATATAGGATATCTCCATGGAAATTTCCCATATAGGTGATTTAGAACAATAGCATGATCAGTCACTTCGTGATTCATGGTACTGTGCGTCACCATCTTCAATATCGCGTTTCAGAAAATTTCCTCGAAGCGACGATATAATCTCCATAAACTTTGAAGTTTGTAAGTCGATTGGTGAATTCGATCGGGGTTCTTTGAGTCTGGACTTCAGAACGAGCTCAGTAATAGAAATGGGAATTGTGGCCCCAGTCAGTTAAGAGGTGCACACAAAGCCAGCTACCAAATTCACGTCAGTTGAACTGAGTGACACAGAAACTTTGAGACAAGTCTAAGTGGAGTGAAGTCGGCCTTAGTTTATCGCCCATTTGGGAAAGTTTCCGCGACTCGTCTGCATGCTTGTCGCAAGTTACAATGCTATCCCTGAGAGTTAGCCTAGGCCATACTGCCGTATTTCCGTGATCGCCCTGGAGTGGAGTCTCGAGCAACGGGACTTTCCATGGTTGAAGCATTCATGTATCTGAGATACCTTATGTTGTAAGCTTGTATTCGACATCGGTTTGATACCCTATCGCCGAAGTCAACTTGCAGTCAACTGCAACGATACTTGCAACAATATATGGACCACAGCGAGAAGCGAGTACATATATGCCAGCGTCGTATTATCATGTAAGCCATGTTGCGTACAAATTATCCACAGTGACCGGTCGGACGAGGCAGAGGCTTTTTTATGCTGTCTATAGTCCCGTCCGAGAAACTCTTCGCGGTAAGGTCACCTCGTATAACCATATTGAAGATTGATGGGTGCACGTATGACCTGAAGCCCATATATTCTTATAAAGTCAACTAATTTCTAGAAACGTATATAGTAGTGCGGAACAGGCCATTGGGAGAGCTGTTGATTCAATTAGACGTGAATGAGTGGTTTCCAGACATAATGCCATCAGAAGACGAATAGTATTAGTGGAAGATTGCATTAGAAAGAGCAAGGTAAATAGTAAACAGCTATCTTGAACTCTGAATGGCTGGGCTTTCTCGTGTCTGGCCATGAGATTTAATCCATAGTGTGGCAACATAGGTACATGTAAGATCTCTGTGCCGTGACATCGATAGACAGCCCAGGTTTCCTAGCTTTAGTTTCAACACGATTATCGAGCTCGCACACTAAACTGAGCCACTGCACCCAAAGTGGTAAAAGGGTTGGCTAATCTTTTAGCGGTAAATAGCTAACTGTTCTGGAGCTCGTATCTTCGGGTCGCGTGGATAACTCTTCCCAAAGAGGAATTTTTCTGCGAGGAAAAGCTGACGGCATCACATTGCGGCTCACTTATAAGACCCTTGAGGCCATGCTGATGAAGCTGGTAAACGCTATCTAGGAATGTTTCGTAGAGCCGCGGCTATGGGATAAGTCACATCAACAGAGTTGTTCCCCGAGCATACTCTTGAACGTGAATAGTTGTTAGGCTGAATGTTCAAACCATTTAGTGTCAGGGTTGGATAGAGCGGCAACTGGAAATTTTGAGCCTACGAATCTCTTGAATAAATATGTTGTTATTTGCGCCCAGTAATGTCACTCTATACGTGTTGAAGATTGCTGCACGGCTATACAATGGAATTTGCTCAGAGATTCTATTCCCGGCTAGTTGGTGCAATACGCAACGGGCAACTGCTATTTGCTATATCCTGAAGAAGAGAATGGCTTCGTGTTCAAGTCTATGTTAATAAAGGAGATCCCATAAAGTTCTTCACATGTACTAATATATTTGCCAATAGAATGCACCGGATGAACAAAAAGAAACTCATTTCACTCATCCGAATATCGACCTGCTACCTCGCCTCTAGTATGTATATGCTCGGCGAGCAAGGCGTATCGGAAAAGTTCAAAGTTGGCCCCACGCCTACGGTTTTGGGACTCGCCATGTACGTGTTGGGATATGGCATTGGGCCGCTTCTTTTCGCGCCCTGGAGTGAAATTCCTGCTGTTGGTCGCAAATGGGTCTATGTCTCAACCTTTTTCGTCTTTGTGATACTCTCTATTCCGACAGCTCTTGTGAAGAACTATGCTGGGCTATTGGTTCTACAATATGTCACAGGATTCCTTGGTAGCCCTTGTGATTTGATCATCGATATGACAGACCAAATGAGGTATACTAGTGTCGATTTACAGACTTCGCTCACATATGGGATTTATTCTTCCTTTTTCGAATGTTTTCCTCTTCTTTGTCCTTATTTGTCCAACCATTTATGGCTTCAACCTTGGAGAAACCGGCCTTTGCTTCTTGACCATTGGCAGAGCACGCGTCTTCGGCATTATCACCTTCTTCACCTACCAATACTGCTATCTTCTTCCTGACATGGAAAAATGGGTTACAAGTCCTCGAATATCGCCTTGTGCCTGCACTTTTTGCAGTCGTTACACTTTCTGTGCTTATTTTATGTTCGGTTTTACGGTATGCAAAAACACTCACTGGATCGTCAATCTTATCGCTGTTACGATTTTGGTTACCTCCAATTTTATCATCTTCTAGAGCGTCTTTGTATACCTGCCTATGTCGTATCCCAAATATGCTGCTTCGCTATTTGCAGCAAATGACTTATGTCGCGCTCTGTTTGCTGTAGCGTGCATTCCAGCAAACTTAGCAAAGTGTCATTACAAATGTAACTAAATACGCATATAACTCAACTGCAGCCAGATAATACAGGCCGATGTTTTTGAATCTCGGAATTGCTGGCGGAGTGATTATTTTGGCCGGGTTTTCTTGTCTAGGCATATTTGGGATGTTCTGTCTGTGGAAGTATGGGGCGTGGCTACGGTCAAAGAGCACGTTTGCGCAAAGCTGAACGAGAACGTATTGATGAGAAAGAGAGGCTGGCATATACAGGATTTAACGTGAGCATGGATACAAAAGATTGCGCCCTAAACTAGATCGTTTGAGCCCCAATTTGAATTATAGACAAACAAAATACTAGAACGAAACCCCATTCCTTTCGGAAATAAGATCCAGTTTCGCCTTTAACAGGCCTTTGTCGATATTGATTCATTCGCTGCCGTCATACCGATAACCATCGGCTATTAGCTAGTCTCTGACGGGCTTGAGATTCTTCAATGCCATAATTCATGCCGCTAAAGTTTCTGTGTCCACGCCCTAAGGAATCTTACAAAGAGTGGGGATATGCCGCCACGGGTGATGGACTATCTATAAAGGCCATTCAGTCCCGCGCCTGTGAAGTTGCAATGGCGTGAAAGCTTCAAGTCGCTTATAAACTCCCTTCACCGCGATATGGGTCGAGAAGTCAGCAGTAAAAGCTGCCATACCTGCAGAAAACGCCGCGTCAAATGCGACACCAAGAAGCCCGTATGCACTCAGTGCGAAAAGTCAAAATATGAATGCCTTGGGTATGATCGCATATTGCGTATCGAATCCCATGGAGTTGGCTTCGGCACACAGCCGGGTCGCCAGACTTTGATAAAAATAGGGCAATCCAACTCTTACCCAGTCAACGCCCCAACTAGGACTCATGATACTTCTTCGCCTCGTGGTCGTACCAAGGGTCGCAAAGATCGCAGCCATCAGACGTTTGGCAACTGTACTCATTCAGCCACGGATTTGACAACAACTGCAGAGGCAAAAGACTCAAGGCTAGAGTTATCACACTCCCAACCGAGTTTTCTTGTCCAACCCAATTTAGAGCCGTTCACAGACAATGTTACTTTCTCCTATTTCTTCGACGCCTATAGCTGGATCAATATCCATTCTATTCTTCTCCAAGATACTCCAATGAGGCAAATTCTCGCTCAGCAAAGCGACGAGCTCTGCTATGATAGCCTTCGTGCTCTAGCATATGGGATCTTCGGTCGAGACCACCAATTAGATGGCTTGAGAAGAGCGGCTAGGCGCATCTACGGCAAGGCCCTTCGGCAGTTGCAATCGACACTAATGACAGCATCTAAACACGAATTAGCCGCTCTTATCAAGCCTATATCCATCATGGGATCTTATGCAGTACGATATGTTTGTTCAAGGCTTGCCAGATTGTGTTGCTTATTGACATCGTCTATAGATTGCCGTCGATTCCGATCTTCGCTTTGTACACAATTACGGATTAACTCAAATTCTCGAATATTGTGGTCCTGAACACTTTCAGGATTTGCCGGTTGTTTTCGAATCTACAAGATTCACAATGGTTAGTTTATGACCTACAGGAATGACATCACGTACTAATTAACAGTAGCTTGCCAATGCTCTTGTTCAGAGAAAAGACACGCTTATCAGCGAAGAAAAATGGAAATCGGTGCCGTGGGAACTGCATCCCGAAATGAAGACAAATGCAAGCAAACTGGTTGACATAATATCTGGCCTTCCAGGGATTATCCAGAAAACAGACGATATTCTCAACGAACGTTCCCAGATAGCTGCAGGCTCAGATGTAGTTCCAAAGGAAATGCCTGACTCAGTACCTAGTCTGCAGCAGCAACTGGAGTCTATGAACTTGGATTTAGTCGCGTGGCGATACCACTGGTCCCTAGACAATAACCCCACCGCACAAGATATACTTGAATGGGCGTTATTCAGAATCAGTGATGAGTCATATAGGCCAGGCATTCATGGAGTCTTAGGAGCAGATGTCTATGGTCTCAATTTGGGCACAGCTGATGGCCTAGACGTTCCTTTTGAGTTGAACGACTGTACTCGCAAAGAGCCCGAAGCCAACATCAAGACATTTTCTTTGATGCAGGAAGCCGCGCTTTATTTAACGGGCCTAATTTGGGTAGGCAGGCTTCGAAAGAATCTTGCTGGTGCTGCTCGTGCTGCGGACGCCATTGACTTTTATAATACGCCATTTTTCTCTACATGCCGCTGTTTTTATGATAGTGAGCCTGGAGGATCAAGGCATTGCCAGGTGTTTCCAGAGCCCAGCGATAATATGGCAACAGCGGCATCTTGGAATATTAACACGGCCAAAATAGTCCAATCGCCGATTAGATCGTCAAGTCACGACAGTAACAATTATTTTCTCGATAGCTCTGGTTCAAACTTGCTACTTCCAGGAGATGGTCGTTTTGCGGCACAACTCCGCATCCTGAGTTGGTTGGTTCAACGCTTGCCGGAGTCACGACCTTATATCCTTGGCGTGTTGGCCGCCATGGGATTAAGCCACTGTATTCATGATGTCCGTCCATCGGAGGGGAATGAGTATATTGCGGAGACTGTCCGTGAAACTATGAAGAAGTCGAGATATGGAGATGCAGCAATCGTCCTGCTCAAGAGCTACCAGTAATGGTTCAGGATGCTAATTTTATGGATATAATTTAAAGCTGAGATAGACAGTGATGGGTTGCATAATTGTAGTAGGTGCCAACATGTACCTAGGAAAGATTATCAAGCACTCTAGTTCTATTATCCAACATTGTTGTAAGTATATCTACTATTAATGATACTGCTAATTTAATTGCACATAGAATTTATATGTAGATCAGTAGATTGTTTCGAATTCTCATGCTATCAGGCTGGGAAACATATAACAACCTTAAAGCTTCTGCACTGAGAGCCCTGGGGATAGAACTGGTTGCCTTTGCGCAAACATTGTAGCGTGTCGTTTCCCGTCTCACTCCAACTCCAGTCAGCGTTGGTAATTTCGTAGCAGACGATATTTGGCAGCGACTAAGACTTTATAACTAGATGTCAGCATAAGCTTAGATAATTAGACTAACTAACGCATACAATCATACCTCGCTACGGCCATTAAATAAAGGAGTAGTGCAGGCTCTTACAAACGCCTCTGAAGCAAGATAACCTATGATGCAACTGACGTCGGCATTGGCAGCCGCAATTTCGGTGCCTGGGAATTAGGTCGACAATAGTGCGCAATTCTCGGTTAAGGGGAGAGGCGGTACGAAGCTGATCTTGTTCGTTTTGGGCTGTTTATAATCGTCGAATGCGGCGTTAGGTAAAGACGAACGGACGAAGAAACGGGGTATAAGGACAAAGATGGAAGAGAGAAGAAGAATTGGCCAAGGGGGGATTAGCGATGTCTAGGCCCGCCACCGGTACTCCTTCTCCAGGGAGGCAAAATCTGGCTGCTGTTGCTGCCGGTTCTGTGGCGGGACGACGTCCTCCTCCACAGGCAAGCCCAGGAAACAGCGGCCAGCGCCTTTCCTGATTAAATCTACCCGGCAAGTATAACCTGAGATCCTGAAGACGCCGCCGCGGACCTTCCTCCAAGAGGATAGGTCTCACCAGCCTGGCCTTCCACCTGGTCCAAAGCTGGGACAGCATTGCTGCCGTCACGACGGTTGCCAGTGGAGTCGGAGCCCCCACGACCACCCCTCAAGCCACGAACATTTGCGCCCGCCTGGCCGCCCCGGCAACCTCTCTCTAAACGGTATCAGCAAAGACCTGATAAAAGCACGGAAAGGGGTTGAGACTATGTATCACATGTACTTATATATGTAATACGCAACCCAGATAAGACTTCAGTTCCTCGAGACATGGGAACCTCGCGCCATATTGTGGATTTGTCTCGGATGTACTGCAACATCAGAACATAGATAGACGCCTAGCTTTCTGCTGACCGTGGATGATCGCGGCCGCTTTGAATAACATCGAGACCAGTGGTGTGTTACATGTTAGCTCGGCCATGATTGGGAAAATATTCGTTCATCTTTGTCGCCGTGTAAAGTAGCTACCATGATAGCATGAGGCTCTAGGTATGCGAAGATAAAGGATGACGCGCTCCTACCCTTAATCCCGACCCTCTTGCAAGAGACCTCTACTGTAGACACTGAGCTCAAACTCGATGTCAATGGAATTAATGTGCCAGCGGAATAATTGCCTCGCCAACTGAAGGAACAAAGTTGTGGATATCGAACTTGGCAACATTAATATCCGCAAGTGTTTTGGATTAAGAATGACAAAGAGATTCTCCATGGCCAAAGTGTTTCTTTCGAGTGTAATGTAATGCTTGTACTGGATATACCCTGCCCGTGCCTCGCGGCTTACAAGGCCGAACCTAGATCCTCGTTCAGTTCGTTGTAATACGTATAGTATCAACGTTGCTTTGTTCCTGGTTTATAAAGTTAGTTTTAAGAACGAATGTTGAGATTAAAGTAATGAACGCATTATCTTTTTGCACAGATGTGCTAATAGTCAGGGAGTTGTTCATGCTTAGTGTTTTTGCCTATCATGACGCCGAGCATGTAGAGAGAGAGCTGGTTATTGCCAGGAATTTCACATGTACCAGCGTCGGAAAGCTGAGGCTTCCACTCCGCGTTCGAAACCGGGCAAACATGGCGGCATGTGAAGTAATTTCTCTGCAAGCAATGGCCTGCTTGACTTGCCACATCACTTGTTTCGTGGCGCCGACAATAAGAGACACTGTTGACTCATCTCATGAAATGAAGATGTATGCTGCGCCGCCAACGTTCGTGCAGTCAACGCCATCAAGGGTAACGGTGCCATGTTCGAGTTGATTTGTTGCCTCTATGTCACTTCTTAGTGATAGTTGTGCATGAGTTTGACTTAATATCAGGAGACTTAAAGCGGCCCCATTGTGCTTCTCAGCCGGTGATAAGTCTCGTATCTGAAGAAGAATGTCCTCCACGTCGCCTGGGTATGCAATAGTTCGAGCGGTGGAGGAGAAGTTGAAGGTCCCTGAGGGGACGGAGATTTGGGAGGAAGTGGGGCCCAGGGGCAAAGCCCCGAAGTAAAGGAGCCGAAGAGATGATGGAGGGGGAGAAGTAAGGGGAGAAGCTGATCTCTTGTCTTTGGGAAAAGTTATCCAGCAATCCAGCTACTAGTAACACGATACTGATGCTACTGATGCCATATTGACGAGGATGACTAGATTCCTTTTGAGAATGGCTTTGAAGACGAAGACGGAGACGGGGACCTTGTTGTATAAAGTGACGGGACGTCTGAACCGTACCTAAGAAGACAGCGGCTCGAGGGCGCAGCGGAATGGGTGCGAGCAGATAGAGCGTATCAAAGTATTCAAAGTATCGAGAAAGACAACGTCCCCTCTTGTCGCCGCCATCATCACCGCTCCCCGCCACACCACCACCAAGCAAAAGTGATGCAGTTGCCTACACAATGCGGACTAGCTGGTCCGCCAGGTTCGACATCTATCGTCATATTCAGCTAATGTGATGCTACTAAAGTAGATAGAAGAGAAATATTTACGGTCGGGAGATACTTACTGTCTTAAGAGAGATAAAGAGAGAGAGAGAGAGAGTGTGTGTGTGTGTGTGGTGTGTGTGTGAATCGTTGAAGATGGAGCAGAGCATACGTAGGAAATGTGCTTCTCGCAATGAGAGTGACAAGAGTGACGACGTTGGCTAGGTAATTGGTTGCTCCTCTTATGAGGCTGGCGACGAGGTTGATTGTAGAACAGAACATACTCCTGCCGGGGGTTCTCGACGGGGTTCAGGAAGAGGTGCTCGGATGGTGCCGGCAGGGCGAAAGCGTCTCTGCTTGAATACTCATGTTAGAAGAAGTAAACCAACAAAGGGGGAGAGAGAGACTTACGCGCACAACGCCGCCGGCAAATGGGCAAATTCTTCTATGCCACAATTCGATAGGCATCCTCGACACAGAATCGGCGTTTTGTGTGGGACTAGTTGCTATGCCGTGGTTAGAGATCAAGCCATCCATTCCAAGAAGAATAAACAACAAAACACTTGCAACGGGTGCGGTGAAGGCCAGCGAAAACGAGAAGGAGGATTGTACCAAAATTAGATAATTAGTGCAGACGCGGGTAACAAGGGGAATACGAACTGTAAAAACAACGAAAAATCGGTGTTCCTTAACAATAATGAGCCAGAAGGGAGAAGCCAGAAGAAGAATTGCTAGGAGGAATAGTCGCGGAAGGTACTTATACGCCGTGAGCGTCAATGGTCGTGAAGCTGAAAGCAACCGTGGCAGTGACTGGGGAAGAAAGAGCTGCAGGAGAAGGAAAAGATGGACTGATATGTTTTGGGGGAGACTCGGATCATGGAATGCTCTCTGCCAGTAGAAGAAGCGAGAAGCAAGAAGAAAGGGCCGGTAGCAGCTTTCTTGACGAGCAGTACTTGCTGGACCTCGATGTATTGAGACAGGAATGGGCATCCAGAGTCGATTTCACCGAGCTGGTGCTGCCTGCATGGTACAATGACAGTGTCTGTGAAGGAGAGTAGAATTGCGTCTTCAGCTAGAGAGATGTTCTTCACAAAAATGCTGCGTACAGGTGTAAATTGCTCCATGCTGCACTTGTCACCTTTATTCTCTGTCGTCCGGCATCGCTTCAATAAGAAATGCGCCAAAACCAGCTGCCAGCCACCGGCCCGCGCAAACCTTTAATTTTTGCAGCAAGGGCTTGCGTGTAACCCAGCATTTCACTGCCTGTTTGTTGCTGGTGCCCTTGCTACTGTATGCCCCTTTCACGTAGGTACCTATTTCGTGAACTGAACTTTGCTCTCGAATCACAATTGGCCGAAATCCAACCCATCTCTTTCTGCAGGCTATGCGTGGATTTGCAGTCTGGCAAAAGTCTGCACTCCCCGATATATCACAAAACACTATTCCTCATTCTCGCACATGTGATACCACAAAAGACGAGTAGAAGCAGCACAACCTCCACACCACACTCTCATTCAACATCTTCAATGTCCGATGACGCAGCGCTTGATGAGCCGATTGCGCTCCTTGAATGGACATCAATTTCATATCCGGTCTGGTGGTCTAGTGGTATGATTCTCGCTTAGGGAAAACCCCAAGTCGTTCTGCGAGAGGTCCCGGGTTCAATCCCCGGCCAGACCCGTTCTTCAAGAGTCTGTCTTGGAGATTCCTTTTTTAAACGTGCGAGCAGTTATCCGCTTGTCTTTTCGATCGTCTGGCATAAGTAGATGTGGTGAAGGTAGCTGCGATCTCTCTTTTTGTTTGCTTACGGCTTGGCCGAGGTGTATCACAGGGCCATTCTTGAGACTTATAGGTACATACGCATATGCCTGAGATGGCCATCTGTCATAGTAAATGAACGTAAGAATAACAAATACAGACCTCAAATTACCTATAGCCGTCTAGCGAGTCGTGAACAGTGCAGATTTCAGTATTGATGGATCGTTGCAGTCTCTGGTGTTGTGCCGGCGCATAAACTTTGGCGGTAGCGCTTTAACAAACGGCTCGAGCTGTTGCCTCCAGCAATCTAAAACTCCACCATTACCAGGCCATATACGCGTATCCCAGTCACGACGGTTTGAAGCATGCCGCAGTACTATGAAGAGTCACTTTAATTTTATATCCATGTCTAGTCCCCTCTAACAAGAAATGGGCGATGATTTCAGTGTCTTATGCTACCCGTGAGCAATCACACCGTCAATTGCTCGCCAGCCTCTGGAAAGCTCCAAAGACAGTCTCATTATCTACGCATCATAGCCAATACGGCAGCTGGCAACAGTACCATAATCTGTCTCCTGCTCTACAAGAAAATGCTGAGATTCGTTGGTTATCTTCCACCAGATTTTAAGCACGGGCCATGAGGTTCAATTCACGCTCTACCGCCGTTTGCTGTTTTGTCCTGTGCAACTTGAATCATTTTCTTGTTCGTCGACCATCTTTCCCCTTCAGCCATAGTCCCACCACCTACATATACACAAGGTGAATGCGAAGCCCCTCAGGCTCTCCAATACGGTAAGTCCGGTCATGGATTCAATACACGCATTCTTTATAGAATATCGGCCAACTGATCCATTGCATGCAGGGCGAGCCAGCAATCCCAGTTCACACATGGCGTTCCGACGACTACCCGTTTCGACTTGTGTATTAGAAGTAGAGCGCAAATTCCGCTCTCTCGCAGTCCATGAGCTGACTCAATATGGCGGACTTCCTCATTTCAAGAGTCTGCGGAAACTCCCCAACCAGATAATTCGCGATTCTTATTACGACAAGTCGAGTATTCTCTCTTCGGCCGGAGCTTGGATAAGGAAGAGAGACGGAGAGTGGCAAGCAAAAATTAGAAAGGGGGGGAATTTCACCAACTCGAGATTCGAGGAGCTCAGCAGCATTGACGATATCGCGGCATACATCAAACGCACTACTGGGATTGATGGGGGGAAAGCCATAAACTTCGGCCTGCAGCCCACTGCTACCTTTTCCACCACACGCGAAACCTGGGTAGCGGATGGCGAATTCCATGTTGTCCTCGATACAATGGACTTTGGTCACCAAGTTGGCGAAATCGAGCTGCAAAAGACTTTGGAGGGCGAGAATGGGGGTGCACCAGCCGAGCAGCAAAAGCAAGAAGAGATGCAAATCATGGACGACAGGATTGTCGCTTTCATGAGTACCTACGCCTGGGCGTTTTCCCCTGGCGAGCCAAAGGGAAAACTGACGGCTTACTTTGAGCGACTGAGGTCTCAGGTGTAGGTACAGCATCTATTGAACCTCAAGAGGAGAGTAAGAGTGCCATCGGCGGAGGAAATTGTGGGCTTTCTACTCTGAAGGTGTTATACATTGCCCAAAGAGAGATGTTGCTGGGGCATTCATGTGTGAGTACCTATTCTATATATAGAGCTTACATAACTTAGGCGGCGATACATCAATTGAAGTAGATGGACGTCCCCGTTCGGTAGACGATGTGACATAATCTCACAAAGCTGATGACTGACTCTCAAACAAACTCACCAAACTCAAAGCTGATGACTGACTCTCTCTCAAACAAACTCACCAAACTCATAAACCACTGAGCTGGCAGAATGTGCTAGAATGGGAAACTTGAATGAATTTTACACGAGATTGCCAGACGAAATGCAACTACTCTATGAAGCTTTTACAAGCACTACTGACTTGGTGTGGAAGACGCTGGGTGCAAGAGGAGACAGTCTGGCCAAAACACGTTATTGAGACACAACAAACGTAATCAGGGAAGTCGAGTCAACCATGAAGGATATCCAAAACAACCAGGAAGCCTTAACCTTGATATTGGAGGATGTGAAAGACGTGGTGCAAACTAGTCGGGATGAGCTGAAAATTGTCCTTGAAAAAGAAAAGGAAGTCTATCAATGGATAACTAAGCAAGAAGAAAACCAACAGAAGATGGTCAAAGTGATGGAAGATCTTGCCAAGGGACTGAATGAGAACACAAGAACACTGCAACAATTCCAATAGACAATGCGAGAAGCGCGAAATGTTCAGCAAATCGCTAACATTCCATATAACGGAGAAAACTAGCTAACCCCTTAAGCAACCCCGCATAAACGAGGAAGGGGAAGGCCTCGAAAGAGACCACTGGATGACATCTCGGAAGATAATTGATTGGATTTGGACAACTAATTGGGTGTGTTGATTCGGGACGAATCTGGCTTTTTGAAAGGGGGGGACCTGGTAAATTAACGCCGAGGTATTGATCAACGTCTGTATAGACCGTACAGTTGTGAAGCGTGCAATTAGATTCCAAATGGCTCTCGAATATTACACACTCCAATGAAGTCATATGTTGGCGAGGTTAACGCTGCTGCTGCTCCTTCACGTTTTGACTTGGTCATTCCAGGATCCGAATGATGACAGCTTGGCGTCGCAAAAACCCTCCGATAATGATCTGGTCTTCAGTCTTTGCCATCTCATGTATACAATTGTTAGCAACTTGGTAATTTGCAGTCTAGCATGCTTTCAACCCTTCCATGCCAACCTGGTATGCGGGATTCGGTGAATAACTGCGGGTGTTGGTGTAGCGTTCTAGCCACAAAAGGAAAGTTTCTACGACACATATATCAATAGTACAAGTGCATCACTTTTGTAGACGCAACGCGTACATTATCTGTCTCAGTATATGTATATTCTTGTCATTCAGCCTTGTAGATACCATTGGTATCGCTCATATATTGGATTGTAAATGGCAAGTAGTCTGAGACAGTTTTGTGACGACACTTGAGAGAGATAAAACACCAGTTGGTCTAACCGTGCATAATAGAGCAAGGCTGTGCCGGTTGTCAACGGCAAATCACATGGATGGTTGAAGTCAAATTTGTAATCATCTCCACTCCGATTCTCCATCAGGTTCTCTGACGACTTCTCATATAAAATCACAAGGCGAACACCGCTCAATACCCCTTTCTAAGCATCATGCCGCCACGACCAGGCGGAAGCTCGCGACGAGCAGGCAAGTCGTCTTCCTCCAATCGGCGCAAGCGTTTCGGTCAAAGTAGACGGTTTACCGCCCGATGTCACTTCTGCAAACTTGCTGCAGTGGTTTTCCGATTACGGCACCATTATCTTGTGGATTGATCGGGACAGCTCTTGATAGGCTAACATGGATAATGGGATTTGTTATCATCGAGTGGGTTACTTTGGGATTAGTCAGTGCACAGAAGCTCGGGTGTATCTATAAACTGTGAAGAAGGCCTACTATCTCGCTCGCCAAGGTCCCACAGGAACCCATTGAGCCAAATCTTATTAAATCCGAAGTTATTTTACCATTTAGAACCAGTAACCCAAAGTTCATAGCTGAGTCACAGTCCTGTCCTTGGTGAGACCGGAACCATGGTAAATTAGTCGAAAATAAAAAGCTCCGCGTCTCTCAAGTCGGTAGCTATTCTACTCTTGCACTTACTTTCCACGTATTTATCATCTGGAACATTGTTTGAAGTAGCATTGCTTTTATTGGGAAACGGTATGTATAATAAGACATCTTCAGAATTTTAAGCCGCTCGAACGGGGTGTTGAACGGTTCTAAACGGTAATCTCAAAATATTGTAATCTATCCGTCTAGCAGTCATAAAATCACCATTTGGTATGCTGGGAAAAGCTGTCACCCTTTATGTTGCTCAGCTCAGGGCTTGATATCAAGGAACACCCAAGACGTACGAAACTACAACAGCATTATACTCTCAAAAAGATTTAATTCGAGATGGCGACATTTGATGGCCTACTTCGCCTCAATAAGTGAGTTGGCCATCGTACTCCATGAAAGCACCGCTCACACACATAGGGTTTATTCGAAGACGGCCTCGCCCGTCCCATTCACTGCCGACTTGCCACCAGGCGGTATCCCTAGCATATTAATGGATAATTTGTATGTTCCGTGCCGACAGATGGTCTCTTGTGACCTCAGTCTATGAGGCTAACAGGTATACAGATGCTTACCTGGATTTCCGAATGGAACCTATTGATTTCCTGAAAGTTAAAGTAGGAGGTGCGTCTATCATCTACAGATCCAAAGTGCAGCCAATAATTTTGTGCAGAAGCTTTCATCATTCGCAATGCTGGCGGCAGCGTCTCAAACAACCTTGCCGATTTCTTCTTCAAAGACAAATTTCTTCAGAATCAGCTCAAGGGAGTGATTCTTATACATCACGATGGTAAGCGGACTCAATGGATGTCAATGACTTGATACTAATAAATTCCAGATTGCGGAGTCCAGCACGTAACAGCAGATGATATTTCGGCAGACCTGAAGGAGAGATTTCCCGAGCATTGTGCAATCATCGACAAACTCCATTTTGGCATGCATAATCCAGATAGGTCAGTGGAATACAGAACTTGCAATCAAGGTAAAGCTACTAACAGCCTATATCGTTGAGAACAGCGTGAAAAAGACGTCGAATTCTTGAAAGACTGCCCATTCTTCCGCAAAGATATTGCCATACGGGGCTTCATCTATGATCTGAAGACAAACAGAAGTGAAATGATCGACATGAGATTTGAGGCATTTGTGGAATGATAAGTATCTGAGATTAGAAATCTCTTTGTTATTATGGTAATATTAATTAAAAATGATCACTAAAGCTTCATTATTGTCTATAACTTACTACTCATTTCTTTTCCTTTACTCTTCTATTTACTGACTCTCAAAGATCCAGTGAATTAATACTGTATACCGCTGTTTTGGAGCTATTACCCGCTGAGATACCGCTTTCAGACCATGCATGAATCCGAAGCATCTTTGACTTCAAATTTCTTGGTTGCATCTACCTCAACAGACGTTGTGGAGATTACTCCCGTCGGACAACAGATTAGTCGCGGTTACTTTGAGCGACTTTGAGCGACATTGATAAGCGGAGGGGAGTTTTTAGAACATAAAGCGTGGTACAACATGGACTGAACGTAGGACATGGATAAAGATTCTTTCCGACGTCGAAAACTAAAGCTGTAATTATCTAGTAAGCTACCTCCCACTGCATTCACTAGGCTTGTGTGACATTTGCAACTGCCTCGTTGAGGCGCCACAAAGCTCTGTCCTACTCTAATATGGATAGAAACGGAAAGATCAACCACCCTTTCCCGTGCGATTCATCCTCTGTGGCACATCATTTACGGACCAAAGAGTCCCATTCGGACCTAGCCTGCAAGAGCTTCAACAAAACTTCATAGCTCGAGGAAGCAATGTCACTTGTGTTAACCTATGACTCAGTTAGAAACCTTAGATTGCCATTTGAAGGACCGATGCATTTTATCACACCGTAACGAGCTTTCCCATCTGTCCGTAGTGATGAACAAGAGGTGGATTCAGCTCCAAAAATTCGGCATACCGCTTTCTGAACGTCTCGAGGTTATCTCCTTCACGGCCTTGCTTTCTATTGATCACGCGGCTCTCTACCAAGTCTTTGGGACAGTCGAAGAATAGGACAAGCACGGGAAGTTGAAACTGAAAATGTTAGCGGTTTAGCCAGATTTTAAATGCGGATGTGCCCTACGCACCTCTTTCTCGAATGCCTGGGCTTGATCCAGCCGCCTGGGGAAGCCGTCCAAGATGATAGTGCCTCCTTCCTCGATATGAGGCTTCAAAACCTGGAAGAGAAGACTCATAGTCAGGAGTTCTCCGCGGCGCACATACTCAACAATCGTTTTGTCGGCGTCTGGAGATGCCACCACTTGTCGGAGGAGATCTCCGATGGACAGGTGCTTGAAGCCATAGTCTTTTGCCAAAATGGCGCTGAGTGAACCCTTTCCAGCCCCCGGGGCCCCTTTGAGGACCAGTTAGTGTCTTGAACTGACGGTAAGCGATAGAGGGACACACCAAGCACAAAGATTATTCCCTCTGCCTTGGAGGCCATTTCTGATTCCTGCAGTGTTTGGTTCGTAAGACAAGCTGCACTGATAGAAATTGCGTTTCTGCTGAGATGTGTGAGAGAAGAGAGTGCTTCGTGTAACATTAGGGCACGGAGGGTATTTATGCTCCGTGAAAAGATGAAAGTGCCGCCTGTCGCCAACTGCCTCGCTCTTTCACTCTTCCATTCACACACACCGCCTCAAATCTCCCAGGCTCACATCAAAACATGTCTGTCTTTGTATACCTCGTCGTTCTCCTTTTGGTTTTCTTGGTCTTCACAAGACGAAGAGCCCGCAGTGGCCAAGTGCCAATTTCTGTGAACTATCATTTCTCTCGGGTTTGCAATAAAGAGTGTATTTTTTGCTTCCACACCGCAATCACGTCACATATTGAGAGTATAGAGAATGCAAAAAAGGGTCTCTTACTCCTGAAGCAAGCTGGCATGAAGAAGATCAACTTTGCTGGTGGAGAGCCTTTTCTCCATCCAAAGTTTCTTGGTGCAATGATCGATTTCTGCAAAGACGCCCTTTGCTTAGAGTCTATCTCCATTGTCACGAATGGCAGTCTCGTGAGGGAGTCATTCCTTCGCAATCATGGTCATAACATCGACATTCTAGCTGTCAGCTGCGATTCGTTCAACGAAGCCACAAACATCAAAATCGGCCGTGGATCCGGCAATCAAGTTGCAAAGCTATACGAAATTGCCGCCTGGTGCCAGAAATACAACATCAAGTTCAAGCTAAACACAGTGGTGAACAAATTCAACCACTTGGAGAACATGAACAAGCATATCGGTGCCCTTCAGCCATTCCGATGGAAGTGCTTTCAAGTGCTGATTGTTGCTGGAGAGAATGATTCCGATGATACTCTTCGCAACGCAAAAAGTCTTGTCATTTCTGACGATGAATTTGACCAATATTGCCAGAGACACGGCGACCAAAAGTGTCTAGTACCAGAGCCCAACAGGCTAATGGCAAAATCCTACTTGATCCTTGACGAATACATGCGGTTCTTGGACAGGGACGGCAAGCAGCCATCAAAGTCCATCTTGGAGGTTGGTGTTAAAGACGCTCTAAAGGCCGTCTTCTGGGATGAGGCAGCATTTCTTGAACGAGGAGGCATCTACGACTGGAACAAGTCATCTTGTTCTTCGGATAATAAGGAACTGGAGTGGTGATTTGGTTTGTCTTTACAATGCATCAACATTAGTGTAGTCACCCTTGTGGCCGTCGCCGTGGATCAATTTAGGCAGGACTTGGCAGTATACAGTTTGTGGGATTAGATTCTATCCATGTATCTAGACTGTATGTAGCTTCCCTAGCCTTTCGCATTATCATCAAGTGCAGTATAGCTCAGTACTATGATACCGTTATTCGGAATAACAACTACAGCCTCATTGCGTCCTTCACTTTACTGCCCTTCTCTCTGTTCCGTGCCAACCTCATTCATCAACTGCTGTCCCGAAGGCCCATTTAATTGTACTCTACACCGCCATTGTAGAGTCGCCACCCGTTCAACTGCTGCTACCCGAATCCTTTCAATAATATGGTCATTGGGTGACACTAATTATTGTTTTAGAGAGATTGCAGCGACGCGGGAGGCCTACAATAAGCTTATCGCCGAGACTCCGCGAGGTGAGGAAGCCTGGCCCAGTCCCAGGTCAGCCGCACAAGCGCTCGAATGCCAAAGCGACTATCAGTGATCATTCAATCCATATCCTGCGGAGAAATATCCCCAGACGCGTCTCCTCAATGCCTGTTCCGGTGGTGCTAATGTGACTAATTACTCCGGGGTATTGCGGGGATGCGTTTTTCGGAGAAATAGCCGCAGTCTAAAGTTTAGACGTACATCACTTGCTTCATATATGCACCCAAGATCGACCATTATTTAAGGTGGCCAGAGGAGAGACTCGGTGAGCGTCTCAGGTTCCAAGCACTTGTCAGCAAAAGCTCACCAGACGCGAAAATGGCCATCACTGCAACCGAGACCGCTGTCGAAAATGTTGAGCTCACCGATTTCGCTCAGGGGAGCAGTGAGGAGGGCCCCCGTGAGACGCAGCCAGAGGAAGGGCCAGATGAGGGTCTGAGTAAGTTGGCTTACTTGAGGCTGGCTGCAGCAGGCGTGTCCTTCTTTGTGGCGGGAACAAACGATGGTAGCATTGGAGCCTTGATACCCTATGTCATCCGCGAGTACAATGTCAACACGGCAATTGTGTCCAGCGTGTAAGTGGCGCCCAAAGCACGGCGAGCAACAATGCTGTGAAACTGACATGAGAGAAATTATCTAGATATGGCGCCAATTTCTTTGGCTGGCTCTTTGCAGCCTTTGCCAACACGCATCTCTGCCAGTATCTCAACCTCGGCGCGATGCTTGCCCTCGGGGCGCTGTTCCAGATCATTGCCCATGCTCTCAGATCTTGGGACCCTCCGTTTGGGCTTTTCGTCGTGACGTTTTGGCTTGTGAGCATTGGACAGGCTTTCCAAGACACGCACGCAAACTCATATGCCGCCGGCGTCAAATCTTCTCACCGCTGGCTGGCATTCATCCACGCCATGTATGCGGCTGGCTGCTTGGTTGGGCCATTCGTCTCCACCGCCGTCGCGTCATCTGGTGAAGTTTCTAGGTGGTACTTATATTACACATTTCCTTTAGGACTGGGAGTTTTCAACCTTGTCTTGACTTGCATTGCGTTTCGAGACACCCTTGGATTTGTGCGCAAGACTGTCACAAGCGACAACCACGAGAGCCCAGACGTTGATCAAAGCACTGAAGCAACATCGCGAAACACGAATGCGACTCAACTTATCAAACAGACTGTCAGCACGCCGAGCGTATGGCTGCTAAGTCTCTTCTTCTTCTTCTACCTCGGCTCAGTTCTCACGGCCAGCGGCTGGGTTGTCGAGTACCTCGTCAAGGCAAGGGGTGGGGAGCTATCCCAGGTAGGCTTCGTCCCTGCTGGATTCAACGGCGGCACTCTGCTTGGACGGTTGCTGCTGGCAGAGCCGACGCATAGATATGGTGAGCGTCGAGTGATATTCGGCTATATTGTTGCAGCGTTTGCCTTTCAACTAATCTTCTGGTTGTAAGTTCTTGACCTATGACGTACCAGCCAGGCTTATACTGAAACGTCTAGGGTGCCAAACATCATTGCAGCTTCCATCGCGGTCAGCTTCATGGGCGTTTTTACTGGGCCGCTCTTCGCAAGCGGTATGAGTCTCGCAACAAAGTTATTTCCGCCAGCTATTCGCGCAACCGCGCTGCCATTCGTCTTCGTTTTTGCTCAGATGGGAGGCTCTGCCTTCCCTATCATAACTGGAGTGGTATCTGCCAATGCCGGCGTCAAGGTGCTGCAGCCAATCCTGGTTGCTCTACTTGCCACTACAGCCGTAACATGGCTGTTGGTTCCATCGCCAAAGGCAACGCCAAATGCCGCCCTGCATCAAGAGTGATTAATGGATGTACTTTGTCCGGCTGACGGACGAATTACGTCTAAAAAGTGCGTTACGCGTGCTAGGCTTTGCTAATAACGCGATTATGAAATACAGAGTGCTATGATTGGTCTCCTCTTACTGGTGCTGTGACTGTCAAAACAAGCCAGCCACCTGCAGTAGTACATGCTCACTTGCTGACATGTACAGTTCGTAGCAAAAGTATTTAGCATAGCTAAAGTATACAGTTATGGCGCCAATCGGAACACGAGTGGGAAATTACCGTTGGTCATTGCCAAGAGACGGCACAAAGCTTGACATCCCTTGCATATCGTGACAGCACCAACGCCTCCCTCACACCAGATCAAAATGAATGCTATGAACGGGAAGATCTTGGCCGAGATTGTACATGAGCATACTACTAGCCATAAGAAACCCTACCGTATTGTGCTTGATGCAAGGGCATGTGTGTCTCGGAACTTTAAGGAGCGGCTTCTTCTTCCGCGTCCGAGATGGGTGAGATTTGCCGCATACAAGTACACAGTCGTACGTGTGCCAAAAGGCGGTCGAAATGTTTCTCGAGCTGATGAGAGCCACCATGGCCGTTTTGAGACAACAACGGGATCCCGGTGTTTAAGCTGGTGGTGGCTCTGCCAGCCATTTCCCAACTTCTAAGATCTGGGAATAACGCGGGCTGTCAGATTATGTAGGAGAGAAACAAGTGAACAATACGGCAGTAGACATGGGCTTTGAAAGCGTACTGCATAGGTTATAACCCTTCCTCAGTGAATAATATGGTACTGGTACATGGCAAAGGCCGTACTGCTAATATCTTTGCAAGTCATTAGCTTCTCTTCACTTCCGTAAGACTAGTACGCCTTTTGGGCTTTTCTTGATGTGACGGGACGGGACGTGACGAGAGGGCTATCACCATCTATTCACTAGTGCCTATGTAGTGAGGGTAGCGAGACTAGCCGTATCAACCAAGTCTTTCCATGGGGTCACTAGCCTTTCATAACAATTTGCTACTGAATGTCTTGCGTTGGAAGCTACGAGGCCGTATGGCTGCGGCGCGCAGAGTAAAAAGAAGATGGCACTCGCCTGAGCTAAAGGAAGCGTCTATGTAACCATCGCCTGCGTGTATATAGTTTTCATACCAAATGTGTTTATAGACTCAAGCAATGTAGCTATGATATAGGCAACTAGAACAGTTTGCCTGTCATCAACTCACCGATTTACGCCTCCTGTATCTGATGTATCTTGCTGGACTTCGTTCAACCAGATCTTATATCTTGCTCTCAGCGTTCTAACCAATCCCAAGCTCATGGTTTCTTGTCCCCCACGCACAAAGCACATGCATGTAGTATTCATAGTTGTACAATGACAATGAGAACATGTATCCAAGCATACAGGGTTGCGTATGTAATGACCTTTCACCGTTTTATCAGTCTCAAGTTACAAGGGTCCTTAATGTCATTAGCGATGCAAGGGCAGCGTTTTACGTCGCGCTATATGCAAGGGCTCCCAACCCGATGTTGTGGTATGTCTCAAGTCCGTTTCGCCTCCAGCAGCTTGAAAAGCTCTCGGAAGCTTGGATCTCTCGTTCTCCCGGGAAGCTTTGACTAGTAGGGGTAAAAGAGCAGGGGACAGCACTCAAGGGACGTTGGACGTCGCCAGTGGCCGATCGCGAGACCGGCCCTAGGCCAAAAAGCACGTGGAATTGCGCTTCATCAGTACTGCCGTAAGATGCAGAGAGACTCATTGCGCCATTAGGCTCATGTTGACTCTCATCTACGCGCCATAAGACCGTGGCGGCGGGGATGTGGCGCGAAAGAGCAGAGGCCAATGGCCAACAGCTCAATATACATGCACTTCTAAATGGGGGCAAGAGGGCGAAACTACACCGACCCGGAAACTGGATGAATCAAAACCCCCTTTGTGCTCGAATGGGCTCCATCTCAAGTCGTTCAGCTCCAACTGAATGGATGGGATCGTCACGATCCACAGCACAACATGCCGCCATTAAAACTCTCCCTCCCGTCCTGATGTTTTGCTTGATCAGTTGTTGTCCCGAGCTCCAACTGCTTTCCCTCCTTTCCGCTCACCGCGACCCACAGATCGCGTTTGCAACGGTGAGCCGCGAGTAGATCAGTGCAACCGCTCTCTTTTATTGTCGTGCCACCCGGGCTCGTAGATCTAGTCCTTGCACATCTTCAATTTCGCTCGCTTGCTCCCGGCCGCCATTGCCACCATGGGCTCTGAACTGGGTCTCACGGCTGATTCTGCGCCCAGGCCAAGGATGGACAGCGTGGGCATCTTTTTCATTTGCTGGACCACGATATGGAGCTTGCTGTTGCTCTGGGGCATGGGCTTCTTGATCCGCCATCGCCAGATGTCCATGTTGAAGATTCGGGGGATATGGCTATCGCTGTCTTCGATTCTGTTCCTCCATCTTTACTGGGCATCTGTGCAGCTTGGTTATGTGTTTGGGCCGCTGTATCCTGGTAGCTGTGAGTTTTGGATCATGTCGATATACCTACCTCTTGGTATTGGCTTGTTCCATGCTTCAAACACTCGTTTTCTCCACGTTGCACAACGCCAGAAGCAGTTCATCGACAAAAGTGATAATCCCAATGCTCCAACGAGCAAAGCGGGTGGCATTCTCGGACGATTTCGGGAACTTGACCACTCAGCCAAGGCTGTCGTCCTAGTCAGCGCTGGAATGTTCTTTCAGGCGAGTTCCATAGGGCAGTTTTAAGTTTGGAACACCACGAGCTAACAACGTTCCTCGCAGCTATTCATGGCAATTTTCATGTACCTCATCTCCCGGAAGTGGCATAGCTCTTGGGGCATCCCAGGCACCGAGGTCCACGGGACGGAGATGGAACAAAAGGTTGAGATGGGCCGCGGGTGGGAGTGGTGAGTTTGGCTGATCGCCATGGATGGCCACGTTTGTATACTAATGTGGGCGGGAATAGGACGCCTTCCATCCTCTGGCAATTCTTCTGGGCGTGGATTGTTGCGCCTCTCACGCTGTGGCGCGCACGAGATATTCATGACACGCAGGGATGGCGAACTCAGACTATTTTGTGTGCGGTTTCTAGGTCAGTTGAGTATATAGACCTGTCTCTGTGAGCGTTTACTGACAGATAAAAAGTTTTCACGCCTCGCCCATGTGGCTATTTGCCTTGTATTTTCCAGACATGGAAAAGGTTAACCAATACTGGATTCCTCCTCAGTGGTAGGTTAAGAAGCGCATCCCCCTCTGAGAACCTGCTAACTCGTATAGGATTGCGCTCTCTATTTGGCTCATGGAGATATTCACCGTTTTCCTGCCGTGCTGGGAAGTCTTGTGTCATCAAACGCTCCGTCAAGAGACGCTGGATACAATTGCTCATTGGGAGAAGAACAAGACTTTGGGCAAGGCGATCCAATCATTCAAGTCCAAATCGACACTCATAGACTCCATCAAAACGAGGTGGACGTCCACCAGCTCCGTCAAGACGTCTTCCGTCGAGTCTATCCTTACGCTGAGCGCGCTCGAATATGTGCTAGCGAGGAACCCCGAGCCTCTGCAGCAATTCTCCGCGCTGAGAGATTTTTCTGGAGAGAACATCGCATTCCTGACGAGCGTTGCAGAATGGAAATCTTCATTTCCCGCGTCGGTTCGCAATCGCAGTAGCGACGTGTCCGAAGAGACCAGACGGGAGCTGGTTCGAGAGCGATTCAACCGAGCTTTGCGCATCTACACCGAGTACATCAGCGCTACTGATGCGGTGTTTCCGATTAACATTTCGTCGGCAGAGCTCAAAAAGCTGGCATTAGTCTTTGAAGAACCTGCGCGCTCCATGTATGGCGAAAAACAGGCCGTCAATCCCGCAACACCCTTTAGCTGTCCCGAGTGGAACAAGTTCGGCTCTGCAGATTCATCTTCCGAGGGCCCCAGGTCGGTTTCTGAACACGACAGCTGCAGCGGCGATGGCGTTCAGTATTGGGGTGACATTCCGGAGACCTTTGACCAGACAGTTTTTGAAGACGCAGAGAAGAGCATAAAGTATTTGGTGCTGACCAATACGTGGCCCAAGTTTGTACGAGCTCGACGAGAGTCCATGGAATCCTTTCAGAGCGGAAGCACAGAGGAGGGCAATTCAATGTGGTTTTCAATTCCGTGTAAGCAATAGGTAATCAGGTACAGGCGTTCGGTGGGCATCAGGCTTATCCGGTTGTATACATACTAGTAGTAATCAATTGAACATGTGGCGGAACTGGGTACTAGACCCGAAGAGATCTCGGGATGCTGTCGGACAATTCTTTCGTGTTGGTGACTATGGCTTCCAGGGCGGGCGAAGTCCAGGTGGCGTCTTCTTTTCGACGAGTCAGGCTTAGGCATGTCGAAAATGTCAAGTCTGCGCCTTACTGTAGTGCGGCATTACTGCATGTGGGGATGGAAGTGATTAGAATGTCTGTTGATAGTAGGGCACATCGTGCAAGTCGACTATTCAATGGCTTTTCTCGCTATACCAGGCTCTTATAAGAGAAGCATTGTCGCTCTCCGATAACAGACAACAATCCACTCCACGATACTTACAGTTGCATTGATATTCTGCTGTTTTTGTTGCAAAAGCCAGTTTTGTTAGACTACGCATTCCACCAATCAGAAAATGGCGCCAATCTCACTCTCCGTCCGAAAAGCCTTACCTGAGGATGCTCCAACTGTCCTCGCACTGGTGCGCTCAGCATACCGAGGCGAGTCCAGCCGCGCCGGATGGACCACCGAAGCAGATCTCGTGGATGACCAGCGCATAGACGAAACTGGGCTGCTCACAAAGATCAACGAGCCGTTTGGGGCGGTTCTTGTTGCCCACGACGAAACCGGCGAAATGATTGCGTGCTGCGAAGTGTTGAAGAAAAACGACACTGTTGGATACTTTGGCCTGTTTGCCGTAAACCCGCTGCGCCAGGCCGGGGGCATTGGCCGCACTGTTTTGGCCAAGGCAGAGGAGTATGCCAAGCAGACCTGGGGCCTGTCTGAGATGCAGATGACGGTCATTTGGACGCGAATTGAGCTCATAGACTGGTACGTCCGGAGAGGCTATACGAGAACGGACAAGAAAGAGCCTTTTCCATACGGCAGCCTGGTGGGTGGTGAGGCGCTGAGAGACGACTTGTATTTTTCGGTGTTGGTCAAGGCTCTATGAGATGCAAAGGGCAATGCGTTATGAGATTATGAAACGACGGCATTTTTACGATGGCGAGATTAAAGCGGTAAATTTCGATCTAGAAGACGATTGTGTAGAGGGGAGTTGATGATGTTTTTGTACATAAGATTTGAGTTTCAAAATCCGCTTCGGATGACATGAAACACGTTTGTTTTGATATCGTGCAGAAACAGCAAACTGAATACAAGAACTTGGTATCCATGTTTAAAAAGGTCAAGATGCTAAATAAAATCTCAACAAGACAACATAATGTCCGGTTTAGTATGAGCCACCTATCTGGGGTCTATCACAACGCGGTGGCTTCCTTTGATCGGGGCTGTGGAAGCAATCAAGGTATCCGATCGACTTGCTTTCAGCCCACTCTCTTACATCGAATCCCTCTTGTCCTGGATCTATCGTTTGTCCATTGACGCTGAGATATGAGCCCTGATGAGGGATCCCTTCCGTCAACTCTACCGGCTTGAGTCTCCAAGCGTTGACAGAGACAGCATCCTCAGAGCTAGATGTGCCTGGCAAAGCAATTGCTCTTGGCAGACTAGCCTCGACGACTTCTCCCTCGCCATGAATGGTGAAACACCGCACCGCGCATGTCTTACAAAAGAGATTGTGCAGCGTCTTCTTGTTGCACAGATAATCGCCCAAGGTATCCAGTGGGTCGAGCGGAGACAGCAGGAAGAAATCGTCAAATGCAGACGCAGGACGGACGTGCAGAAACCCGGACTTGTGGCAGACGGTGCAGTTGCATCTGTAGATGCGCTGAACTCCTCGCGATGGCGGCGGTTTGGTAACTCCGACAAGTGATGCGGGAGGGAGAGTCAGGAAGACGACGTAGCGAATATTGCCGCAGTGACACGAGCCCGTGTAGGGTAGACGCCGAGGCTGGTTATCCGCAAGTTGGCTCATGATTAGGATATACTGCTTGAATGGCCCAAGAGTTGCGTGTTGATATCAGAGAGAATCTAGTATCATTGATTCATTAGATATCAATCCTGAGCACTGGCTTATAAGCTGTTGGTGAAGGATTGACGGTGCTCCGCGGGCACGACTAGTTCAACATCTTGACTGATGCCTGGCCAACATATTCATAATTCTGCAATCCCAACAAACCGAGCAACCAAATGGCAATAATTGTTGGTTGAACTCATAAATTGCTCTTGTTGAATCTGAAATCAACTTCACCATCACTTACACGCTGCCCACCTGAGCAGATCACGACTATCATGAGGTATTCTGTGCTGTCCAGAAGAATGCCTGTATCTCCAATATCCCCAACACCAATTCCCAATATCCAATACCCCCCTTTGGGCTTAGGCTCTTCTCCGCCCACCTCCAAGGAAACCATCGCCGACGCTTACTAAAAGAATGGGGAAGGCCTCTCATTCTGGCAGCCCGACCTTTGCCCGAATCAGGCTGTCTTCGCCGGCCATCGCTTCGCCCTCACTTCAGTCTATCCGCCCACTCTCAGACTCGTCGCGTCCTTGTCGACTCATAGCGGCCTCTCATCAGCTGTTTCTCTCGCATCCGGCGTTGCGGGCTTTCGTCAGGCCAAGCCAATAGCGGAGAATCTGGTGAGGTAAAGCCGCGGGCTTTCTACAACTAGATGCCTGCAGTGAAGCATCCGTGCCTCCAGTGCAAAGGTCCGTGGCCACATCCCCGATGATTGCAGCTTGAAACTAGACATTAATAGACTTTGGTTCACAGAAAAGCACGTCAAATGTGAGATTTCATTCTATCCACACGTTTCCCCACCTGGTTGCCGTGTCTTAGCATGCGCTTGGAGGGTCCATCCATTTGTACATGTACAATGAAGCATACTTGTATCTGCATCAGCTGTATATTGACCTATGGACGGCGGATATGCAATGGTTGAGGCCTCCAAACTTGACGGCAATGCTAACAGCTTGCCGTAACTGGCCACCGTAGGTGACGAGGAACGCCCCAAGTGTCGTCGTTGTCAGAGCAAGCTATTGCCCTGTACGCGCCCAACTAAGAGGACCGTTTTCCGCCATGGCTCGGTCGTCAACTTCTCCAAGGAGCAGAAATGGGTTAATAGTGAAGTAAAGCACTGTACGTAGCTGTGCCATGGCTCCCTCGCTCTTGGGTGCCTGGACTTTCCAGCCTCCAAGCTGGTGGTGAGCGTGGCATCTGCGATCTGGCTGCTAACCGTAAGTGTAGTTCGTTTCCATTCCCAGGGGGGCGGCTCCTCAGTCGTGAGCCAGGAGAGCCCTGATCAACGTGGAGCATCCGAGGGATGGACTGCAGCATCTCCCGGCGCCAGCCAGCCCCCATATCATGTTGCATCAAACGCGGGCCCTTCGCGTGGCTCGCCTTCGACTCACTCGCCTCATCTGAGCAACCATTCCGGGGAGCAAACCCCTGAAGCGGCATCATTTCGAGCGCAGGAACATCCATACGACGAACGGCCGTCTCCTCAATATGGCCCCCACATTCGACCTCGTGGATACAGGGAGGCAGATCATTATTCTTCTGTGGTGCCGGCAGCGTACCCCACTGATGAGGCTTCTGCTTCATACGCTTCCTTGTATGACCGCTATGTGCCGAGTGTGATATCATCGCAAGAAGATGAGACTCTTCAGCGCCGGTTCCCCCTGGAAGATACCCGAGAAGCTTGCCTTTTTAGGTATTTCATCGAAGAAATTGCCCACTGGGTAGGTCTTTCCCACATCTGTTGGACACAATGTCTCATTGGCAACGTATTGACTTGGCCAGTTCGACTTGTGTGACGAAGATCGCCATTTTCAGCTTGTTGTCCCTTGGCAAGCTCACCATCACCCTCATCTTCTCAACGCTATATTTGCTGTTGCTGCTCGCCGTCTTAGTCGTCTTCCCCAGTATAGGACTCCCGCTGGGATTGTGTATCATGGACAGCTCATTCCAAACCTCAGCGAACATGACGCTGTCGAGTATATGTTGAAATGCATCCCCGCGCTCCGGCACTTTCATGAAATTGACGACGATGATTATCGGGATAGCATTATTGCCACTGCTGTCATACTTCGTCAGCTGGAAGAAATCGACGAAGAGGAGGATGATGCTCCGGTGAATGCTGGAGGCAGCCACCAAGGCGATACTCACCTGCATTCCAGCAAAGTGAATTTTCTCCCAATTATCAACTCTGTTTTGAGGAGCTCCGCATCGCAAACTTTATTCGGTCGAAGGAGTCTGATTCAAGCCAGCTATTGGTTTGCATTAAGACAAGAGATTTTTCATTCATTTACCCGAAAGCAACCGCCACAGCTGTTTCCCTCGATGGAGCTATGGCATAGTGCGTCAAAGGCGAATCGAGCCGTTTTCCATACCATACAATGTGCAAAATGGCGCTGGGAAGATGGATCTGAACGCGAATGGAGTAAGTATGAGAGCAACAATAGCAAAAGTTTGGATACTAACGCACCTGTAGCGAGGCTTATGGATCAGCAACAATATCTCGAACGCGAGACTCTCGCCAACTTCCGGCCCATCTTTAGGAGGGAAGCGGACAAGGCCAAAGGGGAAATCTTTCCCACCATCTGGTATAAATCAACTCTTGAAATGACGAGTATCCAGCAGAGCATCATGGCCAAGTCGGTGCTGGTCGCTGAGAGTCCTCTTCTCAAGTATGTCGATCCGAGATGCGCAACCTGTCTGTGAATTGATCTAACTTGTACTCTAGAAAGCCAACATCATCTCGCGCTGACTGGAGAAAGGCCGAAAACGACGTCAGACTTCTGCTGTTGGATTTGTGTGGTATTGCCCTCTGTCATCCCGCCTCACCACCAGCACTTTTGAACGCTGCCATTGGCATCCAGCTGTACGGCGACTTTTTTACGGATAGATATGAGCGACAGGCGCTTCGAGGCGTGGTGGAAAAGTATCGGGACGCGCGAGCGTGGCCGGTACAAAAGCTGCTGAAAATGTTTAATGATGGTTGAGTTGCTGGGCGCGTGGCCATTCTTTAATGCGATAGATGGTCGTTGTATATAGGAGTTGCTATCAGGCAGATGGAGAGAGCGTCGCTGTAGAATTTGCAAGCGTTGGAATTTTGCAAGCGTTGTAAATAGATTTTGAGGTTTCGTGATGCGTCAGTGGAAGAAGATGTTTCGCAAGAGTCGTAAATAGTTTCGAGATTGAGTTGCGATGCCGGAAGAAGAATATCATGTGATTGATGAAGTCAACGTTGAAGTCCCGTAGTGGGGAGAAAGTAATTCCGACGAGCTGCTACCAATAGTAGTCAACGCGTAGAAATAACATAAACCACCATCTTTAACCCGCGATAACTTTCCAATCATGCCTCGAATTGAACGAAAAAAGCACTGGAGCCCTAATAAACGAACGAGGGTTCGAATGATGTACGAACAAGGGTATACTGCCCGCGAGATTGCTGCCGCAGAGGGAGTTCCAGCCAATAGTGTCGCCGGCATCGCAAAACGCTATACACAACAGATTTCTGCAATCTCAAACCCGCGCTCAGGACAGCCGAGGAAGATCACCGAGGCAGAGAAAAGACGCATCAAACGAATGATTAAGCAAAATCCTCTCATTCCCAATAAAGAGATCATTTCTACGATTCCTCTAAACGTTTGTGTCAAGACTCTGGCTTCGTACCTCAAGTCAGAGGGCATCCGTCCCTTGCAGTGCAGCAACCGCACAGCCTGTTGAATGCCTACAGTGCTGCCATGCGCTGTGGCCTGTTGGTATAGCGCCTACTAACGCTACAACTTCAAATTGCTTCACGACTCTGAAGCATATACCGCTCAAAATATCAGAGTTCATCGACTTGATTTCGTCTTTGGGCCTGCGTATGCTTCTTATACACATCTAGGCTCCACTAATCTGTCGTCAAGAAGAATAATACTGTTCAATCAATGTTTTCGCTTATCGTGCATTCTTGCATTGGTCAGTCAGCGACGTATTCACGGTGGTTCAGACCCAGATGTGTGCACCAGCATCCGTTCAGCAGCATTCTTTCCCTATTCAAGATACATGATAATCACTCTCGCAAACTGCTCAATCAGACAGCAATGACAACTGTCAGAGTCACAAGAGCAGCCAAAGCTGCAGCCGAAGCAGCATCGCTTGCAGTATCGAGCGCTTCACCCACCAGCCTGCCAGCCAAGTCCAAGCCCAAGCCTAAAACCACGAAATCATCCCAGCCCAAATCAAGAGCACGAAAAGCAGCTCCAAAGCCAGTCGCAGCACCCGAAGCCCAGACTCTCAGCTTCCCATCAGCCTCCCACTTCGACGCCTGGCTCCTCCAAAACTCCTCAACCCCCTCCGGGATCTGGCTGCGCTTCAGCAAAAAGGCCATCCTCGCCTCAGTCCCCTCCGTCAGCTACCTAGAAGCCGTCGACGTCTCCCTCTGCCACGGCTGGATCGACGGCCAGCGCAAGGCCCTTGACGAAAAGTTCTACCTGCAGCGATTCACGCCTCGCCGCCGCCGGAGTCTTTGGTCTCAGCGCAACGTCCAGCGCGTCGAGATGCTAACGGTAGAAGGGAGGATGAAGCCCGCGGGGATGGCAGAGGTGGATGCCGCAAAGGGGGACGGGCGGTGGGAGAAGGCGTACGCTGGACCGGCGACTATGGAGGTTCCTGAAGACTTTGCGAATGCGCTGGAAGAGAATGCGATTGCAAAGACGGCGTTTGAAGGACTGAGCCGGGCAGATAGATATCCGTTTCTTTGGAGTATCACGACAGTCAAAAGGGCAGAAACAAGGGAGAGGAAGATTAGAGAGTTTGTGAGCCTTTTGGCCTCAGGACAAGTGTAGTGTATAAAATGAACCTACATCAGCGATTGATAGTAGAGTATCGGCCGTAAAAAAGCAGGCTGCTACATGAGCCCGTGGTATTCAAATCTAAATCTGTGCATGTGTTCCCATACTGAATGTCCCAGATCAATAATCCAAAGCCGTCCAATTGTTAAAGTCATTTCCTCATAAAAGCGATCAGTGCTAGTAACCCCCGGAATCATCCGATTCATCTGCATAGCCGTCAATAAGACCATTACCATAGGTTTCCTCATCCTCATCATCGTCCTCCTCATCCTCGTCATCATTGCTATTGTCACTGTCCTCTTCACCATTGGACTCTTCATCCGAAGATGGATGACTTTCTCGCGCTTTTTGAAGCCTGGAGGCCAGACTCAGCCGCCTCACATCCATAATCTCCTCCTCCTCATCTTCATCGTCTTCGTCGTCCGCCTCCACTCGCCTGTCAGCTTGCCGTCTCTTCTTTCCTCTCCCATCTTTTTCTTCCTCTTTCTTGCTCGTTTCATGCTCGCCAGGCTTGCTGTTGGATGCACCGCCTCCATCTTCCTCGTCATCGTCGCTATCAACTACAGCTGCGCGTTTCCGACTCCTCGCAGCACCCATAAGTCTGCTAGAAGCATTCTCGGCACCTCCACCTGGTTCGGTGAAGCTGCCGGTACGAGCGTGCTTTCTCCCCGACCTCTCAGATGTGTCGCCGTCCTCATCATCCGAGTCAACTACGATGCGTCGCTTCCTTGAGTTTGTCGCACCGCCGGCTACTTCTGGCTCGGGCTCGGGTGAGGAAAAGACTGGAACAATTTCCGCTTCGCCAGCGCCACTGTAATCATCATTCGCAGAGTCGTACTCCTCGTCATATATGTCGTCTCCAGAATCATCGTCCCCACCGTTTTCTGCAATCGGGGAATCGTCGATTCCATCGCTTTCATACTCGTCGGGTTCCGATTCCTCTTCTTCTTCTTCGTCGTCGGAGGATAATTCTGACTCAGATGGCACGACGCCTTCCGCGTAGGCGCGTCCCCACTTTCTTTTCAGCTTCTTTAAGAAATCTAAGCCGTATCTATCCTCAAATATGACCATCGGAAACAGCTCGATGCCACGGGTTCTTAGTAGTGGCAGAGCCGTGGCTGGCAAAAGGTGTGTGACGGGTTCGCAAACTTGTTTTCTTGTAAAGTCGTCGTACTCGTCCGCATTGGGCCAGCACCAGTTTGTCCACAATGGCTCATTTCGACCGTCTGTGACCATGCTGGTGTGCACGTAGATGTAGTTCGAGCCGCACCATAAAAGGTCTTTGCCGATAAACTTGTCGGGCGCTGAGAGAAGGAAGAGTCGCTTGAGGTTTTGGAATTGTTGGAGGGCAAGGGTGAAGTAGTCGCTGGTGTCTTCGTCTTCGTCGAAAAAGGCGTTGTAGTGGACTACAAGTTGCACCACGTTCTCTGCAAAGCCATCGAAATGGTAGATGAAGTCTTGGAACCTTTCTTCGATGGGAAACGGATGCATGACTTCGTAGGTGTATCCACTCAGCTGGACAATGTCTCGGTTGCGGTCGAAATGCACCGTTCCGTCGCCGGCTGGTGTTCTGATCTTGAGAGTGTGTGGAAGCAATTTGAGGGCAACGTCTCGGGCCTCTCGATTGGCGGCCATAACACTGCGGTTGAGTTCGGTGGCGCGTGCAAGGCTGGGAGAGCCATTGATGGTCCAATCGCGATAACGACGAGGACTGGGCATGCCCCTCTCGTCTGGCACCAGGTCGCTGGGGTCTTTTCGAACAACGCTCTTGAGGCTGAATTCAAGCAGCTGAGGCTGGGTCAGGCCAGCGAGTCCGAGCCCCCAGATTTTGATTCGCAGCTCCGGTGGCAGCTCTGCAAACTTGTGGAAGACGCGTCCCTTGTAGGGATTCTCGTCCCACGGATCTTGGCCATTGTAGAATTCGTCTTCCACGGCCGAGTCGTAGCTAGATTCTTCATCGGAGCACTCTGCGTATCGAAGGAGCAGCTCCGACGGCTTGGCCATCTTGGAGCTTGGCAATGGAGGCACAGAAAGGATGGAAATGCCAAAAAGAGTGCCAGCACTCAAAGGTTGAAGGAAGGGAGGCGATGCGTGAACTGCAGCACGATGTCACAGCACAAGGCTGAGGTTAGCTGGGCGCTAAAAACAAAAGAAGAGATTCAGCGGTAACTGATAAGATAAGGCTGCACTAAGCTGCTAAACCACGGGCCTGCTTTAGGCTCAATCGCCCTGTAACTTGGTGATCTACGGAATCAATGATAGGTACCTACCTATTCTTGCTCAAGAGACACCGTCTGGTTTCGGCGATTTAACAAGTGCATGGACATTTGCAGTTCCAATCTGCCGGGGCTTGATTCGCTGTCTTTAGGTCAATGCACCTTTTTTATGGCTACACCACATCTCATGCTTCTTATTGCGAGTCTCCAATTGCTTTTATACATCCACTAGAATGCTTCACCACTGCTACCTAATAGGGGAATCCAGCTCACCTGGCGCTAACCCCTCAAACTGACTGCTTGCCCAATTTCGCCCCGACATCATTTGTGCCATCATCAGCTATGAAGTTATGAAGCGACTAATCATTTGGCAATCGCTAAAATAACAGGAGCAGCAGAGAAAGCAGCCAGTAGAGGTCTTCTCCGACATACGATAGTTCTGTCGGCATCTCACAACGCTGGTTTACAATGGCCCCTAGCCAGCCAGATGGACTGTCTGATGGCCATCAAGAGACCGCTACCCAGGTCATCATCATCGGCGGAGGACTGAGTGGCCTACAAGCTGCTCATGATCTCCAAGAATTGGGCGTCTCCTGTCTGATTCTCGAAGCTCGCGATAGAGTTGGAGGGAAGCTGTGGTCGGTTCCCTTGGGCGAGGGTCAAGGATATGTCGACCTTGGAGGTGCTTGGACGAACAATGAGAACCAACCCAAAGTTACTGCGCTCGCTGAAAAGCTCGGGCTGCAAATGATCAGACAGAATATTATAGGCGACTGTATCCTTGAAGACTATGGAAGGTTCCCTTACGGCAGCGAGCCGCCGGTAAGCTTCATTCCATGTATTTGCGCCTTTCATGAATCAATGGGCCAAGGCTAACTCTGATCAAACAGCTATCCAGAGAAGACAAGGCAACTTTTGTCGAAGTCAGAAGCCGCGTAGAAGCTCTATGCCACACAGTCACCATCGCCGACTTTGACCAAGTTCTGGCCGAATATGGCCACATGAGCATGGACGAGCTCATCATCTGCATGGGCGCCACCGATACTGTGCGCCGATTAGTCAACATCTGGACTACAGCCATGTTGGGCATTGAGTCGACCCAGATCAGCTCAATATTCTTCTTACACTACTGCCAGGCTGGAGGGGGGCTGCTCCAGATGCGATCCGACGACGCAGGCGGTGGTCAGCATCTGCGTTTCCGGAATGGATCACAGTCACTGTCTTACGGGCTTAGAGACGGTCTCGAGCCAAACACCGTTATATACTCTGCGGTCGTGGAACGAGTTGAGCAAGGTTTGCGCAGCGGATGTCGAGTTATAACACGAGACGGCAAGAAATTTCGTTGCGAGCGTGTTATATGCACTGTTCCGAGTCCTTTACTGAAACAGATTGCCTTTTGGCCCTCGTTGTCGGCAGACAAAATCTGGCTCAGCACTCATAGCGAGCTCGGATTTTACGCCAAAGTCTTCCTCATCTACACGGAACCATGGTGGCGTAAGCTCGGTCTTTGTGGCTTGTCACAGGGATTTCATGGACCCGTATCTTTGACGAGAGATGCTTCGAATGACCAAGACGGGCTGTTTGCCTTGATCTGCTTTGTAGTAGGCCAAAGGGGGAGAGAGTGGGCGCAGAAAGAAGAGCCCGACCGCTTGGCAGAGGTGATTGCTCATGTGGATCGCATTTATGGGGTGAAAATCCCGCGTCCTGTCGAGACCCGAGAGCAGATTTGGAATGAAGAGGAATTTTCCCAGGGAGCTCCTTGTCCTGTGGTTCCAGCTTATTGTTTGAGAAGCTTGAGTCAAGACCAATGGAGGCCAGAAGGATTTATCCATTTCGCAGGGACAGAGACCAGTCCCGTTTGGAAGGGGTATATGGAGGGAGCTCTGACGTCAGGTAGCAGAGCAGCAAAGCAAGTTTTTGATATCCTGTCTACAAGTTGACTTGCAAAGATGGAACGAGAGGGCATGTAATATGCGGTGTCGAATACTTCTTTGCATGACACGTGATACATACAAGGTATAAATGAAAAGGTTAAATGTACAGTTAGCCTCTAAAAATAGCTGATATTAATAAAAAGCATGCGTGGATGCTGTGAAAGAGGCTTAATAGCTTTCGAAGGCGTGACCCAGCCCTCGCGTTTACAAAGAGCTGATGCGGCTTATAAGAGCCCCGCTGGCTTAATACAATAGACTGCCGACAGGCCCGAACTAGAATGAGAGCTTACAGGAGAGATCCGGCACTGAAATCTCTCTGCTAAATATGACAGCTCTCCGGTATCCACAGCATTCGAGTTGTACGTGGAGCTCGCCTAGATCGCCGTTTCGGGAAATGCCGCTTGGAGATGGCATCAAAGGGAGTTGATGCCATGGCTAGCGGCAGCCTAGCGCTGAGGCTCTTTATGAGCTTAATACACTCACCCGGATTCTATTTATAGACGCTCAAACGACAAGTAGATAGGTAAGTAATCCGATCATGTCGAGCTGATGCGAGTGTTGTTGAGTTATAGAGACATGTAAGTGGGAGGGTGGGTTGAACGAGCTTAGCGCTACACAGGTGTGATGGCGAGGTAAAGTGCTGCTTACCAATGCAGAGAAGTCTGATAGTAGCAATAGTAGCAATGGTATACTTGGCGTGCTATATAGATTAAGATAATTATTATATTTGCTGATAATATTGTTTTTCTAAATAACCTCCTCTCTTCCTGAATTAGCCAGAGAATTTCCTAATGAATTTTATAATTTTTTATAGTAGTCTATTATCTGTGGATATGTTTAAAGCATATAGAAACAGCGCGGCATTCCCTTATATACCTTCAAGTCTGTCTATTGCTACTATTGCTACTTCTACCAAGGATCCATTTTCCTTTTGCACAATCTTGGACAACTGTATATGAGAATGACACTTTGTATTCCTACATATCTACATTGCCCTTTCAGTTAAAGAAAGAGCGATAGGTCTACCATATGACATCAGTTTAAAAACTACAATTCAAATTAGTTGCGCATGATAGCCGGAATATTGATGACAGATAGACTATCTCAGCATCTGCTTTGTTGGCCACCACGAGTGATTTGGTATAGGTAGGTTTCCTCCTTAGCATAGCAGACGTAGCGAAGCATTAATCCTGCGTTATGATTTCATATCAGTTGAATTAAAGATTGTATTTGTATTTTTAACACCAAATATTCACACCCCAGTCCTCTGAACGAAAGACGTTAATCATATCACGACAGTGTCAGTTGTGGTAAGAACAGAAGAAACGTAGTTTGAGTAGATATGGATATATCGCACTAGACTTTGATAATATTGAGTAGTGGCGATTTGATACGCCGGATGAGAGAGTACGAAGCATATGCTTGGGAAATTGTATAGCTTCAACAATGCCGTTGATTTACTTGCTTTGGCCGAAGTAAGAACCGCCTGTGCCTGTAACGAAAGATATGACCTCGTAGCCGCAGTGATAATATAGAGACAGTACCTAGGTATGTACCTAATAGTTTTGCAGGTAGGCTGTGGCTTCTATATAATGAAGCTGCTGCAATATTGTCTCAAGAGAGAATGACAAGATTTGTTCCCAGAGCCATCATTGAAGCCTTGTGTTTTAGTCATTGTGAGTTTGATATCTCTTCTTTACCGCCATTTCGTAAACTATCATAGGTCATTGGTTCAGAGCTGATAACAAGTCAATAAAATGACTCTCGAGATTTGAGTCTTGCATCATAGCTTGGATAAACCGGCACCAGCGCATCTATTGGAGTGGAGCCGCGATGATTGCAGCTTAGTATGCAGAAACGGTCCGTTTACGTTGATTCTTGGGTTTCAATCAAGGCCCGATGAGAAGAGTCTGGGCGTCTAATCGTCAGCAGCATGCGTCACATATCGTACTTGGACTTGAATCCAACTCTTTCATCTCCGAGCTCCCCGAACATTGCACTCGGTAGTAGATAAGGGGTTACCACTCGCGCAAGCTGCTGTATAGACGTGGCAACGCAATCTATAGCGTTGATCAGATGATAGAGTGAGAAGCAATTTATCATTTTGATCTGAGTGATTGCAGGTTCTTCGGGACCAGTTGAACACCGGCTTCTCCCAGTTCAAGAGAAGCGCGAGAATAACGAATCAGATTCAAATTCACTCTACATAGAGCTTGTGATGCTTTGGGCTAAAACAATTCATTAATGACTCGGCGCGCCAAGCCATAGTCCCTATGTTTGTTCGCGCGTATAGGAGAGTTTTCTTACGGCCGAGGTTAATGTTTGTGTTACATTGCAGGTGGCACACACGCAGTGGCCGGCATGGGGCACACGTATACGAGCATCTTGTATACTGGCGTAGAGAACTTAGCGTCTAATATATTTTGTACGACACTGAGCACCTGTCAAGCGGAGTTGACGTGTATCAATGAAACCCAAAATCATTCACTCTACTCTTTCACTCAAGAGCAAGAATGCACATACCGTCACGAACAATGTGGTAGGATCTTGCGCAAATGAATGATAACAATATACTCAAGACTATGGAAGCAAAAGCCAAGAAGTCCAATAAGCACCAAATTGAGCAAATAGTTTGTCTACCTTTTGCCCACAGCAAAGGCAGAGATGCAGTAGAAATACCCATTGGGCTCCATACATTGACCGTCGGATATATTGCGCCATTGTCCTGGATATTGAAGTCCCGGGCTGCACTCCGGAAAATGCGACCGTAAGCTTAATGTACTCCGCATTTAGCCACAGAAAGCTCAATCATCGGGATTTGGTACAGAGCAACACATTGCTTTTCATACCTGGGTAGGTATACAGCCAGATAGCCTACCCTCGCGGAATATTTCTACAACTAGGTGCTAGTTTTAAATCCTAATTCCATCTTTTGCCATCTCTCGTCCACCAAGCTAGACCAAAAGACACGGCAAGCCGATCAAGCACGGCATATCTGATTCGCGGGGAAATGCCTAAATTCAAGTGCCTGGGTCACGACCCCTTGCTGTCTCCATCAAGTTAATATACCTAGACGTCGCACTAGGTAATAGGTCCGATTCTTCCCTGGCAGCCATCAACCTGGGGCACAGGCCCCATGCACGACACTTTGAACGTTGTTTGTCTCTACCGTTGGAAACTAACATCGACTGCGATGCCTTTGAAATCTGGCTATGCATGTGCCCGAAGCAGATGAACTATTCCAAAGATAGGCGGCCGATCACCCCCGTTCCGCAAATCACACCAAATCTGGAGTGCAGATGAATGCTTAGCGATAATCCGCGAGCGATGCAGCCTCAATCCGTGGATCGAACGCATCCGCATAGCCAAAGAGAGGGCCAGCGGCTGGGGGAGTGCCGATCATCCCCGTACGTGCTCAGTCAGTAAGATGAAGGGATAGCAGCCCATGTGTGAGCGCACCAGGTAGATGATGCATGATGCCATTGTATTCAAGATCCGGAAGTTGCTTTCTGGAATCGAATGTTTGTCAGACGGCGTCCCTAATAATATATGGCCAGAGTAAGAGTGAGAGTGAGATAATCAACCTCGACTTGAGTGAAATCAGCTTCTGATTAGGGACGAACTGAAGCCAAACTATACTACAAACTATACTACTGATGGTTCTTAACAAGGTTCTAGAGAAGCTTCAATGTTTACCGACTTAGCTGGTGGGCTATGAAATGTATGCCCATTGGTCAATACGGGTCACTTCACAACTCTACTGCGTATTCGCCTACTCGTAGCTTGTCATGTGCAGCCTCATCGGGGCCCAACGCAAAATCCGAGTAACCTCCATCAACCTTGCAACTGTCCTTCTTGGCCAGAAACCAGTACGCACATGCTCGCGGCTGATTGGTGGGCTGAGCTGCAGCACCTCTCCAAGGATGAAGCTGTCACAAAAGCCGCGAAGCTCCACACACTCCATCTTCAATGCTTCCCAATGCATACCCCAGACTTTTTATATAAGCCAGGATAGGCTCTGGCCGCATTTAGCCCCCCTTGGTAGCCGCAGCCATAGTGAGCCAACTGCCAGTATCCCACCACGAGTTTCTCAACAACCACGCGGCAATGATTCAGATCCGCCACGCCCCTGTCGGCTCTGGCCTATAGAGATTTGTCGTAACCCCGCCGCAGCTTCTTCTCCGGCCTTCTTGTTTTGTTTCTAGCTGGACGGTAGACTGCGTGTAGCCAGTCCTCTCTCTGCCCACACCAGCGTATTCGGCGCATTGCTCGGCCGGCAACTCCATCAGATGATAGGGCAGTCTATGAAAGAGCCAAGCATCCTTCGCCGTTTTTGACTTTCAGAGATGCATTTGAGACTCTGTGGGCTCGGACCGAATCCGGATCTGCAAGAGGGTGCTGAGGACGCGCTTGTCCCCGATGAAGCTCTCCAGGAACGGGGATAGCTTGGTCGAGCATTGGGTAGATTCTGCGAGCGAACTATTCCTGTTGCGATGACTAAAGTTGTTTCGAAACATGTCAGCTCGAGCAAGAACGACGAGGTTGTGTGTGGATATTGGTTACATTGGAGATAAGACAAACACGAGGAGTCTAGGATAGTCTTCAATTGATATATAAGACATCATGAGTCCCCGGACTCTGGACTTTTTTGTTTACCAGGTCATCCTTCAGTTTCAATCCTCAGCTCCAATCCTCCTCGAGTCGTCTAACAGCCAAGTTAATCTTGTGTAAACACTTACATCATGACTTTGAAGCAATCTGCCCTGGCCGCCCTGGCCGCTGCCGCTGGAGCCCAGGCTCAACTGTTCACCGTCAACTGTGCTCCCCTGACCCAGTTCCGAGGTGATCCCATCGTCTCTCCCGGCGAAATCTCTTCCCACGTCCACGCCGTTGTTGGTGGCACCGCTTTCTCCCTCAGCACCACCCCCGCTCAGGCACGAGCTGCCTCTGCCACAACATGTGACAAGATCCTCGATCAGAGCAACTACTGGCAGCCGCAGGTTTACCATCAGCGAACTGATGGCCAGTTTGAGCTTGTCACTTTCCAGGGCAGCGTGAGTTGTCGGAGTTCTTCATATCGTCAAAGATTATACTAATAACTATAGGCCGCCTACTACATCCAACGCGCCTGTGATTACGCACCTGGAAGAACGAACTGCGATCAGGCTCCGCTGCCTATTGCCCCTCCTCAGGGCCTCATCATGCTGGTTGGAGATCCAAACCGACGGTGCGTAGTTGACTCGAGAACTCTATTCTTTGCCCACCCCAGTTCTAACATTTTGACAGCACTTTCAATGCCTCGAGCTTCGAAGACCAGGCCATCTCGCACGTCTGCCTCGACGCCAACCCTGTGCCTGACTCCAACACCTTCCCCTCCAAGCAATGCGAGCGCATGCGTTCTGAGACATTCTTCCCGTCTTGCTGGGACGGCGTCAACTTGGACAGCACCACCCACAAGTCTCACGTATGTAACCTTTTATTCCCGTCATGGGGGTTCCCGGTCTTAAGATGTGTGTCATGCTAATAAAACAACAGGTTGCTTTCCCGGCCATTGGTGCCTACAACACGGGTGTCTGCCCCCAGTCCCACCCCAAGGCCATTCTCTCGGTCTTCTACGAGTTCTTCTATGACACTGGCTCAATCCAGAACTACAACCGCCTTGTCTACGCCGACGGTGATGCCACCGGCTACAGTCTCCACGCAGACTACCTCCAGGGCTGGAAGGACCAGAATGCTCTCAACAACGCCATCGCCACCTGCACTGGCCCCAACGGTGTCAACGACAAGGGATGCAGCTTGAACGTCGGACCCAACGGCACTCCTGGTTCTTCTGGGCCCCAGAAGCTCCAGACCGCTGCTCCTACCGAGAACATTGGACTTAACGGCCCAATCGCTGCCCTTCCCGGCAACAACCCTATCCACTAAATGTGTTGGGATGCCGAAATCATTGCAACTTCGAGTCAGCCGAGAAGACAGCGACGAAAGACAATCGATCGAAGCGTAGCTCTAGCCATCGAGCTTTATCGAAAAGCAGTGAGAAAGGGTCTGCAGTTTGAGGGAAAATGTTATTGAATGGACGAATGATGATAAGGAATGATACGGATTCACCAGTGGCTTCGCTTCCACCATTACTCTGATTTGGACAGAGCGACTCCGATCAGGGTGTAAATCATGCACATAGTTAGGTTACTACATACGCAATAAAGAACGATGTACATAACAAGATGGTTGTGCGCTTGTGTCGGTCGTTTCAGAAGTACTGACACTCATTGACTCATACTGTTGTTATAATACGAAAGCAGCTGAACGTATTTACGAGTGAAGAGAATTGAGAAGAAATATGAGAGTGCAAAGAAAGAAGTATCGAGAGCTTTTCATTCGTGTCTGACTGAAAACAAAATTGGCTTATTAACAATAGCACGAAACTACCTACGTTTGGACTTCGTACCTCGCTCAACAAGAGATGGGCGAATCTCCAATGAACGCCAAAACAAAAAGTCAAAAAGTAAACCTCAGGTGCTTATGGACGAACGGGGAATCGAACCCCGGACCTTTCCCATGCGTTGAAGTAGCTTAAAGCTGCTTGATGCTAAGGGAAAATTATACCACTAAACCATCCGCCCATTTGAGCCTTCTGATTGGCTGGTGAAGCTCGGAAAATATTCTCTTCATGAATGTTTAGATGCCGATGAGTGCTGAAGATATAGACGGCTCTGTTACCCTAAAACAAAAAATAGTAGTAATAGTAGTAATAGTAGTAATAGTAGTAATAGTAGGGATAGTAGGGATAGTAGGGATAGTAGGGATAGTAGGGATAGTAGGGATAGTAGGGATAGCAAAGGTAGTAGCAGAATAAAGTAAATAGCCGGACTAAACAGTGGTAAATTCTGTTGTATGTTGATTGATAAGTTTACATATCTGGTTGTTATTTACTCCGGTAGCAGTTACTGAGATTCAGAGATTTAAGTCAACCTTTAGGCATAAAATAACCATTCAATTAAGATATCTTGGTAATGAGCTTGAAAGCTATCCTGACAACGTTTATTCTAGATAAACGGTAAGATTAATTGCGAATCATACTTACCACCAGTGTGAATTGTATGATGGCCAACATTTTCGTTGTTATCATGTGCCGGCTTGACCCTGTCTGTATCCGGATAACACATATCGTATCCCGCCACGCGCAGCATGATGCCCTCACCCGGTGCGAATACCATACCCATTGGCCAAAGAGTGATTTCAAGATTCACAACTTCGCCCAAAGGAATCGGCTCCCGCTTATCATGTTTATAAACCACCTCTTGAGCCGTTGATAGCTTGTCATCTTTAGTCACTCGGTGTGAGGCACGGAGGAAACCCTGAGGGCCAAGACATTTGGCGATGTTATCATTTCTTACCTCAGAGACCGGCAAAGGGCAGGGATAGTTGAGATGTTCGAGCAGTCTACCGTCAGCTGAGATCTTGCGGAGCTGAACGGCAACATCGAGGTCATCGTGCTCCTTACACGATATCCAGAGCTTGACTTTTGCGTATCCGGCTATTTCCGTATGTTGTTTAAAATGAACGTAAAATTCTATCATACAGTGTTAATCCAAATTCAGAAAAGGTATACCTGAGGTAAAAAGAAAGGGCAAAATCCGAGAATGGCTTACTGAGCTATCTGTTAGACCTTCGGCAAAATGCGTGATCGACCCCTCTGTGGCCTGTTTATCCCATACGAGCTCCTTTGATGCGGAGTTGAGGTACAATGTCTTGAGCTGTTGTCGAGCCAAGGGCCATTCTCTCTCAGGCTGTTCTTCGATGGATTTGGTGAGGTTGCCATCCGCTTCAAATCCAAGAAGCGACAAGCGAACAGGAGGAGTATCCTCTTCCCAGCCATTTTGGATACCTTTCAGGAATCGATCGTAGAACTTCTTGAGATCTGCATTTGCTTCCGGCCGATACAAATCATACCATTATTGATAACGATGGACTCGAAGCCACTTTTGTGACGTCTTGGCTGTGCGGAATATGTGAAAAGAACCTCGAATATGGAGCTGGGAAGGGAAGGAACCCAGCAAGTAGATCGGGACGTTGATATTCTCTGTATGTATATACTTGCTCTCCCAATAATCATCATAAAAAGGTCGTTCGGAAAACATCTCTGGCATATTCTCCACTGCATTTGTACCTGTAAAACCAGACAAGAGGAATCTATGCAGATAGGGGTTGTGTCTTCTCCCCCCTCTACCAAGAGTATCACGATACACATCGTGTCGGCCTTCCCAAGGAGCCAAGGCTTTGAGCGCTGGATGCTCATGACGTGACGCAAAGTTGATTTGCGAGATGGCTAGCCACGAGTTGCCGGCCATCCCAACCGAGCCGCTGCACCATGGTTGCTTGGATATATAGTCGATGGTGTCGTAAACATCTTCGGCTTCCTGGGGCCCGTAGAAAACCACGTTGCCTTCAGACTTCCCTGCACCTCTAGCATCGACGTTGATTATGGCATATCCATACTCTGCCCAAGTAGCAGGATCAGGGCCCTCGAACTTTTCGTATCCAGAGGTATCCTCAAGCTTGAGGCCAATGTGGTGGGGCCCCATGATGTCGTAGTTGGGCACTCCTGTGCCCGTCTTTCCATAAGGGCTAAACGCAATGACCGCAGGGACTTTATCTTTGGCGTCTGTATTTGCCGGGCGGAAGACATCAGCGTAAATTCTGATACCGTCGCGTATAGGCACTGCCACGTCCCTTTCCAAAATTGTGTCAACGGGGAATGGGAGTCTGCCAGCCCAACGAGTATGGCCCCTCTCCAAGAAGAGTTTGCTGTTGGGCTCAAAGCCATGCCAAGTATAATTTGAGTGTTCCTCTGGAGAAGGCAGTTTATTCCATTTCAGATTAGGAAACTGTTGTTGCATTTTTTCAGAAGTTGTAGCCATGGTAACCGTCTCAAGGATGATAAGATAAAAGTCAAATACTCTTTAGCTGACGTTTATTGAAAGGTGATGATGGTGTGAATGAAGTCACATCAAACAGCAAGACGCATCGAATATATATGTATGAGTATATATATGTCATCTATTGTACTTGAGTGACGGATTACTGGCTATAAACTAACCTTAGCAGAGCGCTGAAAATTCGGAGCCCATCACTAAGTTAGCAATGTCTCTGTCCGACTGATAGGAAAGATTGAAACGCTTTGTGGCTTTGCGCCGTCGTAGGGCGGCTCTGCCGGAGACCAGTTCCGGTATTATTGTAAGCCTGAAATTAGCCCGTGGTGAAATTGCACCGCGGTACACTCTAATGCGAATTGTAGCGCAATTCTGTTACTTTAATTTTAAGCTTGCAATATAGTGGTAAAATATCAATTGAATTACACTTTGCACGACATAGATGTTCCGATTAGAAGCGCGTTTTACAAATAGAACGGTGTAATCTGTCCAATATTAGGTGTGGGATACATTTCTCATCTACCAGTAGCATTCCAGTTATTGCCAACGAGGTTGCTGTATCTACTTACACCATGCTAATTGTCCTCTAGGTCTTTCTCGGGTCGGATATTATGGTTAATTCTCACTTGCCAAGCACAGAGTAGGTATTCATGAATAGTTTAGCATCTTGCAACACCCCGCGATGCCCCGCGACGCCCCGGAATGCCCCGTATTACCCCGTATTCGTAGCCATGGTGTGTTCAATGTTGAGAGGAATGATCTTTTTCCAAAGGTGGCGAGATAATCTATAATGAAAAAGTTGTATAAGAAGCTGACGGCCTATCTTAAGAGAAATATCTACCAAAGTAATCACGCAGCTAGCAACCCCAATCATCCATCTACTTTAATCTCATTCAAGACTTGGATATAACTTTTTCTGTCTGAATCAAATAAAAATGACGGACAATAAACCTTCTGTTACGCTAGGGAAGAGACCTTCAAACTGGGTGCCTCTCTTGGATGAACCCCTGCGTCAAGAACGCAAGCTTCGTGTTGTATGCGTTGGCGGCGGTTGGTCTGGAATGACCTTGGCCCACAAACTCACGCACGAACTCAAGTGGGATTATTTCATTGACCTCCAGATTTACGAGAAAAACCCTGACCTTGGCGGTACATGGTATGAGAACCGATACCCCGGAGCGGCATGGTAAGTAGCCCAATCCAGCATCCAAGCAACAAGACTGACTCTGCTACAGTGATGTTCCTGCTCGTACGTCCTTCTCTTATTCCATTTCATTGGTATTAAATCTAATTTTATGATTATTAGATATTTATGTCTTTCCGTTCGAGTCTAATCCAGATTGGACCACTTTTTACGCCGACAGCCCTGAAATCTGGCAGTACATGAAAGATACTGCTAAGAAATGGGACCTCGAGGGCCACATGTTGTTCAATTCCAAGGTCATCGATTCCATCTGGGATTAGTGCAGTGGTAAATGGCGACTCAAAGTTGACCATCACGGCGAGGTCATCCAGGACGAGTGCGACGTTCTCATTAATGCAACTGGATTCCTACAGTAAGTTACTTGAACACATCTTCATAGGACACAAGGTGTTCTGACTCTGGAAACGTCTAGCAAGTGGTCTTGGCCCAATATTCAAGGTCTACACAACTTCAAAGGCAAGCTAGTTCATACTGCGGCTTGGTAAGCAATGGGAATTTTTGATACAACAGATATACTATAGTACTCACGTACATTATAGGGATCAATCACTAGATTGGAGTGGCCAGAGAATAGTCCTAATTGGTAACGGATCATCTGCCATCCAAGTCTTGCCACAGGTCCAGAAGACCGCCAAGAAGGTCGTCACATACGTCCGCAGCCCTACCTGGATTGCCGCAAATTTCTTAAATCAGTTTTCTGAAGATGGCAGCAAAGTCTTTACTGAAGAACAAAGAAAGGAGTTTAGAGAGAATCCCGAGAGGCTATACCAACTACGCAAGAAGTTGGAGCATGGGTATGCTCATCCTTTAAATCAGCTTCCCATAGGCTAACACTTGGCATAGATTTAATGAGCTCTTCAAGGCCATGGTCGTCGGCAGACCAGAGCAAAAGGAACTTGATCGTGAGCACAACTAGATTATGCGCCAACGCCTCCGCCGAAACTCTGAGTTGATCAATCGTCTGGTCCCTAGATTCACTGCGGGCTGCCGTCGCCTGACGCCCGGTGATGGTTATCTGGAAGCTTTGCAAGAGGACAACGTCAAGACCACTTGGAGTTCCATAATCGGAGTAACAGAGAAGGGCATGCTGACGGCTGACGGTGAAGAAGAAGTCGACATTATAGTCACTGCTACTGGCTTTGATGTGAGCTACAAACCTAACTGGAACCTTGTCGGGCGCAATGGCGCTACACTGAATGAACTCTGGGCGAAGGATCTTCTGAGCTATCTTGGTATTGCCGCTCCAGAGCACCCCAGCTACTTCATCTTTGCGGGCCCCAACACGCCCGTTGCGCACGGCTTATTCTCTGGCTCTTGTGATGCCATGGCCACTTATGTCTTGAAGTGGTGCCGCAAGATTGCGTCAGAGGACATTAAGTGAGTTTGAAGGCTTTTACTTCAGCCATTGTGCAATTTGGGGTTTGCTAATGGGATGTAGATCTATATGTGTATTGCCAGATGTGATAGACGACTTGGACGTGTGGTCCCAAGAGATGCTATCTCATACCGTGTGGGCTGCTCCATGCCGTAGCTGGTATAAGAATGGCAGAACCGATGGCCGCATTACTGCTCCACATGCTGGTAGTGTCATTCACTACAGAGGTCAGATATACATCCCTCGAAATAATCTCGTGTGAATCGGAAAGTTAACGAGAGACATCAGAACTACTGGAGGACATTCGGGGAGAGGATTTCAAGATCGAATACCGTTCGACAAACAGGTTCCGCTTCCTTGGGAACGGATTCACAAAGAGAGATATTAATGGAGAGGACCTCGGCTACTATCTAAATGCGCCGGCTGTCAAAGACGCATAAGCTTTTGAGAAATATTCGTTATGTATTAGTCATAACCCATGGTGAGAATTTCAGGTACTTATTTAGTAAGACCTTATCGAGTCGCGTCGAATCCAAATTTACCTGTGAGAAATGAACTCCAAAAGGCCTCTTCGCTTACCCAAAATGCACAATTAATGGCTTGCATATTAATGTCTTCGCAAAGAATAGCAGTTTGGTTACAAAGCGCTCTGCAGGAGATAAGTATCTAAATCTTCGGTTAGAAGATAGGTTCACGGCTCCTGGTTCTCCAGTGGTAGACATTACTGAGTATAAATCTCTAATAGTTCATCTTGAGGCTTTTCTTCAATCTAATCGTGAGCTTATTGGGAATTTATTATTCCTCATGGAACCTTATTGCATCTTATGCGCCATAGTTGGATTCGTACACCAACTACTGCAAATGAGACAGATCCAGATTTTCCCATGAGTCGCTTATGTCACAGGGAAAGAGCTGCTCGATACCAGCCATAAAATCCCCATAGTCTATGGAAGCATGTGATTCAGTGTTATTGCCAAGAAGAGGCATCAATGACAACATATTCGAACTCACTGAAGTATATGTTAGCGGATCGGAGAAATTCGACGACCCAGACGACGCATCTTGGTGAGAAGTCATCGTTTCTGAAGTTAGAAACCCGGCCAAGTTTTGTGAGCTATTATCACTGCCTTGCTTTGCAGTTAATCCTCTTAATGAGGTCTCAACTCTGGTCAATCTACGCTTCAAAATGTCCGTGCCGCACCAGAAGGCGACCGACCGATCGATGTTGAGACAGAGCAGCTCGTAATTCGAATCTGCCAGCTGCTTGTTGAGAGACAAAGGCCCAAACATGCGGCACGCTACTTGTGCCGCTGCGGCTATCCACAGCGTATTGGTCATAAAAGGGTTGGTGTATTTGTAGTGCTCACCGGAACTATTTCGTTCGATGGCAATAACATCCTCAGACGCCTTAATATAGTTCGACCATAAAGGATGATTCGAAACTTTGTTCTCATTTCCCGCGTTCAAATGATTTACCTGAAACGGAGTCATCCAGGGGGCTTCGGCAGCGATCTGGTGCTGGAAGATCATGAAGTGGACAAGCTGCGTTATTATATGTATGCAATATATGTCGTTATGATACTGACGACGGCTGATATCTTGTGGAGACTTTTTAGTGAGAAAGTCAAGAGCCTGCCCATGATAGGTAAGATCGGAGGGAAGTGAATTAGTCGTGCAGTACAGGCAGTTGGCCAAGATGGTAACATCGGCCATGTTTGTTGTTGGATCGCTTTCAAGTTTATAGTCCGGCAGAAGCAACTGACAATTGTATACAAAGGAATTGATGACAATGTACCAAGCTTTCGGGCTGGGATTGCCGGACTTGTGCAATTGTTTCCAGCGGAGATTTGGATCTTCAGCGAGATAACAGCTTTTTTGAGGGCTATCGCCGAACCAGTAGCCATCAGAAACTGGTAGATAAGTGAGATTATAACTCCAGTTGATAGCCATGGGCAAGCGTCTGATCGCGCTGGCAAGGACGTCCATCTCCCAGATGGCCCACCAAAGTCTTCTTTTTTCTTCAAGCATAGACCAATGCACCGTGTCGACGTTGTGATTGTCCTTGTCTACCTATCGCTTGGATGGAAAATCCACCCGATGAAGATCCAGCTCGTTTGCAAGCCGGATGCAAACCCCTAAAAGCCTCCAAGATTTTGATCGGACACTTTGTGTCAACTGGTAAAATGTCAAGAGAATATAGGCCTGAAGAAGCCATAGTGGAGCCACTGAGTCGTCGAGTTGTTCAAGAGTCTCACTTAGGCGCTTTGAGGCGATACGAGCAAAGTAAGAATGTGAGGGACAGTCGGTAGGGCGAGATGGCGTTTCGAAGGAAGAATGGAATCTTGCGGCGTAGGCAAATATCGCGGCTACTAAAGCTTCAGCTTCAGTTACGGATTGCATGTGAGAGAATTTCTCCCCGATTTTATATGGCTTGAAAAGTGTAAATGTTGTCATGTTGTTGAAGTACAAGCCCATTCTATTACCGCTTGTTAACACATCAAGGTTTATTGTTAATTGTTTCACAAGCGCTCTGAAAACCAGAGCATGTTTGGAAACAGTCTAAGATTGAACGAGGCTTACAGATAGGTGTAAAGCTCTTTGGAGGTTGCCAGTCCCTCGCATACGCGTTCCACAATAGCTTCGGTGGCCGTACCTCCACAAGAAGGGGAAACATCCAATTGTAGCTGCACACCTCGTGTGAGGGGTGCATAATTTGGACAAACGTTGTCGCACTCGCAGGAGTATTTTGCTCTTCATCACCATCCGCTAAAGGGGGAGACTGTGTTGAAAGTGGAAGACTTTGAGTCGACTCCTGAACAGGCTTTCCAGCTTTGGTCAGTGGCGTATCATCCGTGGGTAAGGCACTTCTTGAGGCGGTGGCCTCGGGAAAACTAGAGGGCGAGCCTCTATGAGTAGAGCGTCCATTCCGTGAATTGGCGGGCCTGCGAGTAGTTTTCTGGGTGCTTCTTTATCCCAGCGTTAGAGTTGGAGTAAATCGTAAATGATTAGGACATGAGGCTTAACCAATCAATTTTAGGACCTGGCTTTCTGTTGCAAGTGGGATAATCACAGGTGCCTCTCAACCTATCGCAGAGACCACAGATGGGTAATGCCCGATTACTGAAGGCGGGTCAGTTGTGTATTAAAAAGTAAAGCTTTAGTCAGCCCCCAAGTTACGAGCACTAACCACTTCACTTTTCTCCTTGTTTTTTGAGATTGTTAGTACCTCAGGCTGATCTTCTAAAGTGATACAATTCTACACACGTACCTCTTACAGGCATATCACGAAAATTCGGAAATGGAACGACCAGCTTCTTCACGCATGCTTTTATCAGGATCTTTTGATTGGTGACGGCGAAACTTCTAGAAACTCCAAAAACAAGCGGCCGATATCACTGACAGGGGATGAGAGGATGGGAGAGATATGGTTGAATTTGAGCGGAGCTTCTGAGAGCCGGCGGCAGGTCTTCAACCTAATGTGCCGATTCAAGGCTCGCGACAAGTGTGAGCCGCGAAGCGCGAAGTTAGTAATCAACCACCTTTTTCGGGCGATTTTAAGCACGAGGACCAATTCGCGGCACTAGTCAAGCTGACTCGATATAGTTGTAAGTTCTTTATAATGATCACTGTTACTGTGCATTCAGATACTAGTTTTGCCTTCCGCGTTAACGGCGCGAATAGGCAGGCTTACTAAATTCTTATAAGCTAGGTACTAGAATTACCGTCCGCGAGGTTCCGCGAGGTGGATATGTTTAAACCGCTCCGTGGAATAAGATGGATCAGTTGCTTAAATGCATTAAGGTTATCCAGGGGTTTATGGGTCCCATAATTATGTAAGGTAAACAGCGGAAGGACTTCGTCGGCTCGTCTTCTGTGAGTTCGGCCGTTCAATGTGATGTCATGCCATTTCCATCCTAAGAGGCCACATATCAAAGGATTCATAGGTGGGCCGTTGACTATATAACTGCTGATCTTTTTGGCTTGAAAAGTTGAGAGGGGTTTATTAGCATCTTCTACATATCCCATAAACACAGCGAGCGACACCTTTCATCTTCCATCTAAACTATATAAACGCTTTCGACTATATCAATTTCTCCGAAATTAATATCTGTAACTATGTCTGCCAAGAGAGTTATTGCAGTGCTCGGTTCTACTGGCAACCAGGGTGGCTCCGTTGCCAAAATCTTCTTGAATGACCCTAAACTCAAGAAAGACTGGACTGTCCGCGCTATAACCCGAGATATCACCAAAGACTCTGCGAAGAAACTTGAAAGCCAAGGTGCTGAGCTTGTTGCTGTAAGTTGAGAAGAAGACATTTCTTGTCCTCTATCGAAACAAGTCTATATGATGCCGATTACTAACAGCGAGCAGGCGAATATTAATGATGGCAGTTCATTAGCCAAAGCCTTTTCTGGGGCTGCAGCGGTTTTTGGTGTCACAAACTACTGGGAAACGATGAGCAAGGAAGGTGAAGAGCAACAAGGCCGGACAATTGTGGATGCTGCAAAGGTAAGCCCAGCTTGTGCGTGATTAAATGCTTGAGGCTCGGGTGCTGAAATTCGGATACAGGGTGCTCAAGTACAGCACTTCATTTACAGTTCGCTTATCGATGTGGCCAAGGGTAAGTTACTCCTTTATCCTCGCAAAAGAAAGTGCAAGGAGTGAGTTGGTTATACTGACGACGAAATGTGATGCAGCTACGAATGGTAAACTGGCCAAAGTCTACCATTTCGATAGCAAGGCCGCGGTTGAGCAATATGCTCGTGACTCCGGAATTCCAGCGACCTTTTTCCAGCCTGGTTTCTTCATGTCAAATCTCCCTGGACAGATGCTCTCTCAAGAGTCGCCGGATAAGCCGTGGACACTCGCACTTCCTACTCCAGAAACAGCGCCATTCCCAATGTTTGACGCTGAGGCTGATACGGGAAAGTTTGTCAAGGCCATCGTGCTGAAGCGGGACGAGGTTCTTGGCAAGCGAGTGCTTGGTGCCACAGTATACCAGACTCCTGCAGAAATTCTCGCTGACTTCAAGACTGCCTTTCCCAACGCTGGCAAAGATGCTAAGTTCTTTTCTCTCCCCCATGAGATGTTCACAGCTGCATTGAAGGGAAAGGGCATGCCGGACTTTGCAGCCGAGGAACTTTTGCAAAACTTCCGTTTAATGGATGAGGGTGGCTACTTTGCGGGGGAGAAGTTAGATTGGAGCTTGTCTCTTCTCGAAGACAAGCCAACAACTTGGCTGGAGCATCTGAAGGCAGCAAAGGCATTTCAGGGCCTCAATTAGGGCTTTGATTAGAGATTTCACCCTCCCTTTCATAGCTTATTTTCGTGTATCAACCACTTGTTAGTGGGTATTGAAATGTCACGATAGAATTGGTGGCAATTCAGATACAAAGCGTCATATGCACCTTCTACCCTCTTATGTGAATAATTTTGTATACGTGTATGCCTTAAGCCTTGCATGTTCAAATTTTTTTAGATTCCCTGATCTTCTATCTCCACTTGCCAAGCGTCTACTATCCCAAATACGATGTTTACGAGATCTCGCTACCTAGCGAAACCCTCGCTGCCGGCTCTGAGATGGCGAGAGCCGCTCCCGAGTTGCGACGTGTGAATATACAATTTAATGGCAATATTAAGAATTTGATTGCCTAGGGACTGATTAACTTCAAACCTTCATGTAAGGCACCTATATACCGGACCAGGACCCATATCGAACAAAACGGAACTTGGGCGGTACGACGGTCTTGCGTGATAGATAATCTTTGGATAGTCTTTGTATCTATACAATGCCATATCAGTCTTTGATCAGTCTTTGTGGACGTATCCTGGACAAGGTTTTGGTTGGATTATAAAAGCCCTATTGGGTAGACTGACGTGTTCCATTGACATCGTCGGCATTGGAAATTTCGCGGCAGGTCCGGAAGCCAATGGGGTTATCACGCGCTGCAAGCCGTAGATATGTCGGTCGCGCGGTTGAACCGTACACTGGTCAACATATAATATTCCGTAAAAACAGAGTGAAAATGCACTAATAATTGAGTCGCATGTAATATGCAGTCCAGCAACCTTGCATATAGTGACTCACACAAACGTCCAGGAGAGGCCTCGAGACTTGCACCCAATGCAAATGGGATTATCATACTCAAATCTCTTGTCAACATTTCCCTTCCGCCTTTCTACGTCTAAAATTGATACGTTGCGCTATCCGGAGCATATTATCACGGTATGGCTCAATTAAACCGGCGAGACATGTGCGCGTCAACTTCGGGCAAATTTCACCAACATTGAGCACAATTCGACCGTGGTAGATCTGTAAATCAGCAAACAGATATATATACTGCATTTAGAATGAAATGAAGAGAAAATGATTTTGATAATTATTTTTTGACGCTCATCACTAGTGAAGTTCTTTTACTTTCACCACTCTTTCACGCGGCTCACCATGGTTATCACTAAGAAAGAGAGCGAATATGTCCCCGCGGATCCCAACTTTAAGCCCCTACCCCAGTTCGGCCATTTCAGTGAACTAGATCCGGAGTACGCAAAGCTCAGGCCCGTGATGAACACCATGATGGAAGGTTTGTGGCAACCTGAGACGTCTTTGGAAGATTTTCGCAAAGCCTGGCTCAATGATACGCCGGCGCCTGAGGATTACCCTACAGAGGGCAGGGATGTCCTCACTAAGACGCGGATGATCCCGACACGGGATGGTACCGAGATTGAGATTAAGTTGTACATGGCCAAAAATAAGAGTCCTGGCTCTTCAATGGTTATACGCTACCATGGCGGTGGGTGGGTTGTTGGTGGGCATTGCACTGAACAGCCCGAAAATCTCATGATTGCTGCTTGGACGAATTCAGTGGTGGTCAGTGTCGACTACAGACAGTAAGTGGAACACAATTGTGAGTGCACATCTCATCCATTAACCGTATAATAGAGCGCCCGAGCATAGGTTTCCGTATGCACTCAACGACTGCTTCGATGCACTAATATGGGTAAGTGCTTTAGATGCATAAGCAAGATCACATAAGTGTAGCTTTTGAGCTAATGTCATGCAGTGCCGCGATAATGCTGCTTCCATCGGTGCTGATGCATCCAAGATAATTCTCAACGGAAGTAGTGCTGGTGGAAATCTAGTAAGTTATTTCATTACCCAGCATGTAACTCACGCTACTGGCTTCAGATTTGTAGATCTGTAGGGTATTTCAGCTAACAAATCATTCACCAGGCCAGTGTTGTCGCTCTCATGGCCCGAGACGAAGGATTCCAGGGTATCGTAGCCCAGATACTCTCATTCCCAGTAACTTGCCATCCCAAGTTCTTTCCAAAAGAAGCGTACGAGATGGGCAGCTACCAGCAAAACTGCAATGATAGCGTTGTGACTGCTGCCCGTATGGAATGGTTTTGGGACTTGTATGTGCCAGAGCCTAAAGACAACTGGCGCTACTCACCGTTGCTTGCGCAGTCCCTGAAAGATTTACCACCAGCGTGTAAGTCATCTATCACTCAGTCTAGCTATTTAGCCAGGGAGGCACAAGAAGCAACTTCAACTGACACTCATGATTCTACAGTAATTGTGGCTGCGGGATGCGATATTCATCGGGACGAGGCAATTGCCTACGCAGAGAAGTTGCAACAAGAGGGTGTTGATACAGACTTAAAGGTGTACAAAGGAATGCCGCATTGTTTCTATATGCTTCAAACGCATCCACAGACAGCAGACTACTATAAAAGAATTATAGAGTTTGTTAAGAAATTCTCTGGCTAAGTCAGGAAGAGAGGTCATTCGGAAAAAGAATGTTATAAGCGAATACAAGAATTATCTCAATCTATATAGCACGCCGAGTATGAAGGTAATTTATTCTGCCTAGAGGCTGAACATTAGTATTCTGTGAAACCTGCAATACTAAGTGGAAAAACCCAGGGTGTCTTCTTTCTAGACACCACACTTCAATTCCCCTTAGAGCACAGCAGCAAAGTGTCTCGTAATGGTGCTACGCTGGGCCTCGGCCCTTCATGGTTACGTCAACCACAGAGCAGACGGAAAGCCCGATGGCCGCAGCCCTGCGCAGGGATCTCAGCACAAGTGCAATACGAGATATTATGCGGATAAAGTGAGACACGCTGTGCTCATTTCTCTCTGTTATGCCATATTCTATGCTCTCTTTTGTACTGACCGGCGCGTTCATCTGCATAGACTATTGAGTTGCTAATGTCTTATGCTATGTCTCTCATTTCTAGCTACTTAATGTGTCTTATCCGTGAAATTTCATGTTGCACAGCTTCTTCAACGTTCCAGGTGACTCAAATTGGGGTCATACGAGTTAGTGGAGCCGCCGTCGGCATTAAGCTACACGTTGGAGAGCGCTCCCGTGTCTGCCGAGACCTATTCTCCCTACCTAACTTCACTTACTAGTACTACTAGTAGATATTGAACTCTCCTTACTTGCACAAACCAGGAAGCTCAAAACGGCAAAAACAGTACTATTTTATCCGTGGAATTATCCGCGTCACTAACACAGCTAATGGATTACTATCGTTGCTATTATAGTACTCCGTAGGAGTTTTCTATACGTTGGCCGCCTCCTAAAGTCGAAGCTACATGTACTCGCTCAAAGTCACTGTACGACCACGCAACCTAATGTTCCACAATTGTTATCAAAGCATACGAAAAACCTTCGTGGCTCGGTTCAACAAATAGAGACATATTCTGCAGAGCATGTTAATTGGGATATCGCCTCCTGACGACTAAATACGAGTCCATTTCGGGTCCTATGTTTCTGACCGCCATACTTGTTTTCCAAGGGAACTCTTGCGCGGCATCTCTCAGCCAGGTCTATACGAAATATTTGGTAAAAGTTTTAAAACATTGGCCCAAGTTTAGGGGGCGGTGAACTCGCCCAGCCGTGGCATTTCCCGATACGGAAACCATTCACCTATGTTCTATTCATGGAATACGAGCAGCGGCAGATGAATCCCGGACCGGGCACCCCGCAATCCAGCGCTTCACGAGATTCCAAGCATAGGTAGTCAACCCTAAACTTGCAGATCCGGCAACGTTACAGCTTAGCAATATTGTAGCAATAATGGTAGTACAATAAACGCCTGCTGTTAGATTCCGCACAGAACTCATCAAGACAGTTCTTGAATGCTCAAATCGTTACATCACTTTCTTCTGCCCCCTCTCATATCTAGAACTGAGACCTCGGACTGGGTCGTCACTGCTCGGTATGTGGGATAAACCCCTGCATACGTATCATGCTGAATGACGTTGAAATTGGCCAACTATGTTGCATCGCCACCGCAGCAAGCGGCGATTTTGCCAACAAGTTTGTTCTTTTACGAGATGCTGCAGGGGCTTTGATTCGTTGCATCTCGTAAGGCGCTCGGGTGATCGTATCCGTTGAGGAGCTTTTCCGGCGCCCCTGAACAAGGCAACGTCTAATGTGCTGAACTGTATACACTTTTGGTATGGGTTCCAGCCGTGTCGTTTATTCTCCACTAGAACCTTGTTTACTTTGAACTTAGAATTCTATCTATATAAAGAGTGAGGAGTTCCCTCAATCCAATTACCCGTTCCTTCATCCATCACACACTTCACTCTACATCCATCAACTCAACTCAACTACTACTTCACAAAAATCTCATACCAAAACACCCAAACCGCCACCATGCAGTTCACCAAGACCTTCATCGCCGCCCTCTTCGCAGCCTCCAATGTCGCCGCTGCTCCTACTCCTGCCGACAAGTCTATGATGGCCAACGTCCCTCAGTGGACAATTGAGAATCTCAAGCGCACGTGCGATACTGCCAACACCTCATGCACCTGGACATTCGCTGTCGACACCCATCTTGCTGCTGCCACATCTTGCACATACGTTGTCAAGGCGGCCAAGGATGCCTCTCAGGCCACCGGAGGCCCTGTCACCTGCGGATCTTACACGGTCACATCCAGCTGGAGCGGTCAATTCGGTCCTGGTAACGGCTTTACCACTCTCGCTGTTGTCGACAACTCGAAGAAGCTCATTGTCTGGCCCGCCTACACCGACGTTCAGGTCCAAAGCGGCAAGGTTGTGTCACCCAACCAGAGCTACGCCCCTGCCAGCCTGCCATAGAGGATGACAATCAGCTCTTGGTATTCACTATTGGATTTATGAATGAGTTTACAGCAATATGTTTACAGCAATATAGACGGAGGAACATACGATCCGGGAATGATGGCATATGACGCTTTATAAGTTAGAGACGATAAAATTTAATGTAATAAAATATAATATTTTACTCTCGAGTTTGACCTGCGCTGCATAGATCGGCTTCGTAAGTCCCATACATCTAAAAGCTTACGCATCCTCTGGGGCTATCAGGTTTATATGGCTGTTGACCTCTTCATTAATATGCTGCCGGGTGATTGGTACGGGACTTTATCTTCGGCGCGGAACCTTATCTTGAATCTTATTGCTGCTCGGCGATCTAAGCGATCTGGTTTTGCTGATTATAATTTGACCAGGCTAGCTAAACCTTATTGCTTTCGGGTACCCAATCCAATCCGCGCATTGAACCAGAGAGTTGGATGCTTCATTGGACTTTATTGCGATATCCCCTTCCAGCGTATTTGAACCTACAGCTGCATTTATAAATTAGATCACTTTGCACTTTCTTCCTCCCCCATAAGAAAGGATATGATTGGTATAAGTAAAATAGTAGCGTGTAAAGCACAAGAAAACATTGTGCTAGTGCCCCGATCTAACATGATTACAGCTTGTATGCTTGAATAATGTCGTTTCTGGCCATCTAGGTTTACAACGTTGCGTGAATGCTTTCATCAAAGAGAGAACTCAAATTATTATACTGTACGATTCGAGGACATTTTATTAGCTTACGTTGTCTTCGAAATTAACGTCATAAAGAGTCTGCTTGATCGATTCGTCCTATATAATTACATTCATGATGTATGTAGTGCCAGCGTTAGCGATTGTGGTATGCGCAGGGAACGAATGTGCGATATGTGATTCGAATACATAGTCGTGTCCCGGGCCTCAATGAGAGATGGTTGGGTTGAGTCGCGCTGTGTTGGCGGGGATGAGTATTTTCTGCCTTGCGCGAGTAGTCCACCACTGTGATAATTTGGATTCCTTCTAAATGGCTATTAGTATTTGAAGATGATCCCGGGAAGTGATAGCCATGAGTTCTCAACTGAGTCCTGTGTCACAACTTTCAGGCCTATACCATCAGGGACTAGGAGCATGTTCGCGACAAGGCTGTCTCTCTATAAAGGGCCACGAATGCCTCGTTTCCGCCTGACTTAGTGCTGACGGCCCTGAGGAGAGTTTGACATAGTGATTAGATGAGCGTTGGTTCATTTGTACGTCCTTGGCTCTGGCGGACGTGGCTCTTGTGCGTATTAGTCGAGTTGTTCTCAGCGATCCATGATAAAATCGCACGCTATGTCTTGCTAGTGTCTACTGCTTGTAAATCACTAGGAGGTAGATTGGCTGTCATCGGATAACGGGACTTTATATACTTTTTGAGCGTCTCATCAAGCTTTATGAGAATTCGTCTGAGTTCCAGAGGATAGGCCGTGCATAAGGCAGAAAAAGCGACCACCTAGTTTTGACAAGCTATCACCAGAATAAATAAAGACGTTTTTTACTTGGAGAATTGTCATCGAATCTTCTAGTTTCGTTATCTAACAACCCATCGGTGCTTAACAAAGCAGCCAGCTCATAGATATCAAGACTTAGCTGCCAGGGATACGAAATTGAGAGAGGTAACACGTCATTGGACGTTACGAGGGCCGATTTTGCGTCGACGGTGACCTGCCATCAGGCGGAGTTTATTGGATTCTACTCTTGATACAACGTGGTGAGTATGTCGTCGCCGACAGTCATAGTGGCGGTAGACTCAAAGAGTTGCCCGTTACCGTCGACGTCGCAGACGTAGAATTAAATTGCTTACCATAAGGAAGGCCGCATCAAATACCGGATCAAGTTATATCGTCTTAATATGATAGAGATTCATAATGTTTTCAAGTCGTTCCTAGTAGCTAGGGTAACCGTTTGCTTTCTGCCTCTCAAGAAGTTGGGCTTTTCATCGCTACTTTTTTTATTAAAGCACAGTGAAGTGAACAATATTAAATTATATCAGTTCCAATTTAATGCAAGTTGTCCAACAAAGTGTAGAGTTGCATTCCTCTCGACAGCTCCTCCGACATGCCGCGACTCATATATCATAGTTCATGAATTCAGCGATATAAGTTTACAGTTAATTGTTTTAATTGTTAATGTCACTAGTGCGCCATAATTCGCAAATTTACTGTGAAAACTAATTACATTGCAGCTACATAATTTATCGCACTTCTCTATACTTTGAGAAACTGGCCTTTACTTTGAAGGAAGACTAGGCTATGAGCAAAGACAATAAGTTTTCTTGATGCGGCAGTTTCACTGAGAAAATAGAATTACTTGAACAGGAAGTTCCATGTCATCATCATATATTCATATATACTTGCTATTTTATTAACGTTTAGACCACGCCATTATGTACATTTTCCTCATTGCCCACAAGTCGCAATAAACAAGCCACAAGAAACTCGGATGAGTCGCAATTAGCTAGACTTGCGTTACCTTCAACCTTGGCAAGGACTGGCGGCCTATGACTTAAGCAAAGCCTGCGCTGACAACGAAGCTCACGTCGTCGTTGAACGAGGTAGGGCTGTCAAAGTCGTGCTCGCCACCGTTGGCTGCGATGTAGCCAATGGCATTGTAGTGTCGCCACCAGCGTGCGGGATAGCTCCATGAGTGGAACGAGTTGCCCTGGCCGTTGATGCCGGCCTGAGGGCAAAAGGTGGCGTCCTCGCTGAAAATCTTGCTGCCATCGTTGGCGTTGAGAACCAGAGCATAGTTGGAGTGACGGATATAGTTGCCAGGAGTGTCAACAGACTCGAAAGAAAAGCAGGCACTGTTTCCGAGACCGGCGTGGACGATCCAGCTGGCCTGCTGCTTCAGAGCGGTGCTGTCAGACGACGAGACAACTTGGGTGTTGACGGTGCCGCCTGTGTGCGCAATGTAACGCGTAGTGCAGCAGGCAGTTGTAGCACGTAGAGAAATGTGAGATCCAACGGTCAGAGCTGGCCCGCTGGTCATCAAACTGGGGTCATACGTGTACTTGGCGGCCACGATGTCGGCTTGCACCGAGTTCTCGGTAGCATCAGAAGGATAACCCGTCGTCATTACACCCTCGTAGAAGGTTCCTTGAGCTCCGTCTGAGTTATCGCCGCCAGTGCCGAGAATAATAGCTCCTTCTTTGCTCATGGGTTGATATCCGTTGTTGGGGCGGACGCCGGAGTAGTATGTGGACAGAGAGCCGGAGGCGGAGTTTCCACCACGAATCGCCCACAGGTTTGGCTCGCCCTTGATAATTGCAGTAACAAAACGAGATGTAATAGTTGGGTCGGCAGGATTGTTAATAGGATCAAAGCCAGAGAAAAGGCCGTTCTCCAAATCGGCCATGATCCAAGGGCCGCTTCCCGAACCCGTTCCGCGACCCGAACCATCACCAGTTCCGAAGTAGATGGCTTCCATATGGCCGTTACCGGTATCACGAGAGTTTGTCTCGGCATTTCCGTAATCAAAACAGCATGCAGTGTTGTAGTGGGTGCCGTCAAAGACAGCGTACATGCCCTCGGCAGCATCGCCAGTTGCAGTGCCATTGGCGTCGTTGTTGCGGTAGCCCGTGAAGGGTGCAATGAAGGTGCCATAGACCTTTTGACCGTTCAATCTGACAGGCGCACCAATTGCGCTAGCCAGGTTATCAAGGCCGCCTGGCAGGGGGCCTTGTGCAGCGCCGCCGGGAGGAGCCTGCGTGATGTGGTTGCCATGGCCCGACTGGTCATAGATGATGGAGATGAGGCACGTCGTAGACTTGCAGAAGGTGTCCTGAGCGGCGGCATTGGCAACACCACCAGTAGATAGCGGCGCAATGTTGATGGTAGCGTTGTCAGAGCCCCGGCGAACCTGATAGAGCGAGCCATTGTACGATCCGTACAAGGAACGAGTCGTGCTGTGTGCGGCAACGCATGGCGTGCCACCAGAGGCGTAGATGTCACAAGGTCCGGCAGCAACAAGCTGAGAACCCACGGCAACTAGGCCCAAAGTGACAACGCCAACGCGTTCGCGGATCGGCTTGGAGAACATATCGATCTGTATAGATGGACAAGAAGATGGATATGGCTGTGGTCTTGAATCGGTCGATGAGACTGATCTGCAACGAACAGAAAGAAAGGGCGATCTCTGTGGTTTTTAAGCTGAACCATGTTGATCAGTCTCAGCCAGGTCCTATGTCCAATGTGAGTAATAGATACTATCTGGTTGTAACCTGAAAGCAGGAACATGTTTTACCAAAGAGGCAGGAGGGTTCTCTATGAGGTATGGGTGAACACTCCAACTATTTGGAAATGCTACGTTTGAACTAGCATCCTTGTCCTCTCTAACAACAACATCACCTTACAGTAGTCTTAAACCGTAGCTCGAAATGGCCGAGATAGTCCCGTTGGAGTGTTAACCTTGTGTCATACATACCGCTCTTCAATATCACAAGCACGGCCGTCATGAGGCTGGATCTGGGGTATGGGTTATACGCTCAGAGTGAGACATACGCTTTCTCGACTATTAGCGTCTGCGTAGCTTGGTCCTAGATGAATACACTAATGCAGAACAGGAATTAACAAGAACAAAACAGCCCATCCAACGACGGACTTGGCTCCTACCGTTTGAGTATCCCGGTTGGTGACAAGGACAGCATTTGTTTCTGAAGGGGCAATGCCTAGTATTCGTTTTCCAAAGAGCATAATGTACTTACCAAATCGGGAGCAAATCCTCCTTATCATTTGTGATATCCTGGCTTTGTGGCAACAATTGCACGTAAACTTACACCCAACTGCCGGCGTTAAAAAGAGACAGTAGTTGTCTCACCAAATCGCGCTACGGGCTAAGACGATCCTACCATCTCACGCTAGGAACAAAATACCACCATGCAGGCTGCTAAGCTGCCAAGCTAGGTGACTCCCCTGCTTGATTCAATCCATGCGGGAATATTCATTAAGCGTGCCAATAGATGTAGACAGTTGTAGCGCTGCCTGGAGTAGGATCAAATAAGACTCCACTATCATCGTGGGGAAGGCTTGGGGAAGCCGTGTTGGGCTTGGGGTTGAGACTCAAAGACGGTATTCTCATCGTAATTTGGCGGGCGGTAATAATGTAACTAAACTCCGTGCAGTGAGTGCTAGCCAAAGCTAACCAAAGTATGCTAGAACCGATGAAAGCATAAACATCTAGATCGGTAGATCCTTTGTGCCTGACATGCTTACTACCCTCCATAAGCTACCCGTCTGATTCCACTTGATTCGAGGATAGCCAAGCTGACTGCGACGAGATAGCTTCTCTCACTGCCGCCGGTACGAATCTTATTCGAGCTTTTAGAGCATAGGTACACTCATGTATCCTTGGATAGCCATTCTCATTGTATGACTAGCTTAGTTATAGAATGGTTGTTGATGTTTACATGGATAGCGGATAAGGTTGGCCGAAAAGGTAGTTGCTAGCTGATCGCTGTGTGTGGCAACGGCAGTATATCCCGGCGGGGGCCACTCAGGTAAAAGGCAGGGTTGTGTTTGTTTATGCGCATTATGGTCAAAAGTTTGCGAGAGGGAGGTGATCCCTGCCGAAGCCGACGAGGGGCGCTGTTCTGTTTTCACATGATCCTTCGGCACCATGACCAGATGAATGCTACGATGCCCAAGCCATCACAACCGCGTAGCAATACATGTGACTAGAAACCCTTGGCACTTTTGGGGTAAATTGAAAGATCGACTGGCATGGAGGGTCGCTGCGCACAAAGAGCACGAGCTCAATGCAGCACATGACGGATCGACAGAATTGCAGTTGGTCACGGGTAGCCAAAGCGTCATTGAGCAGGCGAATCGCGACCGCAGACGCTGATTGCCATCTAAAAGAGACTCGATCTTCTGCAAATGTACTTTTAGCCTCTTTGAAAAACAAATGAAAACCGCATTCCAAGGAAAATACACAACGTACTTTTGAAACGCTGTAGCTCTTCGAAGCGAAGCCACAATAACACAAAGCTGTTCCGCGCCAATTAGCTGCAATTCATGGCTGCCTGGATATGTAAGCAACGATCCCATCTGCCTTTCTCGGAAATAATGCGCGATACTTTTCTGCGCTTACTGCATCAATCATCTCCAATTCGTGTCATTGGGCGGGTACGAATTGACTTTCTTGGCCCCTTGCTAAACGCAGATTCTCAATTGCTCCGGAAGCTTGAGTGGACGAGGTCCAAGCAACCATGACGTACCGTAAGGGACTTATGTCAGTGTTGGCTGCACCGATTTCGAATTGTTAGATATCCATAATGCATGACGCGACGCGTCTCCCAACGATTTTACACGATCCACACCTCTGCTTGCTTTTACGCTCGTTACGCCCGCACCGAGTTCGGCCGCAATGAATAGGCGCTCCGATTATGATTTCGCCGGCTTGCACTGCGATAAAGTCGTTATTCATGGATTGTGATTTCTTTCAAGCCGGCCGCACTGGAAACAGGCCAATTGTGTCTTTACACTTTTTCTACCCAGAATGCCTACGACACAAAGAATTTATAGCGGTGAAACGAGCACCTATATCTGGAAGATGCTAACATTGGGAGCTAAATCTCTGCTAGAATACAATGAAAGCTCGAGTCACCCTATCTGGTGCGGAATGATAATTACTACTGAAGATGATCTAGTAATTCTCGTGCGCGATGTTAACTAACATTCTTCTCCTTAGTAAAGATGCGAAATAAAGCAATATCCGCCGTTATGTTACCAACTCCTGTTCCATCCCGAATCTCTTCTATCGACTTACGAAGATTATGGCCTTCTTCATATGCGCAATGCGGGAATACAGATCTTTTGTGACTGAGAACACCCGTATGGATGAAAGAAATGAAAATGACAAAGAAACATTGATTTAAGAGTGTGAGACGATGAAATCAGAAAGAGCGCCCTATACATTCAATCAAAACTTAGCAAAGACTAATTGCTGCGGCTCTAACTGGGCCTTCGAGAGGTAGTGTAGCCTTAATTGCTAACCGATAGTACATAACTTCTCATCGAAATGCGGAACTTCACAGTCATCCATGAGAAAAACGAGATATCCACATGCGAAGAGTCAAGCTCTGAATATAGCGGTCCTAAAAAACGAACGCGAAGCCAACATGATGCATTGGATTACTTCAGGCGACTTTTTCAATGACCAATCATAGTAATTGACTTCTTTTCCAGAGCTCCGTAGCTAGGCGATTGGTTTTCGAGATGGGATATGTTGGCTAAAACGTGGTGATAACCCCATGATCTTATCCGATTTACAGCTACTTGGTGCAGTCAATGTTAAACAACCTGTATAGGTAGTGGTACTATTGGGACTTCTGGGATATATTATTATAGTACAATAGGCGAATCGCGAGATAATAAACTATATCTACCCACCAAATGAATGGCAAAGGCCTTCACAACTTACATACATACCTGTGCGCCTGTACATATATTCTCATTGATCTTTATAGCGGTCGACCTTTGATACATTCATCTCATAGAGATGCTAGGGAGAAATGATCTGGACGATCTCGTTTGCGAAGTTGACGAGGAAGTAAAAATGAAATGCGATTAAGGATAAAAAGTTGGAGTGCTTTTTGGGGGGGGGAAAAAAAAGAAAAATCCAGGGGGGTTTACTTTAGAAAACGAGTGAAATGCAGTGAAATGGGCCAGATTTTCTCCCCAATGATCAAAATTTTTGGAAATATCAGGGGTTTGATCTCGGATCTAATTCACCTGCTTTCTCAAGCGCTAATTCTCAGCCATAGATTTACTACGAGGATCAAAGTGAAACTTATAGGGTATTTCTAGTGATTTCAAAATCCTGCCGTTTTCTGCTTTGTTACGGTTCTGAAAACTTTCGATACCGCACAGCTGCCCACCAATTCACAGAGGCGACGAGATATCTGGTTTTACACTATTCCTGCACAACAGGCCCAGAGCGCTCAATAACAATCCATTTCTTGATAAGCCAGAATCTAGACGTCAAGTTGCTAAGCGAAAACATTCCTCCATAGCGAACCGACACTGGTTGAGACTATTCTTCTTGAGAAAACGGGCATCTTTTATTGCATATTGGGTGACAAGGACCTGTGTTGGAAGTAGCAGCAACGATGATGGCGGCGGAGAAGGAATAGGAAGCCAGCTTGTCGAGCTGTTTTCCATATAGATTCAACATATCATTCTTGATGCTGTCACGCGCGGCGGAAGGTCTCAATTGGGCTTCCAAAAACTGCCCGCACTATCTGGTAAGCCGGGTGCACTTGTGAATGTATAATTAGTATGCAAGCCTGGTGTATATTTCACATACAGTATACACGGTAAGATATGTCCAAGTTACCAAACGGCGCCTTACGCCCAACACTTCAGCCCCTTGGGCATTGGCCAAATGCTTGACCACGTGGCCAGGGGGCGGCTCTCTGTCTCCACGGCTTCCATCGTCCAACAGGGTAAAGCCCCAGGCAGCATATTGAGGAGGGGGAGGCGGCGAAGGATCATGGCAGAGGCGGTAGCTGCAGGGTCAGGGGCACCGGCAATGGCAGCAGCGGCGGCTGCCGGATCGGCGGTGGCGGCAGAGGAGGAGGAGGAGGTCGGGTCCGTGGGGCCTGCAAGGCACTCTTCGCCAATGGCGACAGTGACAGTGACAGTGACAGTGGAGGTGATGGTGATGGTGGTTGCGGAGAGAAGACGGTCTTTTGCCATCTCAATCTCCTGTCCATTTCGGACAAGCCAGAACAACATCATCGCAATTGCGGTGATCATCTATTATTAACGGAATGGGAGCACTACTTCATCAATGTCAGCTTTGTTCATTATGTACTACATGCATTTGGTCTCGGTAGCGACTGATCCAATTGGCGAATTCATTGACCAAGAGACCAATCAGTTGAGACTTACCTCGGACAGCTTTTGGCAGATAGGCATCTGAAAACGGCGGCAGCAAGGAAGTAAAATCACGAGATGTCTGCGGTATTGACGGTGATGGTGAGGATGACTATGATGAACAAAGAGAAATAAACGCTCTGCAGTTTACTCATGATGCTTGGGCGTATCTTGACGAGCAAAATGTTGGGAATGAGCGCCGGCTTATCACGTCGGCGGGTATGGATTAGGCTACAGATACTGAAGCTCTAGATTGTGACGATGTTGTCTTACACATCAAGCGTATTTGCGCGTTCTAGTCTCGATCACGGTTTGAAGTTGAAGAAGACATCAGACGAACGGCTACTGCTGCTACAGTCCACTGAAACTGGCTACATGTACCTTCGCCCCTAAATTATCCCCTAAAGCCCTGTGCCACGCGCAGCCACAGCCGCAGCCGCTCAATTTCTACCACTCTCCAAACTTTCTGACCATCCATCATCATCGATTTCAAGATCTGTGCCTCTCTCATCACAATTGATTACATACACCAGGCCGGCTACTCAATACCTATCATTCAGTCGCTCTCCAGTAGATACAAGATGTCGCCCCCCACTCTCCCACTGCGACTTGGTGCTCAAGCATCAACCAGCTGCAGTCCCCCCACAGCAGGGGATGTGCGAAAGTTCATATAATGCCATTGGATGAGTTTGGCAACTCTATTAACCATGGATAGCTTGTTGTACAGCCTAGCCAACTTCGTGCTGCACCCGTCGTAGCTCCAGTTCCAGTTCCATCTCTTCCTGCGCTGCCCCCTCCAACGCGACGTAAGAGCGTCCGTGTAAGTCGAGACAGTATCTCAGATCTGATGAATCTGCGGGAACTAATCAGGGTTTATTAGCCAAGCACACAGCGGCGAAAGAGAGAAGAAGAAACCCAGCCATGAGGCATTGAGCGAAGCAAAGGGAAGAGCGGTGCAGTATCGAGCTGGTAAATGAATACAATATCAACCTACATGTAACGAGTAACACTGGCCGCCGGTAATGAAGTTCCCTCATCCTCTACTTCTGCTTCTATATCCATTCATCTACCTATCCTCACCACAGCCTCAGTTAGTAGGCAGGAAATATGCACTGTACTAAACATCGTAGAGAGTGCAAATTTGAGCGCGCCTTATGAGCTAATATTGTCTTTCACTTATAGAAAGTAGCATATCTGCTACATCCTCCTCATTTCATGGAAGATAAATGGCATACCTTGCTTTAAATAAGTATGGGTGCTTGATGACAATGATCCTGCGATGCGGCCTCTGACGATGAAAATCTGGTTTGACTCATCATCGAGTCGCTGACAAGAAGTTGCCTATTTGGGTTGTAACTAACAGCCACGAATTGCGTAGGTGGGGCTTCGGAATTCTGTGTTTATGCACAACCAATTCCGTAACGTGAAATCAGAGGTAAGTTGTAGTTATGCTATCTTCTCTGGTACACCCAGGAGCTGTTTAGGTGATGGTCATTTTTGTAAACGGGTTTTAGCGAGAACCCTGTCAGCAGAGTTGCCATTTTGGGAGTATGTGGCTGACTTTCCTGCTAGTAAATAGTTGGACCAATACATTGTGGCGCACGGCTTTCCTATTATTCTCTAAAGACGTACTGCTTTTCATCAAGTTGAAGTAAGGATGAGATAGTCTTACTGTTTCTATATTATGACAACAGAGGCTTTCTTTCAAGTATATATAGGCTAGCATGTCGCTGCTCATGTCGCAAAAGCATACCTGTAGATCAGTTCTATACAAATCACAAACATCTGCTTCTCACATCCGATCTAGAGACGACAATACTCAAGTTTATAAATCCTTATTCACTCTGGACCATGACCACCATAGCAACGAGCCGTTACGCAGAGGCACACGCCAACCAGAAAGGACCCGGCGATGCCAGACCTACTGCTCTGCAAATCATCAAAGATGAGCAAAGAGAGGGGAACATGACGGACAGGGTTGTGCTCATTACCGGTTGTTCTTCAGGACTTGGAGTCGAGACAGCGAGAGCCATGAAAGCTACCGGCGCAACGGTTTTTGTCACTGCTCGCAATATGGACAAGGCAAAAGAAGCGCTTGGGGATATTCTCGATGGCGACCGTGTCCATCTCCTGAAGCTCAATCTCGAGTCCTTTGATAGCGTTCGATCTTGTGTCGAAGAGTTCAAGTCAAAGAGCAGCACTCTCAATATCATCATTGAGAACGCTGGTATTCGACACGTGCCACTGGGTAGGACTTCAGATGGCTATGAAAGGCACTGGGGCACGAATCATCTATCGCATTTTCTCCTGCTTGAGCTTCTGAGGCCGACTCTATTGGCATCATCAACTTCAGAATTTTGCTCTAGAGCCGTGATTGTCTCTTCTACTGCGCATAGGAATGCGCCCATGGACTTTGGAGACTTGAACTGGGAAAAGCGCAAATACGATCATGCCATTGCATACGGCCAGAGCAAGCTAGCCAATGTTTATACCGCTAGTGAGAGTGAAAGACGATACGGCGCCCAAGGCCTTCACGCATGGAGCGTGCACCCAGGCGGCATTCGAACAGGACTACAATCAACAGGTCAATTCGACATCAAAGATTGGATAGTAGTGATTAAATCTGGCCCTATTGCAACCTTGAACACGATGATGAATGCTGAACAAGGCGCCTCAACGTCGGTATGGGCCGCTGTTAGCAGAGATTTGGAAGGCCAAGGAGGAAAGTACTGTGAGAGGAATCGGTTCAGCGAGCCTCTAAAGAAAGGCTGGAAAATGATTGACCCAGGCCATGCCGAATGGGCGTACGATGAGACCGCAGCGGCAAGGTTGTACGATCTATCTTTGAAGGAGATAGGAGCATAAATATGTTACTCAGGTCGTTAACCCCGTCGAGAGATATTGCTGCCGTCTTATCTGCTTTAGGAAGAAAGCGCGGTTTAGATTGAGAGGGGGTAATTTCTGGATGCAAAACAATGAGAGGGGCTATAGAACAGCTAATTAGTGTGCGTTCAAGATTGTAACGATGAGTCTAAATAGTGTATAACAGATAGAATGTTTAGTTATCAGTCTCAAATGAGACTTATATACTCAATGATGCAGGCAGATGATGTTTAACTGGCGATGTTTAGTCTTGCTATTTGGCTATGGATGCATTGTTTTCTTTCATTTCACTAAGATCTGATATGGTATTATATAGAAATGGAAAGAGGCGACTTGCCAAACCTGCATACCACAAAGAAGGTCGTTTGGCTATACGAAAAAGGAAGCCGTTATAGCTGTCATTGGGAGGTAACTAGCTATGTCATTCATCAATTCCTCCTAGTTTGAAGCTTCTAACTTCCGCGAGCAATCTTCTGGAGCTGAGATAGGTCTCCATTAAATACATCAGAGTCGCCACCCCAAGGAGCCGAGTCGCTGTTTTGCCAGATAGTATAATAGCTCCAGCCATTAGGTAGAGTGCCAACGGAGCTGGCGTATCTTGCGACAACAAGAGGCGACTTGCTACCAAACGAGCCACTGTTTCCCGTACACAACTGCCACCAGCTCGTGGAAGTGTAGATGAGAGGATATTGAGTTGTAGCGGCATGGTAAGTGGTGATAAAATCGTTGATCCAGCTAACCATGGCACTAGTGCTCAACCCGTAGCAGCTGTTGCCACTGGGAGCATACTCGAGATCAAGCATACCGGGCAGGGTAATGCCGTCAGATGACCAACCTCCTCCGTTTTTAAGGAAATAGTTGGCCTGGGCCGCACCAGAAGAAGAAGCCGGTTGTGCGAAGTGGTATCCGCCTCGAATGAAGCCCGCATTTGTAGCTTGAGTATAGTGATCGCTAAAGCTGGGATCAATGTATGTAGTGCCTTCGGTAGCCTAAAGTACGGAAATTAGCACGTTGGAATGTCGTGAAAAATAAAGATGCGATTGAACCTTTATGATGACGAAACGGGCACCATCAGAGTAAGCTTTCGCAAAGTTAACAGTAGCCTGATAGTGGGATATATCGAAGCCTTGAACGGATGCACTTGTGGTAGAAGCAAAGATGCCGATTGCGGCAGCAAAGCAAGCAACTGTCTTCATTTTGAAGCGACAATAGACTCGATTATTAGATATGGCAAATGCAATGAGATTGAATGACTGTTTGCCAAATGCTGTACGCCTTTAGAAGCGACGATGGAATGTTATATACCCGCGACTGGCTTCACTGAAGGAGCGGATGTAACCCTCCCAACTCCTTGTTTCGATACCGATATGCTTAAAAGAGCAAAAGTTCTTTCTTATTTCTTGTTTTATCTGAGACAAATAACATCAGATCTTGCGGTAGCATCCTTCCCATCACATCATTGATTGGACGCATCAGGTTTTACATCTGCTCATTGTGCTGCAGCTCTTGATCTCAAACCCCACCATCTTGGGCGGTACAACCACTCAAGATCGACTCAGGGCTGAGAGCTGAACACAATCCCTGGTTATGAATGGGGCCTTTTGCCGGCAGTTTGGTCGAATTTGGTAGGTGGTAAATTGAGGAAGCCCGGCTGAAAGAATTGTTTCGCTACAGCCCAGTTACTTGACGTAACGAGCGTAACACATATACTCCTTGCCAAAAGGAGAGAAGTTGGAAGCTTTTTGGGCGAAGAAGACCGGTTTCACGGGATTTTCTTCTCTTTGAGTGTCAGAAGCAGCACAAGAACAATAGAGAAAGCAGCGTCTTCTCATACTATCTACCCCGCCCATTTGCCAACCGGATCCCTTCCCGCAGTCCTAGCCGATTACATCCATCCTCTCCTCATTTTCTCGCACTTGCATACTGCGCACTGCTTCCTGCTCATGGCTTAGTGTCTCCGCTAAACTGCAGATCTATAACATGGGCTAACCACGTGAAAGAGCATTGGACGTGACATTCTTCATATCAACCAGATAGTCGTCCAAAATCACCCCTATTGATCTGCTTTATGAGCTATTGCAACTCACATTGAATTAGTGGGCAGAACTTGGTGCTATGTAAGCTACCTTCTTTGGATACGAATAGGTAGCGTTTGGAGATGCGTTGATAAGACCTAAAGATATGATGCACGAATATTATATCACAAAGATGGAAATCTGCTTAGAAACTGGGAAACATGCGCATATTTAAATGGAAATCTGACTGTCGTTTATCTGAAAATATGTATGACGGACATGGTTAAGATTTGTGAGACACGAAGAAGTGCCAGAGTGGCCAGCAGGTTATCTGAACTGCTCTCACAATCTGCTACACGAAAGCCGAGTACATAGAGAAATTGAATATAGAGTTTGATGTACGAAATACTTGCATTCTGTGAGGTGTTTGCAGCTTCGCGTGTAGCGCATTGCGCCCTAGGGCCCGGCTGAGCCTTACGATGGACAAGCCAACCTTCTATATGGCAGAAGCCTATATCTCCCGATAGAAGAGGCCTCAAACAGCTTTGAGAGAAAGAGGGCAACTGTGCAGGCTTTCGCGGAGGCGGTAACGAGGGAGGTCGACAACGAGAAGATCGCCGGCAAGTGCAACAGAGTCACACACACCATGAGTGACAGTCCAGATGACTGCGGGGTCCTGAGATCTAAAGAAAAAGAGAAAGAGGCGAGGTCTGTGGCAGCGGATGGTAAGAGTGATGTTCATGGCGAGGTGGATGCGGGCAGGAAGATGGCTCTCCTCCATCTGTATTCGTTGTCTATTTTACAGAGCAATAGTCATCATCACAATGGCGATAATCGTCTATTGTTCTTGAAATGGCAGAGTAGGTCAATGCCAGCTTTGTTCAGTACATATATAGGTACGTTATAGGCCTGGATAGGGGCTCGATCAACGGTCAGAGGTAGGATTAACATCAGACGTCAGACGTGGCTACCGATCCTCCATCATTAGGCATAATTATCAATAATGTATCCCAGATGGGCCAAATACTTTTGTATTGCTCAAGTGTAAGAGACTTGTACGGAGACGGTAACGTCTTAGCGCATCTTGACATTGAAGACAACGTAAAGAAGGTACTATCAAGCAAAGGTCGGCTCTTCACTTTAGAAGCTCAGGCATGGAGCAGTGAGCATTAAAAGAGAGAACAAAAAATGCGTATCGCGCCAGTAAATAAATGCAGTATCAATTTAGTGAGTAACATTGGCCACCATGGTTTTTTCACTACTATACTACGTCTCACTTCTACGATTGCGGCTGCCTCATATATATACTCATATATGGTACAGCACTGGACTGCAAGCTACTCTGGAACGACGCCATCACCGAAGTGTAAGCAGTCCAATATTCTCGCTTCCGACTCACTATATCCAACCCTAGATTATCTTATCAGAGTTTGCCATCGTAAACCTATACCTTTTACCGCGAAGGGGCAATGAACAGACTCGAGCAAGTTGTGAGGGTCGCTCTGCCTGTAATTCTCGCACCCTTCCACAATGGAGCCCATGCTCCTAGAATAGCCGTAATACCGGTGCAGAGAATCATAGGACCATATTTAGTCGCATATCCCAACGGCTCCTCTGTGAGTAGATCCTTTATGGACAAAAGCGAGCCAGAAAAAGGCCCGGAAATTAAATAGCCCAGCCCCCTGCCGCCTAGGAGTAGGCCAAATACCAGAGAAGTTTCTGCAGCTCGATCATCTCTTTTAATCTCTTCAGTCATACTGGACCAAGTGGAACTGAACCCCCCAGCGAAAAAGCCGTACAGGATAACGAAAGCAACCATGGTACTGAGACGACGGCCGAGTCCCCAGAGAAGAAAAACCGGAAGAGCACTCCCGAAAGATGAGAGAAGAACAAGTTTGGTCGCAGATAGTCTATCGCCAAGCATGCCGTGGACCAATGACCCAGGCACCGAAGCCGTGGAGAAGACGGCAAGTAAAATAGGGCCCGTAACAGAAGATAGACCGATAGCAGACGCATAAGAAGCCACATATGTGCTTGGCATGAGATATCCAAGTGATTGAACGACTACACCAAACTGCATCATCCAAAATGAAGCATGGCGAAGAAAGGCAAACGAGAGTGGCCGGGCGCGAGACACAGTAGACAGCGGAATGCGCGGCTTGAGAAAGAAGAGAGTTGGCAACGTCAACAGCGCGGAAGCTATAGCCCAAGAAAGGATTGTTGCACGGAGGCCAAACTTTCGCAGTAACATGCTGAAGAGGAAAGGCATGGCGACACCCACCGATGACTTGCCAGACCACATAATGCCGTAGGCCAGACTCTTTCGTTGGACAAACCATTCATCCATATAAAGAGAAATGGGGCTGAAGAGAAGCCCGCAACCAATTGAGTAAAGAGCACCTTGCGTCGCGATCAAACCTGCAATGCTGCTGACAAAAGCAGAGGCAGACAAACTGATGACGGTAAGAGCGAGCCCCAGAGGACCACACCAGCGTCGCAGATACGGATATTTGCTCAGTATCACGAATGCGACGGGCATCAGCAGATACATGATTCCCATCTGCATGGATCCGACTGTGGCAATGGCTCCGGGAGAAGCGTCTATGCCATGATCAGGATTGCTGTAATACTCTTGAAAGATGCCAAAGGAGACAGAGTACCCTATCAATTTATGTCAATGTTCGACAGAGCTCATGATTTATTGAAAGAAATTGAACAAGTACCCCAAATAGGAGCTTGAGCAGCTGTGCAGCATGCGAGAGCGACATAAGCACCTCGTCCATAGTCTGCTGGAGGCAGCGTTTGCTCAACCTCTGCTGGATTTCTCGAATCGTCTTCATGGCCGAGCTCGTCGTTTGTATGGACACGACTCAGCTCATAGTCGTCGCTGACAACAGAATTGGCCATTGTGTATCATTAAGATCAACAGCGTATTAATAGAAAGTGGAATCACAATTTTTGAATAACCAGGAAAACATTGTTTCTCTAACAAAACAACTTCTTTTGAACTCGGTAGGCCAAGCAGATGATGGCAGGATCTACAGAGCCACGTGCGTCAGCGGTCCGACATCGCAGACCGGCGCCTTTACCCTGAAAGGGCGCTTCAGCATGACAATGAAGCGACGACATGATGTTTACATCAGTTTCAAAGTTGCTTTTTCCTGGGCTCTAATTTGTTATACCAAATGAGGCGAATTTCCAGGGGAAAATGTTTCGTACAACACACGACTAGTTGCCCAAAGCGGAAGTTTCCAACAAACGTAGTGAAGCCATTTCAGTTGAAAGACCTCGGAGTCCAATATCCGGCAATTTTCCGGTTTACACCTTGATCTTTCATGGGAAGATATGAATAATGCGCCCTTGTCGGATCAGACGTTGCATCTGCTTTGTAACAGAGCCGTCGTGGATGGATGTGCCAAAACAACACTCAAGACACTAACATTGGGCGCTTCATGCATGAGTACCTAATGCCTTTTCAGTTTCGGGATGTTATCCTACATTTGTCACATGTGTCTTGCTGCAAAGCCAGAGAGCCACATGAAAAGGAAGGCTATGATGCACATAGGTGCGCGGGCATGTACGAAAGAGGTAGCTGTAAGTCAACTGGTGCCTCGTACCAAATACCCGGAACACTCAAAACACTAGCAGTAGAAGCAAAGGCAAGCCAACGACGATGACTATCAGACGGCCCCCATTCCATTAGTGATGTCAGGAAACCTTTTGCTCGGGACGCTGCGGCTGTCGCCCATTCTTACTCCGTACTCCGCTGTCTGCAGGGTTCTAGATCCAGCGGTGACTGGGCCAAGTGGCAGGGCTAAATTAGATCTGCCTGCATGAGCTCTCGCTTGCTGGGGCTGCGTAAGTTTTTCCCAAAATGTAGCGCGTGCGATCTGACTACCAGATGCCGCTAAATGTGCCGCAGCGTACATATTGCTACATGCAGTTGTAAAGACGCTGCCCACGCACCGTAGCATCGTCTCCGCCGTTGAACGTCTGTGCATGCGGGAATGCCGTCTCCTTATTCCGTATCGATATGAAGAGCGACACATGACGGCCGACAGGCTTTTAAACCCCGTGGTGGCATCTTTGAATTGAGTGAATATTACGCCATAAAGGCAGTAGAGCAAGTTGGGGAGACGATGGACGTCTGGGAACAGGGGTGTTGAGTTGTTTCAACCTCCTTTTGCCAGACTAACGGCTTTAGCTTGATGGACTTGTGGAATTGGCAGCAAGCGGCTCTTCTCATGCAAATAAACGAAAGATTCTTATCAAGCTTATGATAGATGCATGTGCCGAGCTGGCGGATTCTCGGTGGAGGTGCTCGGGTACTCCGTACGGATATCTGGCTATACGCACGGAGAAACGACCCCAAATCTAAGACAGCGCAATTAGCCAGTATGATTTTAAGCAGTCGATAGTTGCCGTTAGTGGCCTACCAGCCACTATAAGCGCGCTGTGTGTTGGTTGGTTTTCCAAGGATAGTCGGCATTTTGGGAAAATCAAATAGCCGAGCTGTCAATTCGTCACCACAAAAAGTCAAGGTCGTGAACTATTGGGAGTGGGATGTCGCAGTGTGACGAAGTAGCACACGTCTTATATACTGAAGCTGTCATTTATTTGTCGATTTTCACTAATATCTGAAAAGAAAGAGACTGCTCGCATTCCTTGACCGAATATCATCATGACGAGAGGACTAGAACGCAGAGCGAAGCCGGTGGCGCGGCTGCTCTTACAAACAGCTCGCCATGCATCAACGATATCAGCTCCCCAGATCAAAACAGCTACAGAAGCAGCGTCTTACATGATGGATCAGTTTGCAAACAAAATCACAAAACGTCGCCAGTTGATCGACTCGAATCAGCTGCAACAACTGGCGGTGATGCTCGGCCGACCAGTCCTCAACGGCCACGACATAAGCAGGATGAACATTCCTGCAGGCACACCGATTCCTTCAGCACACCACCTTGTCTATTTTACACCAATGGAGCTTGAGAGCCAGCTTGGTGCTGACGGAAGTGACCGCACATTCAATGCACCCGCCCCGTTTACAAGGAGGATGTGGGCGGGCGGGCATATGAAGTTTGATAAAAGCAATCCCTTGAGGGTTGGAGAGGAAGCGGAAGAGAGCACAAGGCTGATCAGTGCAGTGGCCAAGACGAGCAGATCCGCGGGCGAGATGGTACTCGTTGAAGTAGAAAAGAAGATTCATGGATCCAGGGGGCTGGCACTTGTCGACACACGGTCGTGGGTATTTAGGCCAACGTTGTCTTCTAATCCTCAGGGGGGCGTAGCGCTTAGAAGAATCGACGGCAATATCCTAGCTCCATCATCTCTCTCGGATGTCATAAATGACAGCAGTGGTGAGTATTACATGTCTTTCCCCAAGGCTGTGCTTATACGGTGCTTACCGACTGTGACTAATTGTTTTGCCACACAGCGTTTCCTATACGCAAGCTGTCTTGGTCTCCGGTTGGCCTTTTTCGGTTTTCAGCTCTGACATTCAACGGCCATAAGATTCATTACAATGAAGATTGGACTCGTACTGCAGAAGGACATCCTGGTGTTGTTGTCCATGGACCCCTGAATGTTGTCAATTTGCTGGATTATTGGAGAGACATACACGGAGAGGGCGCAGGGCCTGATGAGATCAGCTACAGGGCTATGTCACCTGTTTACGGAGGAGAAGAATACCAACTTCGGACGGTCGGTATAAATGAGACGAATTCTAGTCGTGGGTACGATATGGTAGCGGAGAAGGATGGACATGTTATCATGAAAGCTTCCATTACCAAAAGTATATAAACTGGGCGAGAATTCTGGACCTTTGAATAATAACCATCTTTACAAGAAGCATTAAAATGAAGTACTTGACTTATGTACATATGTAGTTCGACGGAACCATCCAACCCCCCTTTTTTCAGTTCAATTATGCCTCCCTGGATCAAGTTTCCTGCTGCAACACTTGGTCCCGCTGTACTCCATATAGAATATCAAATCACAACCAGTATAATTTCAAGCCCCAAGGCTTAGTTAATGACACCGCTGCATGTCAAGGAAATGCTAACCGTGAATTTTGTATGTAACTAGCTACAACGCGGGTACGGACACTGTGTCCGGCTAAGTAGCTTCTAGGCTAGATGATGTAGCTAATGCCGGCTACTCGCGCCAGGACCCTTCTTAGGAGCCCTTTATTACAAGCTATCGATCATGTGAAGTGATAGTTGAGCTCTTGAATCTCAAGCGCATAACATATTCTCATCATTTCTGACGGATAATCGACTATTGCGAGACGAAACCCTGTACCCCGACTATCTTTCTACATACAGAGCAGCTCCAATGACACTCTTCCTTGCCAAGGTAGCCCGTGCGGGGGTGCTGACTCGATCAACGCAAAAGGTCTGGTATCACAGCTACTGCTGCATGCGTTGTTGCAGGATTCATCAGATAGACGGATTAATGCTTGGCGTGGCATATACTAACAGTTCTTAGTTTTCGCCTAGACTACAACTGAGATGCCTCACTTTGCATAGTTATCAAACGCAAGACTTGCTCAGAGCAGTGCGTCGACTTTGTCTGGGTCTACTTGAGAACGCTAACATGAAATGCTTAGTCCGGGATTCCGGTCCCTCGTGGAGTATTGGCACGTACGCCTCTTGAAGTTCGAGATGCTGTAAAGAGTCTAGACAGAAGCTGTATTCTGCAAGCTCAAGTTCTATGGGGACACAAAAACAGCCTCTCGTTCGAGACCGGGCTAAGAGGGGGGAGTCAGAAAGTTCAGGATCCCGAGCAAGCAATGGATATGGCCGATAGAATGCTCAACTGTCGGGTGGTCTCCGATGGCGTCAGTCACCAGTCTATTGCCGTTAACCAGATACTCGTATCTGAAATTATGGCCCATCAGGAGCTGTGGCATTTAACCATGACCATTGATCGAGAAAACTACTGTCCTGCAATCATCATTTCCAAGCAAGACGGCAGTACTAACACCGAGAGCAGTATGATTCAAAAGAATCATCCAAAGAGTTCCACTTTTGTGCTTGGTTTCTCTCAAGGTATAACCAGAGACTTAGTTATTCAAATATCCGAGTTCCTGGGCGTTGCAGCTGACCAAGTGACCAACCTGGATGACATGTTGACAAAGATGTATGGCATCTTTCGGGAAAAAGATGCGACGCTATTGGAGATGGCCCCTCTTGCAAGATTAGAAAATGGCTTGTTTGCATCCCTTGATGCCAGGCTTGTCATTGACGATGATGCGGCAAAGCGACAGCCTGATATTTTCCGCCTGCGCGATATGAGTCAGGAGGTGGAAGACGAAGTCGAGGCCGAAAAGCACAACCTGGTATATATTAAATTGAACGGCAACATCGGAAACATTGTCAACGGAGCAGGACTGGCAATGGCCACAAACGATGCCATTGGCCTTCATGGGGGCACCAGTGCTAATTTCTTAGATGCTGGGGGCCAAGCAACTAAGGAGACAATGATCCAAGCCTTTGGGATCCTTATGGCAGACGAGCGGGTAAAAGCCATACTGATCAACATATACGGAGGTGAGAAGAGGCCGCGGCAGAGGACCCTGAAAGTCCATGCTACCAGGGCCGAGCTGACACTGTGAAGGCATCACTAGGTGTGACATGATTGCCGAATCCATCATTGGAGCCGCGCAGCAGATGACCCTGTCCGTTCCACTTGTCGTCCGGCTCCAGGGAACTAACTCAGCGGAAGGATTGAAGCTGGTGAGTGCCCTCGTACCAGCAGATTGGTCCAGGCTGAACGGCCCCCCCCTTGTTTCACACCGCACCTTTGTGACAGATGACCACTGCTAACTCTCGCATAATGACAGCTCGCGGATGCTCAACTGGGCCTCCATGTCGAGTCCGATTTTGGGCGCGCCGCTCAGCGAGCCGTCGAGCTGGCTCGTTTATAACGATACTACAGGTACGCTGATGGGATGGCGCTCACCGAGGGATAATCTGGCCTAGCAGTACATAGTCTACAAGCTGTACCTGGTTATGGAATATAGCCGGCGAAATAGCGCGATTTACCAGGTACATGCCGCACTGAGCCCTTTGTGCTTCGTATCGTACTGTAGCGGCGCTGAAACTCCCCACCGTCCGGATCGGCCGATGCTGCGATGGTATTCCCGAAAGTAGGGTTCACTATACCGACTCGTGCTCGTGGCGGTTGTTCTTCGGACGCCGTCGACATCCAGCTTCTAGATCCATTTCCACTTTCCACCATGGCATCCCAACCAGTATGTAACGTGTAGGCGTGAGAGGGGTGAAAAAAGGGTGCTGCTGACTGGCTCCAATGCCCCGCCGCTGAGGCCCTCGGGCAAAGGACCATGGACTGACTGGCTCTGAACACGTTTGTCGTCGCTGGCAAAAGATAGTTTTGCTTTGGTATATTAGTCCGGGAGCTTCTCTCTCGTCAGAGGGCCATTCTTCCCCCTCCTTTACAACTCTGCCGCGTCCGATTCAGCCACCTTCATCATCACTTCACGATGGCCAGCAAAGTAAAGGATCCGGCTGCCATTGAGCACGCCAAGACGCTCACCAACATCCCGTGGTGTGAGGATTACGAAAAAATGATATCAGGAATGCTGTAAATAATTGCTCGATCCTCTCGTCGCCGCCGAGTAGCGCCTTGTCTGATATTCCAGCATCTGACCAACTTCTTCTTTTTTTTCAGGTACAATTCTCAAGCCCCGGAGCTGGTCGAGGGCAGATTTCGGGCTCGGAAGCTTATCCACAAATACAACTCTTATTTCCCCGACGACGCCACCAACGACACTCTGGTTGCCGAAAGGGAGAAGATCCTCAATGAAGCGCTTGGCAAAATCGGATCAAATCCCTTCATTGAGACGCCCTTCAACATAGATTACGGGTGCAACACCTCCATCGGAGACAACTTCTACGCCAACTTCAAGTACGTGAAACCCCCTGGCGAGCACGCGCCCTTTTGCTGGTAAAGGCTGACAAGAGCGCTTTCCAACGACTTCAGCCTTGTGATTCTCGATTGCGGCATGGTCACAATCGGCCACCGCGTCCTATTCGGTCCCTTCGTTTCAATATTCGGCGCCACTCACGAGACTGATGTGCAGTCGCGTCGTAACGGCATCGAGTACGGCGGCAGTGTCACTATTGGAGACGACTGCTGGATAGGTGGCAATACCACCATCATGCCGGGCGTGACGATTGGAAAGGGGTGCACAATAGGCGCTGGAAGCATTGTCACAAAGTCCATTCCAGACTTTTCGGTTGCGGTTGGATCACCGGCAAAGGTGATCAAGAAGGTCAACCCTGTTCCAGATCTATGATGGCGCATTGGTTTTTAGGAGGGCAAAAGTTGCATGTATAGAGACGACATTAATGAGACAACGAATATTTCATCAAACTTATCTCGATCGACCTCCTGGATCTATCGAAGCTCCCGCTCTACCAGACGCATACTTCTGCAGGGCTTGATATGTGCATGCACCCGGCGACAAGAATTCCAAACGGCAGAATAGTGCAAGACACCGACATGCATCGAACGATACCGAACGACTCTCCATTTCGGCAGCATTCAAGATAATGCTCTGGGGTCTAGCCACCAGCGGGCTCCTTGTTGGGATAATCATAACGCAAAATGGCTTGGGCAGAAAGCGCTCAGCTGCGTCAGTTCAAGAGGCGCTGGCACCACGAAGGAGTGATCAACTGTGAATCTTGTATCGGCCAAACGATAATAGGCTCAGAGGTGATGAAACGCATTCCCTTATGCCTATACAACTTGGCGTATCAAGGAATTAGACCTATGCATAGCTACCTTGGTCTACAAGCTATTCCTACTCGCGAGACTATCGCCATGTTTAATATTCACGAGTGATCATGATGTGTTAATGCAAACAAACCATGAGTTAGACGGGTTGTGAGTACTGCTAGGGAACACGCTGCGAACACAGTCTTGAAATATATCCGTATCCCCCTTTTCCAGGCACAAAGGTGGATCTATCCAACAAAGAAAGTTGGTGCCAAGTAGCTTCATTACATGTATTCAGGTCGTTGTCAAAATATCAAGAGCTCAAATTTGCTTGATGATCTCTTCGCTCCTTTAATCGCCATGACAAAAAACATGTTCAGGGGGGCTGTCAACGTGACTATACTATTCATTGCGTGATGATCAAATGATCAACAAATTCTCATATTCCAAGTAGTGTTTTAATCCTATGCAGCTGTTTTAATTGTCCACTTCAAGCTAAGGATTGCAGCATAGGTATCGTACATAGCGTGCACATTTTGTAAAAGGGAAAAGTTATCCAGCCATATATCTATTTCATTGTTGCACACACTTAGAAGTAGCAGCAGTAACCAATACATATGCTAATTTAGAATACTAGATGATAAGGTTGAAGTGCTGGGTAATCCCCTGTAAAACCCTAGTCAAAATCTTGCAAGTCTACTCAGTGCTAAGCTATGAAGACTCCTGTAAGTCTATGGCCTACGCTCCATTCTGTACGCCGTTGCTCTTTTTGGTTCCTGGCGCTTCATAAATTCCCAATTCGCTCGCTTTAATCTGCAACGCCAATAGCTGTGAGAATCCTCGGCATAAAGCAAGGTTGCCACCCATGAACCAAAAGTTGGGATGTCCACTGTATCGCCAAACCTATAAAAACAAGTCAGATCAAACGCGTCTTTATCGCATACTGTTGAGGCCTTACGGAATCCATTTCGCCTTCTTCAGTCATACCCCAGCCATTTCCTAGCCGTGAAGCAACTTTATCTCCGAAAAGCGTCTTTGCCGTACTGCGCATTGTTTGATAGCCGGTTGCTAGAACTACAATGTCGGCTTTTAGCTCAGATCCGTCTGCAAGGAGAAGTCCATCTGGAGTGAATGACTTGATTCCCCCCGGATTCGACTTCACTTTGACCTTTCCGTCTATAATCAACTGGCTGCATCCGACATCGATGTAATAGCCACCTCCAAGAGTAAGGTATTTGCGGAAGAGGCCGCCGCCACCTTCTCCGTAATCAAGCTGGAACCCGGCCTTGGCTAGTCCCTCCTGAGTATCCTTTTCCACATTTTTTATGGCTTGTGTGAGGAGAGTGCAAAATGCAAGATTGACGGGAAGTGGCATGCTTTGACCCATAACATCGCATTCTTCAGTTGGTGGCCCGCCTTCTTCATACGTCCCTGTGAATATCATGAAGAGGCCCTTTTTCGCAGACAAAACATATGTGCCGCCACGTTGAAGCATAGTGACCGATCCGGCACCGGTATTATAGAAGTTCTGGCAAATATCGTGAGACGAATTCCCAGCGCCGACGACCACTACACGCTTATTTGAGAGATCGGAATGCGCTGAAGCATCTTTGTGCTTGCTGGCATGGTACACAGTCCCTTTGAAGTTCTCAATGCCGTCGAAGTGCGGAATAGAAGCTTCGCCTGAAGTTCCTGTCGCAAGGATAACATGCTTTGGTTTCAGGTCACGGATTGAACCATCCGCCCGCTTAACAGCAACTGACCAAGATTGCGTTGCCTCATCAAACGATGAACTTTGTAGCTCAGTGCTGCACCAAACGTTTAGCTCCATCAAGCTGGCATAGGCCTCCAGCCAATCAGCGAGTTTATCCTTGGGCGTGAACATGGGCCAATGTGAAGGGAAAGGAATGTATGGCATATGGCAGTAATGAACGGGATCATGTGTGGAGAGTGTCTAGTGACTCATTAGCAGATATTTCGAGGATGATGTGAAAACTGTTTCCAACATACTTTGTAACGATTGCGCCAGGTATCACCAACGCGGCCCAGTCTCTCAATGATCAACGACGGAATGCCTAGCTGCTGGAGTCTGGCACCAATAATAAGACCAGATTGACCAGCGCCAACGATGAGAACAGTCGGCTCTTCATCCAGAAACTCCTTCTGCCTCTCTCGTCGCTGCTGCCAGTTGTATTCCGATGCATCATAACTTCCAGGGCGTCTTATTCCAACCTTTTCTTCATGCCCTTTTAGTTCTTTGAGTCTAAAATGCATCAAGTAGCATTTCCACTCATTGCCATCCTCACCATCCACAACTAATCGGATCGTGCCCTTTCCACGGCCATGGCGTGATTCGAAATCGAACATGCTCTGAATCCATTGTATTCCCGGGCACGGGGCTTGCAAAGTAGGCTGGAAAGCGCCATTCTCTTGAAGATGGATGCCGCTGATGTCGGCATTGTGGTTTTCTTGGAAGTAGCTGACGATGTTATCTCGATTCTGGATACAGCGAAAGTCCCAGCTAAAGGAGAGCAAATCGCGCATCCAGGCATCTTTGACGAATAATCTTTCGAGCTGACCTTTACTATTACTTTGAAGAGCACTCTCGAAGTCTTTCACCCATTGCTCTGCAATAGCCCTAGCCTGCGATGCCGAAACGTCTCCTGGCTGCTTGAAAGTAGGTAATGCGACAACGTGAGCCATCTTGCCGGCACAATAAATTTTGGAGAAACTGTTGAAGCAAAATAGTTATTTGAGGGTATGTAGCAATCTCAATTGATGGAGATTAGTATAGTCTGCGGCTGTGGACTTATATATAAAAACCGCTTCCGGAGTAAGACAACTAGGCTCGCGGATCCTCAGCCAGACTCCATTCAGTGATTAGAATACAGAGGAGGACTTGTGGATGGGGTGAGACACCTTAATATGATGCTGAAAATTATGGGCAGCTCGTTTCATTATGTGGCTGAAGAAATCAGGTTAGCTTGCTCAGCCGGACACAATGATTATAAACGTCCCGCAGAGGCCCCCGAAAACGCTTTCCGATACTAGACACGAGCGTTACACTATGATGTTGTATGACGTCCACGTGTCCAAACAATTAATATCCTTGCGTCCGATACCGTTGTATTCCATGTACGCAGTCCTCAAATAGTATATAGGCTATTGGCTACGAGATCGTCGTTGCCGGGAGGCCAACGGATGATACCGTAGCGATGGCTTCGCGGGGTAGAGGATCTAAACGCGCCTCGAAGCAACTAATCATGCAGGTTTCACCCCGTCCAATTGCCGTCCATGCAACACATGTCTAGCAGTAATTCGCTCTCAAAGCCGTGGGTATAACCATAGGTCTAAGCCATGGCTAAATGCTGTTCAGCTCGCCTGTGCTTGGATTCACTTTATTAACCGTGAGCAAACGTGAATCGTTCATTCAAGGTGCCCCTTAGCAGGACTATGGACATATGATCCTCCATGCAGTACATCTTCGGAGCATTTACACGCTCTGATAGTCTACAGTGTTAAGCTATGGGTTGTCCGGGGTTCCCTGCCGAGGTTTACTGTAGGTAATGCACCAGTGCATCCTTAGTGTTTCCAAAGAGCAGCTTCTGCGCCTCAAGTCATCTCCACCTCGATTGAACCACTGCCCATCGCCCCGCACCCGAGATCGGCTTACTTGCATGGCCCTGAAACGAGCACTTAGTCTGTTGGACAGCAGCAAAGACCTGCTATATTATTTTGTTGATAAGCTGATAATGTTGCATATTGCCTTCGGTTATCAGTCATGGCAAACATCCATTGTGTGTAATATGGTGATTAATTTGTCTCACTGTTGTACTGGTATGGGATTCAAGTATACAGAAGCGCTAGGCTATGACACAGGCAATTTAAAGACTTGTCATTATAGGAAAGTTTCTGCGACGTTAAGCGATTCCAAGTTTGTGCATGGTCAGAACCAATTTCCATCATGATAAGGAGTTTCTGCGGCATTACACCTGTCATTATGGTTGATTCTAGAGGACCAACCTGAAGCGTGATGGAAGCAGCAGCAGCGCTGATTCCGGTAGTATGGCCTCCATGTCTCAGAATTTGGACATGCAATGTTCGAAAAGTGGACGGAGTTCTAAATGCGCGCAACAGATTATCTTCCATCTTCTTCTACTATGACATGCCTAGTTGGCCTTTTATCGCATATATGCACTATGCAGACATATACAAATGCCGTCACGATTTGTCGCTCCAGTGTCATTTCTCTACATTTTTACGACAGTCTCCACACAACAGCAGATGGAACATTTAAGAATGAGCAAAAGCCTGGCTGCGCCATAATATAGCACATTGTGTCTCCTACTTTAATTAAACGAAGAGAAGCTATTCATTCCTACGTACTTTGAGCTTTCAAGCTCCTCCTTATCTATCCACAACGGTTAAACTACAAAAGGTGGGCTCTTAACGACGAGACAGTACAGACCTGCGACCCCTGAATACAGCGTCTATTTTCTCTTCCTCTTCATCTTCTCTTTCTCCAACTGCACTTCGGTCGTCCTCTTCTGTGATGATTTTGAGGTTTGAGACTCTGGAGGTTATGTCGCTCATTGACGGTGTTCCGGTTCCAGTTCTGAGAGACGCAAAAGGAGGCGGCATATCCGAGAATGAATTCGAATCATACTTCCTACCTTGCAATGTCTGAGACATGAGCGATCGTAATGCATCTGCCCTGGTTCTCACAATGACCGCTTGTAGGTGTCTTTCCGTCTCAGCCATTGTGCTTTCGTCAAAGACGTCTGTGACCCGCCAATGAGGGTAGAGATTGTTGGACGATTCGCGAACCTGGACTCTACTTGGGTGTGCCATGAAATAGTAGTTGCAAAGGCGACATACTGGCTTGCAGGTACCAATATATTGCCAGCTGCTGTAGAAATGGGCATCCTCAGTGTCCCGCAGATAACGTAGCACATAGTCAAGTACAAGAATTTCTGCATGTACCGTGTGCGTGTGAGAAGAGCTATTGCACTCTGCCAATATCTTTTCGTCGAGATGGAGCTCCTGTAGTCTGGCCGCCCGGCTGCGGTATGTTTCCAGCAATTCTTCGGCAGACGTCATCCTTCCAATGATTTCGCTCGCATTCGGCCTCTTTTTGTTGAGAGGATGAGGAATTGCCGTGGCCGAAGGGATTACTGTTACCTTGATATCATCCCATAATCGGTCCCAAAATCGACGCGCACGAAGCATCGTTTTGACAGCGATGTGGTACGAATGCAAACGTCCGAGAAAGTGACGAAGTTCAAGCCACGGCTTAGAGCTATCCATTTTGCCTTCTCTGGCTTGTTCTGAAATTGAGTCTCCGAGTTTCAGGCGTTGATTATCGTCGATGAATAAAAACACCCTTTCGCATGAAGCAAAGACTAATTATGCCGGTGTCAGTGGTAACCCTGGATTTTCACTGACAAGAAGACAGTTTACATTGTAACTCGTGGAGCTCGTTTAGCTCACCATTCTTTTCGAACGCAAGCAGTTCTTTCAACTCAGAGAGCTGTCTTCTGAATCTCAATGCGTCTGATGCTAAACATTATGCGGCTTCCATAAGAATCAGCTAATCATTATCAACATGCAGGCAGCTTACCTAGAGGGATTTCAACATGTCGTCTATCATAGTCTTCGATACACTCTTCTAAATGATTCACAGCGCCTGTAAGGTAATAATTGATTCGTTGTTTGTTGAACCTTAAAATGTGCCACAAAGCTTCTCTTCCTACTGGCAAGGTGGTGTTTGTGGGCTGCTCGATAGGCTTTGAAAAAATCTTCAGTAGCTGCTTTACATAATCTTCAACGTTCTTCAATTCCGTTAGCTTTCGGTTATTCGCTCCGACGATGTAATGGATGCCTTCAGGTTCTTCCAGCACCGCAATGCTAGTAATAGTGGCACCATTACCACCGCGTATATTATCGCAGACTTGGGCTAGCCTGTTTACGAAGCATTTGAAAGACTGCTCTGCACTGTCGGCATTGTCATTCATAGTGTTGGGTTCATGCTGAGTGGCTGAAAAGACTGGTGGTCGAGTCTCCTTCAAAGCTGCTTCTAAGAGGATAGGCTCATAAAATCGACGAGAGAATTTAGATCGTAATGGGATTGGCTTTTTGCCTCTGGATGTACCATCTTGAGTAGAGATGCCGAGTTAGCAAGACAATCGAACTTCTTCGGGTAAAATGGCTCATACTTTCAGCAGCAGGTGGCATTTTCGCGGGTGTTTAAGAGAGGAACTTTGCAACCTTTGAAGGAAAAGAAGTTGAGAATCGCCGTGTATAATGCAGGCGCGCTGCGTGTCAAATAGGCTGAAGCTGTCTCTTATCGTTATGTCTCTTCCTCACAAACCAGTGTCCACACTCAGAGCCTCCTCTTTTCAATGTCGTGATTTCATGTGTATTGCACCAACAGCTAGCTCAAAGTCCTGTAGGACCATCGCTTAGCCATGCAGCTCCCCTTTGGCCTTGTAATACGAGGCCTTGTGTGCTATAAGGCCAACTGTCGTGAAGGCCGCGTTTTCAGGCCAACAAAAAGGCACACTGCTCAATAGAATGTTGCTTGGCGGACGAGAACCATTGCTTCGTTACTCTATAATAGGCCGTTGGGCGTTTTGGCAGCTACTTGTACGACCTTTTCGAGCGTACCTGGGCGGCCTACGAGCGGGGCCTTTTGTGTCAGGCTGCGATGGAACCCACGGAATCGCATGGGTTGAATCAGATCTGATTGGGTACATGGATTCAGGTGTGATTTATGACTGCGGCTAAGGAGGGCCTACAACTCAAAGTTGCTCACCTTGCATAGCCTCTTCTGCAGGCGCCTAGTCTTTTTCCAGCAGCGTGCAGGATTACATGTGTTGGTCAGTGTTTGGTTGACGCCTCAACCAGGACTTTGTAGATTTTGTAACCTCGAACCAACATTGTATTTCACAAAAACGCGAATTTGGGCAGACATGACGCAGCTTTATCATCCTCGGATAGAATAGAAAGGTACCAAGTTGGTTACTTTCACGCCGTTGGGCGAATTCTCGACCGAAGCTTACATCTACCTATCAACGTATGCCATGTTCCCTGATTTCGGGCAATACGTCTCCACTATCAAATTGAAGAAGGACTCCGCTTTGAACGATATTTGACTACTTATGATTGTCGGCCGCCCACATCGACGTAACTAGGATTCGTAACTCTTTGCCATACAAGCCCAGCAAACAACAGGATACTTTACTCCTACTACCTTGCTCTGTGAGAAACGCTTGCCTCTCAGCAGCCCATATACATGGTACATGCTTTATGGACTCAGTATCCCCATCTAAGCTAACTTATATGTCGATTACCGCGCAGTTCATCTTTTCAATTTCCCTTGGGATACTTGGTTGAAGACTGGTTGGTTTCTAGGGCCACACGTACGTGCGTGGGAATACCTCCTGACCCAACACTCATTGTCAAAAAGGTCTTTGTAAGACAATCATCGTAGGTGGCATGTACCACTTGCCGGCTGCAGCATCGAAATCTTACCGGAAACAATTACACGGCTAGCTTCGCAATCTACACGGTGGCATCGGAAGGGTGGATTGCATCTACCCACCAAGACCAGGTCCAAACACCTTGAGAGGCAAACTGGATGTGGATCAGAATCTAGCTGTATCTGACTGCACCAGACGAGATATCCTTGTACTGGAGGGTCGGTGACACGAATTAAGCTGAGGGCCAATGCTTAAACAGGGGCTTCACGATGAGTGAAAATGGCAGTGACCCGTTTAAGCTCGGGGCTCTTGATCCCATGCTAGGGGATGAAACGGGCAGCGAATGTGGTGGCGCTGACGAATGTCCTGCTGGGCCTGTACCAGCACTCTGGCCCTCTATGTTGGATCATTGTGGCGTACAGGGACATGTGCCTGATTCCGTCATTGATCCAGGCCTGTTACAGCAGCAGAGCCAAGAATGGCACGCATCGGCTACAGAGGCCGGAGTGTCCATAAGCGCAGAGATTAATCCATACTCCCTGAACGAGACTTAGTCTGAGGATGGCCAAGCATTGGGTTCGCAAAGGGATCTCCCGGAACGAATGAGAAACGCAAACGAAGCAACGGACAATACTTCTGCCGCTAACAATTATTCTCCTTTTTATTCTTCATTTTCTGATTTTTCTTCAAACGATTCAAACGACGGAAACAACGACGGTGTGAGCCAATCAGGGCTAGCAGATCAACAGGGACCTCTCTCCTCTTCAGAACCTAACACGGAGCCTTCATCTTCGTCTTTTAATATGGTCAAGCCATACGCGTGCGATAGATGTTCGGAGTCTTTTGCAAAGCGACATCAGCTCAAGTAAGTCAATCCTCCTCAGAGAAATGGACGTTGCAACCGTCTTAAGACAGCAGAACTTGCCTAATGCTTGGATTTGCTCTTTTAGTCGTCACATCAGAAAGCACGAGAAGCCTGAGAAATGTCCTAAATGCGATTACGCCGCTCAATATGCCAAAGGCGTTACAAGACATGTCTGGGTGCATCACTCAAAATGGGCTGAAGAAACAAACTATCCGTCCATCCAAGTGACGTGCAAGATTTGCAAAACCGTACTGCAGAGACCAGACTATGGCCCTCGGCACATGAAGGAGGTTCACGGAGGCAAGAAGAGGCAGAGAGGTCCAAAGGGATAGATTGTTTGCTAAATGACTGGGACGGGAGAGACTTTTATCTTGACTTTATCTTTTTGCTTTTGATTTTGCTTTTCTTTTTTCTTCTTTTCTCTCTGTTCTGCGCTTTTCATTTTCTCTCTTTTCTTGATCTACACCTTCCATGCTGAAGCCCGGCCTTTGTTTTATTTTGATGATGTCTATTATTTTAGCTCTTTACGACTCAAGAAGCTTCTTCATAGTCTCTCCCATGACGCCTGGATGCGGCACAATGACTGCTCCGGCATCTCCAAGTGCCCTCGCCTTGATCTCCGCAGGTACATCCCTGGACGTGAGCACCGCACCTGCATGGCCCATGGTCCTTCCATGTGGAGCTGTCTTTCCAGCCACCATTGCCACTATCGGCTTAGGGTGTCGAGTTGATTTGCGATATTCTCGGATTAAATCTGCTGCTCTGAGCTCTGCTTCCCCGCCAATCTCTCCTATGACAATGATGCCTTTCGTCTCTTCGTCTTCGAAAAATAAACTGAGGCCGTCAGCCAACGTAGTTCCTACAGCCTTATTAGCCAAGACTCCAATGTCGTATCAACTGCACCCTCACCTGGTAGCAAGTCCCCTCCCATTCCTAGCACTATGCTTTGGCCCAATCCTGCTGATGTTGTCGCACCTACAGCCTCATAGCTTAATGTCCCAGATTTGGAGACAATACCTATACTGCCCTTTTTATACTGCTTATATGGCATGATGCCAACTCGGCATTGTTCTGGAGCAATGATCCCAGGGCAATTTGGACCTACTAAGCGAGTCTTGCTCTGAGTGCGAAGTATCTCATGAACCCGTAACATGTCATGTACTGGAATATGTTCCGCTACCGAGACGACCAGTGGTACTTCGGCTTCTATAGATTCTATAATTGCTTTTGCTGCAAATTGCGCAGGAACAAACACGGCACTAACATGAGGCTTGACAACCCACATAGCCTATAAATCAATCAGATTATGGACTGTTCGTGAGAGTTGGAAACCCTTACCTCGTGAACGGTATTTAACACTGGCAAATCCAGATGTGTAGAGTCGCCTTTACCAGGCGAGACACCACCTACGATGTTAGTACCGTACGCAATGGTATCTCTCGCATTGGCAGTTGCCTGAATACATCGTCTCCTATCAGCACGCTATTTTATGAGAAGCAGGGAAGTTCTGTAGTACACACTGCTTTTCCTGTAAACCCTGTTTTCTGTGAGTAAATTCACATGACTCTGTGGTGCTATTGTATTACCTTGATATATTACTCTTGTGTTTTTGTCTATACGCAAATTGCGAATGGTGCTGTCGTATCCGGGCGAATGTCGTGCAGCTGAGGTTGATAAATGCCGCCGCTGAAACGCGGGGCCGCATCGAAACAGTCTGAAAGGTGTAATGCTCATAGTTGAAGTTTAGTACTCTACATGTCGTTTTGCTACTTGTTTGGTTCTGTATATGGTGTTTGTGAATTATTTCTCATTTATTTCTTACAGACATTTGATGCAAGTCGGCTATGTGGCTGCTACATAAGTACATGTAGCCGAAGTGGTGGGTTTATTGGTGGACGAACCTCGGTTTTCTGCAGGAATATTATTCAGCACCCGAGTTGCATTATCCAACGCCCCAACTGTAGCTTAGCAAAGCAATTAGCCCACGAAGAGGAATAATTCAACCGCTTGATACAAACAAGTAGCATCTCTTGAGTAGCATCAGTAGCTATAGTAGCCCACATCGTAGCTGGGGTGCTGAATAACTGTTCCCTGTTTCTTTGGTGGGTGGGCTATCAGCTTCATTCATGGCGCCTATTTCTGTCTGTGCCAGTTTACGAAGTGATGAGCGACACGTAAATGAGTAAATAAACAAAGTACACATGTGATTACAGTCCGCCATACGAAATACTATCACGACCAGTTCTACAAGAGTTGTTGGAGCCATGAAGCATTCAAAAAGTGAAGACAACAGGGTAGTGCCGCTAAAATGACTGCACCTTGGAGCTCTGGCTGTCCAGAATGGAAGCTACCAAATGAAGTTGACACTTGAAATAAAATCGTAAGACAAAAGACACAAACACGTAGACAGCGAGGAGCTTGGAGATACCGCTTCGCAGAATCATTGCAGCAATCTCGATTATCATGGTTTCCCAGTTTCAGCTGCAGTAGCGGCAAGCAAATCTGAGCCGGCTTGCTGTAGCGACTAGATGTGCTGTAGATTTCAGCCACCGCGTCATCAGACTGGGGCAGGATACGGTTTCCAATGCGCTGCCAGTTACGGTAGTCGATTACGGAGGGCCAAGCGTTTTGGCCTGGTAGGTTTGTTAAGTCCAGCAATGAAGCAGAGTCGCTGCAGGTTTCTGTGTGATTCGTGCCGTTGCATGCGAGACACGAGCGTCGTGAAATGTTACCAGTATATCATCTAAAGTGTAAAAGGCCGGCTGGAGGCTGTGCTACGTGCCTGTCTTGGAGAGCGGCAAGATTCGGAATAGGTCGGGATAATGTGATTCTGGCTGCCAACGTTCGTATTACCTGAGACCAGTATGCAAGGGAGTCTAGTGGCTTTCTTGCCTGCATGCTGAAAACGCTGAAAATATGTGTACGCTGCTGGATTTCCTCAAAATCGTTGAATAGTTGTGCTCCATCTAGTGTGTAGTGGAGAGCTTCCACACGTAAGTTGAACATAAGTTGAAAAGTTGAGGAGCCATCAACTATGTTGTGTCAGCCTCTGTTCAACGACTTACGCAAGATGTTCTGCAAAATCAAGGCGCGAACATGTCTGTGCCCATTTGAGCCAGTGTCTCCGCCATAAAAGTCGCTTCCATAGGACTGGAGATGGACTTTTCTGGGTACAAGGAATGGGTTCTTTGTAGGATCCCTCCCCAACCAACACCCGCAGAAAGTGTGAGTCGCCATCCACCCTATATTGGCCCAGGCTGGCGTGCATTGCCCCCAAGCGTTCGCAAAGCCACAGAGTGGCTTGTTGCTCCCACACGCTAGACATCGTCTCACCACCCTCGGAGCCTGGCCTCGTGCCCATAGCGTCATGCCGAATGCGTCCTCGTGCTCTGGAATAGCAGGCTGCAGTGGCTATGGACTGCGGCAGCAGCATCGGTATGAGCTGAGCTGCGCATGAGACAATGGCCCGGAGGCCTGCTTCTTCTTCTTCTGACCAGCTCTGTGATTTAATATATGCAAAGACGGCTCTAGATGCGCAACATCTCCTCCACCAGCACCAGCACACTACTCGCTACCTCTTCTACCTCTATACCGCCGTGAAATGCCATTGCCGAAACAATGCCCTTCCGATCGAGCTCCGTCAAGGCCATGGGCTCAAGCCTCTTCTCCCGAAACCGTCGGGACGATGCACCGAAAGACTTGACGAAGCCACCGGGCGACTCAAGGCGTCGCCGGGCGTCTCTTTCGGGAGCCGAGCGGCGGACGTCGGTGGCGAACGACTTCAGGCCGCACACCGAGATTCAAAGACCGACGATGCCGCCTCCAGCTTCGTTTGGGAGACCGCGAAGCCCGCCACGAAGAGACTCTGTATCCCGCCGGTCTGTGTCGCCGCGCTCTCGCCAGAAGATGGCTGGCGGAGATGGTTTCCATAACCGCCAGTCGCGATCGCCTCCGAGGCGCCGATATTCCTCTTCAGAAATCCCTCGACCACACGAAATCACGCCCCAATCGCCGGTACCGCCACGATCGCGAATAAACGACAGTCACGACAGGCGTGACCGGCCTGGATACGGGAGCGCAGCAGCAGCAGAAACTCCTCTGGCGTCACCGCAACTGGCACCGCAGAAACCTGGATGGAGCGCTACATCGAGAGAGGCCAGGCAGGAAGCTCGACGATATCCGCCTTCGGCATCATCGAATAACAGGCCACAGCCTGCTACTGTACGGGGAACTTCTCCCTATCAGAGGCCTGCTGCAGGCGCCGAAAGACATCGCTCAGCCTCCGTAGATGGGTACGATAGGAAAACACAACCGGCGCCTGCTCCACTGCCCAGCTCACCCTCACGTCGTCCGAAGCATGAGCGTAGAGGCTCAGATAGCTTCTTCAACAAGTTCCCCAAAACATTCGTCACCTATGCAGGAATCCGTGCGCTCTCGGAGCACGCTGACAAGGCCAAGGAATGGGTTGAGTGGCTCAACAACGTAAATGACGCTCCCGATGAGATCCGCGCACTTTCTGCGAGGATCACCACCGCGCGTGATACTATTCAGCAAATGAAGGACTGCTTGAAAGCAAGGCCCGATCTCATTGAGGATGAAACCGGACAGGTCCTAAAATTGCAAATCGAGGACACTATTGACAGAACAAGTGAGACATTAAAGCAGATGACGAAACTGCTGGCGAGCTTTTCTGGGGCTGCTAGGGAGGATAACAATACGGCTCTTGGCCGCCTGGAAGGCTTCTGGCACTCATACAACTACAAGCACGAAGGCGAAGAGCAGATTAAGTCTGCAGACGCTGAATTGCAACAGCAGCTGCTGCAACTCGGCACTCTCATGTCCAATATCTATGCGTTAGTCACCACTTCTTTAACTAATAGTCATGCTATGCTAACAAAGGCAACAGCCGTGCTCTTATGAAACCCGCGCCATCGTCAGGGCTGAACACACCAAATACGCCGACACCTCCTTTATCAACTTCCAAAGTAAATACAATACCAGAAGCCTCAAAACCGATACCGCGGCCCGCAGCGTCAATACCCAATCGACCGCCTCCATCGCCGCAATTATCTCCCAAATCTCAAGGGCAGTTTGAGTCTATAGGAAATCATCCGAAAGCCGCCACAAATCCACCTACTCCTCCTCACTCGGAACCTTCAGTCGAGCAGCCTCCGTCTAATGATTCTCACAATGGGCATCCATCTGATGATTTTGCCAATGGGCATGAAGCAGAACCTGATCCCATCCCGAACTCAGGAGACATTTTGCTAGATGCTGCTTGGGAAGGCGATGTCAAAACCGTAGCCAACTGTATTCGTCAAGCACCACCGAGCTCATGCGATAACAACGGCCTAACACCACTACATCTTGCAGTTGAGCGCGATCATATGGCCGTTGCCATGTTTCTTCTCGATCATGGCGCCGATGTACACGCTCGTGCTGACGGTGGCTGCATGCCTCTTCATCTGGCTGCGCGTTACGCTTCTGCCGCAACGGTAGAGATGCTCATCGACCGTGGCAAGGCCAACCCCAATGCTCAAACGACGGATGGGAGGACTGCGCTGCATTATGCTGCCAGGTCAGCTGAAGATGGAGTTACGGAACGACGGGAAGTGATTCGCGCGTTGCGAGATTTGGGCGCCAACCCCACGCTTAGGAATCGAAGAGGTGAATTGCCCAGAGACGTAGCTCAGAAGAGAGATTTTTGGGATGCAGCTGCGACTCTGAGAAGGGCTGAGCAGAAATGGGAGCAGCAGCAGCAGCAACGACAGCAACAATTCCAGCAGCAACAATATCAGCAACAGCAGCAGCAACAGCAACAGCAACAGCAACGAAACCAACAACAAGAACATCTACAACAGCGGCCACCAAAGAACCAGTTGAAAGAAGCCAACTTGAGAGAGAGAAGTGCGAAAAAAGAAGGCAGCTGGTTACAAAGATATGGACTTAGGAAATAACGATTTACGAAACTTGACGAAGACTTGACGAAAACTGGACGATTTATGCATTGTTTGTTAGCGATAGAGGGTGCATATGTGCGGCATAGGGTTTGCATATATATACGATTCTCTACATTATAGTTTACTTGTAATTAATGCTATCTACTATAACTCAAATTAGATTACGTTTTCTTAACTTCAAAAGAACCTCCATAATGAGTCAGCGTGCTTTGTGCTCTTGAACCGACTGTAATAATGGCACGCTGGCCACATTATAAGCAGCAGGGTTAGCCATATCGCAAAATAGATAAAGAGGTTGGTAACCCCTTTGAAGTTTTCTGGATCCGTGGGGCTTGCGTGGTCAGTCTCTTGGCCAAATATACGTATCATCAGCTGCCCTACAGGGGACATGACGATACAAATGTGCACCACGTAGAAGAATAGCGATGATGTGCCGTAGCTCAAAAGGAGAGAGAAACGCTGCGCAATACGTGCTGGGATGGCGCTGAAAGCTGCGAGGGCAAAGAGGTTGCCAGCCATGGTAAAGGCCCAGAACGCAACATCAGGAGGATACTTGATTATGTAGAAGAACGATGCTGGCGAGGCGAGATATGGGTTCTCATTCGTAGTGTGATGGTGTTGCGCGGGTGTATGCAGGCAGTCTTCTGAAAGGTTTCCAATGCGGAGAAGCCTTGTTGCAACGAAAATTATCGAAAAGACGACTCCCATGGCAACGTGGCCCATGACAATAGCAGAGGTTGTCCATTTCCGGGCTGAGAGGATGCGGCCGTAGAGAAGCCCTAGAATGGCAAAAGAGAGCCACGCCAGAGGAGGAAAATTTGACATGACGTGTTCAGTCATAACGGGCCAGAACCAAATACCAAGGAATGAGTTTCTCGGCGTACCGTCTGGTGATTCGGTCTCGATACTGCAGTGACCGTGGTTGTCAGATAACCAGATATTCCACCATATGGTAATGACGCTGAGGATCGCTAGAATAGTGTTGTGGATATGCCAGGACAAAGATGAAGCTGTTGCTGCTCTTTCGCTTTCTCTGGCTGGTCCCCGTCCTTGTAAAAGTGGTTGGTTAACTCCTCCCTGTTCGTCATCACCATCATCGTTCAATCTGCCATATGCCGCCCCTGTGCGCTTATCGAGCATCAAAAGGCATCTTTCTAGCACATCCGCAAGTCGATTTTCCGTCTGATTCATGGAAAGCCACAATATACCGGCCAGGAAGTAGTTCAATCCCAATGCAAATAAGACCATGTTCATAAACCACAGTTGGCCCCCTGACCATAAAACTCCCCACAATACCGTCACTGCCGTAAGTACAAATCCTCTCATAGCATAATACTGCAGCATCCGGCTTGCCGACCAGCCAAGGCGCGTTCGTGACTTGGAAAGAAATACGACGCCCATGCCGAGAAGAAACATGAATCCAGGGGCGCAAAAATGGGTGAAGGTGCGGATGATGTAAGCAGTGGTGAAGTTCCATCGGCGAACAATTATTCCATCTGTCTCGCCATCGATGTTGGTGCCATGCTGCCAAGTGTTTATACCAAGGGCGAGGTGGTCCATGGCCATGATGGCCATGAGAAGACCGCGATGGAGATCGGGCGCAAGGAGGCGGGTCGTCGGCTTTGCCAAAGAAGGAGACGGCGAGCGCATCGTTGACGACTCAACTTGAGAAGATGTGTTGAGATTGGATATTGAGTCGTATTGGTAGCCATTTGGCCTTTGGGAGGTCGATGGTGTAGAGGAGGCCATGGTGGCGTTGGTTGTGACGGGCCGTCGCCCGACTCGAATCTCACGAGTTTAAGAACAGGTAACAATATCAGGATTTATTCAATCAACTCTAAAGGCGTCTATATCCATGTCGAGAGACGAACAAGTTTAAAAGAAACAAAATCCCAAAGTGAAAAGAAACAAAAGACTCAAAGGAAGAGAAAAGGAATTGGAGTCACAACTACCCAAAGTCCGCACACACTCCGCCCTCCTCGACAAATGCTCCGACGCTCCATAATCCTGCGTATCTATCGCGTTGCCCGACTTCCGACCACAACTAGAACAACAGCCGCAATACGACCTAAAGCACAGTGACAACCCCCTGGATCGAAATCCGACGGGGGTCATCGAATCCTATGGCCCGCCCCGAGAGTCCGAAGCTAAGCAGAAATAGCGCCCAGGACTTTTGATAGAGTTCACTAAGCCGATTGTCCGTGCAGACAAGGCCATTATGAATTGCTGACTCTGTGCGGCGTCAGCACCGTAAAGTGCGGTTCAAACTAGGCTTATCAATCAATATAGGTATCAGCTAAAGACAAGCTCGAGGCTTGCGCAGCTCTCGAGCTTGCTGGGACTTGATCAACTAAACAACTAGGGGAGGTTGAGGTAATTGCTCCGGCCGTCTCGTACTGTACCCGAAGTTTGACTAGCAGATTACTATTCATCAAATGGACAAGTAGCTCAGTATTAACCATAACGAACTAACACATGCCATAGCAGTTTAAGCTCTTGTAAAACTTCTGCAACAGTTCCCCTATCTGCCCATTGTTCTGCATCAGCCACTAGATTTCTCACACTCTCGCCAATTGCCTGCACGTCAACTTTTCCTTGGTAAGCAACCCTTGCAGCCAGAGACGGCATTGTTGGTCCTCGGAAATCGCCCGGACAGCTCTCTGCTTGCATTTCGAATCCGTGATGGGAAAAGAGTGGAAACCCATATGTTTCGCCGAGGGCTTCAAGAAGGGACCCAGTATCGCCACGAAGAAAGAAAGATGGATCCACAACGAGAGCTTCGACATCTCGCGAGAGAAGAACGTCGCCGTGGATCTGCGCCTCGATTAAGTGATCCAGATTTCGACTTGGCAGCCTCTTGTAATCAGCTTCTACAAGGGTCGACTTGCTCAACCCCTTGATAAGCTCTAGCATTCCCCTTGGCCTCACGTTGTTTACGCCCAGAGCAGTATCTCTTGTGAAGCATTCTTCCAGTAAAGCAGCCAGTATTGCGTCGAACTCATCAACCGTCCCCACATCTTTTGGAGCCGCTTGCGATCCACCGTATGTAAACGTTGACCGAGATGACACTTCTGGCCGAAGCAAGAAATAGCAGGAGCCGAATCGTGGAGCAGGGCCGTCAGAGTTACGCACGAGATCTAGAGCTCCATATTTGGGCCGTAGTGCCGGATTGAAGGCATTCTCTGCGGTTTCTGGAACGCTGGACCCATGATAGGCACCACTGAAAAGGCTGCGCTCCCAGTCATCGCGGAGACCACCCAGCTGTGTTGCTAATAAGCCATTCGAGATGCCAGTCTCGAACTGGTTTTTGTATCTGCCATCTTCTAGTAGGGCTTCAACGACTGTGTGCCCGCTGAGAGATGGGCGATCTGGATGAAAATGCAGTGCAATACGAGCATGTTGCGCAATAGCTTGTCGGACATCGTCGAGGGTCTCTATTGGCACGTTTGACATGCGGCAAATGTGAGATATCGTTTCCAATGCATCTGGCCGAAGCGCGACAGCTTGGGCCTTGATGTTGGCAACTGCGGCTGCCTGAAATGGATGCAGCGGCGGTGCAATTTGCGCTGACGAAGACATGTTAAACAGTTACATCCAAAGGTGCGCGAAGAAACAAGACCGGGATGATTCTTCGTAGAGTTGTGATAGGTACTCGGCTCTTCTTTACCAGCTGGCCGCGTGAGTCACAATATGCAGAGCTGCCGTGTCTGTAGGATTTGCAAGGTCTTGAAGCTATGAGCCAATTGTGTGGTTGCTAGCCGTTTAGTTCGTCTCTAGTGGAAGACTATTCTATGACGGGTGCTATTGGCCGAAAGGAAGGCTTTAAATGAGCCGGAATTCAGCTTACATAGCTGCAGCTGCATGACACTTTGACGAGACTACCCAGTCGCAGGAAATCCCGCTGGTCTACTCGGATCCTGTAGCCTCGCCAACTCCAACAGTAGTCGATATGTATATACAGACATGTCAGCTTCTCGCAGCGCCTTGAAGAACCAATCCCGCCCCTGTTCTGCGATTTCTCTAGCCCGCTGTTGACCAGATTGTGTCGACGTCAAGTAGAGGACAATTTCGGGCAGCTCTTCTAGACTCTGACTGACGGGAATGTAATGAACCCACGGCACGAGGCGGTCGTCGTGCCATTCTCTTAGAAGCGTTTGCTTCAACGGTGCCGATTTTGATGCCAGCAGCTTATAGTAGCGGCCGCTGATGCCGTTGCCATCAAGATCAAAGACCAATCGCGATTGAAGTGCTTTGTCTTTATCAGCCCATCCACCAATCTTCAAGGTCCTCGCCTGGTCTCTGCAGTATTTTGTTTCGCACTGGAATATTCGTGTAAAAGCGACATCGAACAGTCGCCCGTTGAGGAATGAGGATGCAACACGCTGTATCGTTCCACTCACCAACCGCAAGTAGTGATACTTCTGGCACTCTGTATTTTGCACCAGTCTCACGAATCTTTGTCTATGATAAGATGGCCAGCTTGCATCTGAGGCGAATGCGCCGGTTGTGGACCCGGCCCAGTATAGATTATTCTTCTTCTCTTCCCAGCTGATCTCTCTCGTATCGTCATACGTAAACTCTTCTTCAATATATGCCGGACTGGGAAATAAAATGTCTCCCATCGGGGAAGGCGACCCAGTTGAGAGAGCAGGGACAAGCCCCTCGACCAAGGAAAAAGTTACCGGGCTCATAAATAGTCCATGCATGTTGCGGTACTCTGGGTGCTCACAGAGATCAATAGCAGAAGAACGGTTGGCGACAAAAGGCATATCAAATGCCTCTATGGGCATCTGTACCTCCTCTGCGATGCCTGGCTTCTTTTTCAATGAACAAAATTTCGTGACCTCATCCCAAACGGGCTGTCGCGACATGTTTCTAACATTGAACAGCGAATAGGAATCAGCCTTCTCTACTTCCCATGCCGGAATCAGGATACGCGGCTCATCAAAATGATTGAAGAGAAATCGTATATCAGGAAGAACGCCATTAAAGCCCCATAACAGCCTATCAAACTGATACTCAATATGTCTGTCGTAAATTCGATTTGGGTGCATGCACCGTGTTTGAGCATATGCCCCGTAGTACATGCAGAACCACACCTCGCTTTTGGGCGTATAATAGACTTGGTTCATTATTTCAAGTACTTGTTGTCCGCTTAATCTCCAAAGTGGCGAAATAGCCTGATAGATGGCGTCAAAGTCATCAATTATAGGAGATTGACGACTAATTGCGTATTCATACCAAGCTTCAAATCCAGGTGGAGGGTTGACCCCATACCGACGTTGATACTCCGTGACGGCTTGCTGATAGTTCTTAGACTGCCTTTTAAGAAGGTTCTCGAAATGAATCTTACTGCTGCGTACTAGAGTCTCAACAGGATGCTCTTGCTCAGGGCCAAAGACCTTTGCTGACTGCTGCATGTCGCGAATCATCCAAAGATTTCGGAGAAAGGGTACAAATGAGATTAAGCCAAACATCCATAATAGCGATTTATACTTTGCTTGCTTTGGTAAAGATGAAATAACTTGGCCAAGCGCCATGGCTGCGGCTAAGACCCATGCAGCAGCCTCAGTATTAGATGCTTTGTTGTAAAGATTGCTCGTAGATGCAATTGAAAATGTGGTAATAGTGGTAGCTATCACCCAAGATGTATTTTGCGCCTAAATGATAGTTAGCCACTAGAATATTTGATAAGGAAAGAGACATACCACTTTGGCAGCAAAGTACCAAGACAATGCCTTCAACAGACCTAAAAGAAGTACATGGAATGGGTTCACACTAAAAATTCTAGTTAAAATAGTAGATATACACAGAATAATAAATAGCAAGATAACAATTCGGACGGAAAGAGGACGTATGGCGCGCTCAAAGTTGATGGATGGAAGACACAAAAATGTTCCACCTTTTGGCAGCAGAGCAGCATATACGATAAATAGGGCGGAGGCCAAAGCAATGGACGATAGAGATATTTGAATCGTCCAATTTGAAAATGTGAAAATGGTGAAAAGGGAAATAAGAGCAGCCCCGCAAGTTGACTTGGAAAGAAGAGAAAATGGACCGGCCGGCAACTTGGAAGCAGATCCTAAATATCTCTGGGTCGCCAATAGAAGGGGCGTCAATATTGGCTACTGATATTAGTAAATACATTCGCTTTAGTTGGCGCTCTTTATTCTTACCAAGAATTGAATTGCGCCTGTTTCCATCTTGATGAATGCGAATACAGCAATGCCCGCAGCAAAAAACCATAGAGAAGAAGAGGGCGATGATAGTGCATTCGGCTCCCCATAGACTGCCGGCTGCTGTAGTGATCCGTGCTCCAATTTCTTCTGGCACCTTATCAAGATGGGTAAAATAGCCCAGCACAAGATCTCCGAATATATCTCCAGCCCTGGAGAAGACAGCCATTGCGTCAGCGTAGCGCAGAGCATGGCCGCTGCGGCATATCCACTGAGCAACTCCGCGTTGACTGTCCAAGGAAGCCACATTGTGATGCATGAAATAAAAGAAGGGTTGCAAACACCAATTATCTAAATATGGAGAAGATCAGATTAGGAACGCGGCAAGATGCGCGTGAGAGTATGAGAGTATGATGCTCCCTTGAAATGTCTCACTTCGCCTTGGCCATTTGAGATTTCTTGAATCGTGGCTGAAATGAGTCTGTATCCGGAAATTGCGCACAAACTCAATTCGAAAGTTTAATTTAGTAGTAATAAACGCCTATTATAAATACGACCTTGTCAATTCGGAAAGTCTACAAATGATAGACTACCTCATGAGAGAATGGCGACTCCGAATGCCAAGATCATAGATTACCATAACGACGGCGATTAGTGACTCCAAGAAACAGGCGCCCATTCAGCTACCACCTAAACAAAGGCATCAGTGTCCAATCTTCAAAGACGTCACGCATTTCCACTTACCACAGCCTCCTCCGCATCCTCCAGTGCCTCCTCCTCCTCCAGCTCCTCCCACAACTCCACCACCGCATCCAGCACCGCTGGCTCCGCAAGTCTAGAAGATTGTCAGATCTATCAACGCACGTCAAATCAAAGGACTGTTCGTGACATACCCCTCCATTGCCATTGATGCATCCTCCAGGGCCTCCGCAAGAACCAGCGGCTATGCTCCCATTGCCGCATGTATAGGCGGCACAATTCGCCCACGCTCCTGCGCCATTATGAACTACGGATGGATCCCACCCGTAGTATATCCCAGGTGCAAACCATGGAGGAAATGGGTAGGGCCCGTACACTGATATGTAGCACGTATGATTAATGGCGAACCGAGGATTTAAAAATCTGGGTAGAGGATTAACTGAACGGCACTCACCAGTATAGTTCGTACCCCATAGACTGAAATAATCTTTTTTAGGAGGCAGCGTTCGACCTTTCTTCTCTGCCCTCTTTTCCGCCTTTTTGTACTCTTGTTCAAGCCATTGGCGCTGGCGTGCACGCACTCTCGCCGTAACTTTCTTTCGATCTTCTGTCTCTCTCGTCTTCACAGCATTGTGAAACGAAATATGAGCTGATGTGCCTGACGTATGCGTTTCAGCTCCGCCAGACGCATGAAACGTGTCGGAAAGTTTGTCATTGTTTGAGATGCCGAGCACCTTGCCGAGTCCTGATATCTGTGAGGAACGAATTGCTGTTGTGACGGTCACATTATTAGCTGAGCTTGTGAAGAGGACGCGAAGAGATGGTAACTCACTTTCGCAATACCAGCACGTGCACTCGCTGTATACTTCTCCAAACATGCTTTGATACGTCTTCGTCGTCCATTCAAAGCACCTGCTAAGCTTGTCTTCGTCAATCTTGTCATCGTGATCGACAAACTTTGCAGTTTTCGAGACTGTGTAGTAGTAATAATGCGAAGGCCTCAGCTGGTGCGTATGCCAGGCCAAATCCACGTCCAGCGTCGGCACGACCATCTTGGTAGGATGCTTCCACATGATCTGTATAAACCTGTCGTATTTTGTAATGAGTCGCGACATGGTGTCTCTTGCGTTGGGACTGTGAAGCCAGTCAATCTTGACCATCTTTTCAATAAAGACTCCTTGGCGCATAACCGCAGCGCAAAGGTCAAGCGCAAATGGAGAGAAATTTAGCCAGTAGCGGCTCATCATTTTGCGGACGGAGATTCCAGCCCAGGGGTGTATTTGATAGCGGCCAAAAGGTCCTTTATCGGAATCTATGTTTCGGATCTTCTTATAGTCAGACAGAGTCTCTTGGATCATATCTCTCACCGCATTCATGCTTAACCGAGCAGGTGTCTTGTCTGCGTCTTTGTCTTTGTCTTTATCCGTCCCTTTGCTTTTGCTTTTGCGCTTATTCTTGGGTTTGTCCTCTGCGATATTTTCATCCTCATCAGATGGCGGTTTGATCAGTTCCGGAATCTTATCTCGTAGCTCTAACTTGATCATGCGATTTGGGAACGTCCTAGGAAGCCTGAGACCCCATTTGTTGTTCATTACGAGCTCAGGACGGCCAGACTTGGGCTCAAGTATCGTTCCCGGCATCGGTGTGGATTTTTCTAATAGAGCAGAAGCATCTGTAACGAATTTTGACAGCGATAGAAGCTCCTTGTAGTTCTCATTTCCGCAAGAAGAGCATTTATGGCTAAATTTGCCATCGCCAAAGCCGCTGCCAATTAAACCAGTAAATCTGCGAGCGAACGTCAGCATACCTGCATCCTATAGTCAATATTTGCATTGAGCTTAGTTTACTCTTCATTGCTTGCTTCTCTGCTCACTCCACAGGTTGTCCATGGTACTTCATTGTCCGTTTGACAGAAAGGGCATTTGACCACTCTCGTCATGGGATCTTTGCGGTTCCGCCAGCGACGTCCAGTCAGAGCCGACCAGTATTTCTTTCCTTTGTTAGACACATTGTAGTTGAAATCTGCATCAATTGCTTGGTGAATCAACTCCCATGGCATACCAGAGGCCCAAAATGTCCCCAGGCCGTATCGAATTGCATCCTCAAGGAAGGAGCGAGGATTAAGCATGTGGGTATGAAGAATCATTAACACATCTATAAAGAAGGGAAACGGTTGTCAGAATATCTCACTGTCGAATATTTGGTGTATGTTCTTACCTAAGGGTGGTAGCATCCTCTCTTCCCATATTAGTCTTCGAGAAGTTGGAAACTTCTTGAACTTGTAGCTATCAGGATCCGCCATATCTTCTTCGGTCAGCATGTCGTTTTCCCCCAGAGACTTCCACCACGCCTCGTATCGGTCGACCGCGCGGGCGACAAAGAGCGCCCATCTCTTCTCGCGAATCCTGCTGTGGCCGGCCTTTGTCACGGTTTTGGCATTGGATTTTTCAAGCTTGCGAATCATTGACCAGTCGGCATCGGCCCGTAAATCATCCAGAGCCCATTTGCCGCGGTCGTCCCAGAGATTCCAGAGCCCGTCGGTGTAGCCAACTCCCTCTTTCATCGACTGAATAGCATGAAGCAGCTTGAGGTGGGCGAGACAAGCATCTTCTGAAAGGCCGTACCTGATGTCAAGGTGATCCGTGATGCCTGACTCGAAGGATAAATTAAGAAAGGCGGCATTTACATCTTCCGCTGCCTCGCCATCCGATTCGCCAAGGAAGCCTTGATCAATGGGCGTTTCGTTGTTTATCATCATAGAATAAATCGGATGCGGGTCCGAAGCCGTGGCATCATCAGCAATAGGCTGCGTGTCAGGTTTGCCGGCTTCCATTTTGTGTTCTTATTCACTTTGCGACTATACACGAGTAATAAGGACGCAGTGAAGTAAGAATGAAAAAGACGTGTTAGGCTGCTAAATAATGGCTATACTTATACTCTGTCTTGGCGTCTGAGATACAGGAGGTAGCAGTGCGAGCCTTATCTGAATATTGTTGATGAGAAATCAGCAAGTATATCCGACATCGTTCGTTTTCAGCTGAGATGCATGCACGGGCCAATATCCAACGCGCTGCGGAGAAACAGTACGCTCAATAAGGCATACGGTACGTTGTTGCCGGGCGCAAAAAGCTATCAATCGAATATACACTTTGGGGTTTTGAGATGGACTTGATTGTATCCCCAGAGAGGAATAAGGTGCTGATCAAGATTGGCCGGGTTAGGCGCTATGCCTGTGTCAAATCATTCTAGAACAAAAGTCAGCCTAGAATTTGGGTCATGAGACCAGCCCAAAACGAGGCTCTCCAATGATGGCTTGTCAGGCTAGAGATATCAAGTAATACGAATTGATCAGAGCAAAGACATTTATCAGCTTGATCGGGGAACTTGCTTCTCTCTAAACACCAATTCGAATAAGCGGGTAATGCAACACGAGCACTCGCCTCATTTTAAAAAGCAGACTCCAGCCATCCTGTCCTTATCATGGCAATCGCATTGCCATTTGTGCAAGGCAAAGCTGGACGCGCCATGAGAAATGCCCACGGCGAGGCAGATTTAACGGATCACGGCACAAAGAGCATTGAAGACAGCCTTGGCCACAACACCTGCGGGTTAGTGGGAGCACACGCCCTACCTACGACATACCGGCTTCAAAATCTCGCGGCGATTATTCCGCTTGTTCCGCACCTCAAAGTCAAAAGTCCCCACGGCAGTGCAACATCACGAATGCACCTGTAAATGGTATCTTATTCCGAGTGAAGGACATAGACTGGAAGCTTATCATATATGGACTGGAATCCTAGCGGCCTCAGCGCATGACGAAGTATTGCTAGTCAGGCGGCCGATGGTTTTTGATGTCATTCTGCATTCAAATTGTAGAGGGGAATTGATATTCGTTATTCAAAAGGTCAGGAGTTGACGGTTTTCTGTTTTGTTTACATAGGAGTACACCGTAAAGCCATGTTGGGTTATCAACGCACAAGATACAAATAGATCTATGGCACAGCGACTATACCTCGGCGGCTCCAGAATGTTCTTACTAATTACCTGGACCTACCTACATGTACTCAACTATGTCAAAGCTGGAAAACTACCACGCGATCCTCCCCACCTCTTTTCATCTCGGCAATTGCATCTCTCCATGATGGAGCAGGGATCGAAAAGTAGATATAGCAGGCCGCATCGCGGGCATGTTTGTATGTAGATAGCCAGTGAAATTGGCAAGGCGCGACAAGCCACAAGAGCGAGCTAGGCTAGCTTACATGAATAGATCCGTATACAGGTTTATGAGTTGGTTTTATCTCTCTAACAAGGGACTTTATGCTGTTGAATTTACTACATGTATGTCTTCAGCTGCACTTGGTCTGCTCAAGCTGCCAGTCTCATTGCGCCCATATATCGTTTCGCATGCCTGTCGTTGTTAGATGCATCTTCGACGCAGCTGTATCCAAGATCAGAACCAAATTTTGGTCTATTCTCAAGCTTTTATATTGAGACTTTCTAGAAATATTGTCTTCTCAATCGCGGTTCCCACACTGGCCAAGGCCTTGTTTTGCACACACGAGATACCTTACCGAGAGAAGTGGCGCAATTGCAACACCAGTAGATTTATTACGCCTGTAAAAGTTTGTGTAGACTTGCTATTTATATTAAATATCTGAACCTGATGCAACATTGCCGTTTTGACTAGCCTTGCAATTAACACTGACTTGCACTGTAAGCGAGATGATACCTATCCAAGTTCTACAAACACCTTGAGGAGTATCAATGGCCTGTATTTTATGCACAATGAGCTCTACTTTGTGAGAATCAAATTTGAAAAGGAATACGTCCGATCACAATGAGAGCAGCTAAGCTGGAAACATATGTGTGTATAGAAATGCATCTCATAATGTATTAATTTGCGAAAACATTGACTTGCTTCTTGTACAACACAACAAACGGCTTTGTCATAGAACGGCTTCATCACTGCGAATCATATATAGCTCACCAATGGACACCTCGACTCCATATCGCCGTGGCCAGATGTGGCTACTCTGCGTACATTGGGACATCTGTCAACCAGAACATGCAGCCAACCGGTTGCGATGTTAAGGGGGTACTGTACTTACACTGACACGTGCTTGCACAACGTTTGAAGATGTGGAACGAGGAGCATGTACGTTTGCATGTAGATATATGTGTTTTATTGGTTGGTAAGCGTTAATCTATTAAATATAGCCAGAATTCCCATTAATGGCAATCATGCGAAATTATTCACCTCGGGCTGATGTTGTCGTAACGTTGTCAATCGAGTCAAGGATAATATTAATCTCCACGCTCTCCAGCAATCGTACTCTTCCACTCACTCTTAATCTCTTCGAGAAGCCCTTCTGTAAATACGATATCCAGTGCAACTCCCGCTAATCCTTTCGCCACCCTTAACGCTCTCACATATGCATCCCGCGTCCCAGCAATCTCAGCAAACTCTGGGTTGTGTGGGCCTTGGCCTTTCGGTCCCGGCCGTAATTGAAACGCCGTGTTTAAACTCGGCATTGCATGGCTGATGTCGCCCTGATCTGTACTTGCCTGTGATTTGCCTCGTCCATCGTCAACATCTTGGTCTTCTGCGATCTTACCCGGTGGCTCGAGAGCATTGAAATAGCGTGTATACGATCGCGCCATTGTTCGGTTCGGGATATGGTTCTTATAGCCCCATCGCTCCGTAATAGTCACTTTGGCTCCTGTAGCCAGGGCACCGGCTCTGAAGCAGTCATACACTTTTTCCTTTAGCTCGTCGAGGCGCTTCTGCGTATCTGATCTGACTACAAAGATGCCGGCGGCATAGGCATGGATGATGTTAGGGGCGACGCCGCCACTGGTGATATGGCCCTGAATCCTGTCCTCGGGCATAATCTGTTGTCTAAGCGCAGACACGTTGTTGTATCCTGCGATGAGCGCATCCAGTGCATTGATCCCAAGCCATGGATTGGCTGCCGCGTGAGCCTCGCGGCCAAAGTACTCGACCTTGAACTGGAGATATGATGATGTTCGCATCAACGCCGCATCCGGGGTGATGCCTGGATGTGAAATGAGGCTCACGTCGACTTTGTGATCAGAATAGGCGCCCGCCTTGAGAAGCTTGATTTTTCCTCCGCCGCCTTCTTCTGCTGGCGTGCCGAACAGGACCACTTTTCCGGCAGCTTCGTATTGCTTCATTACTTGAGCCGCTGCAACGGCGCCGAGGACGGATGCCGTAGCGATGAGATTGTGGCCGCAGGAATGGCCAATGACGGGAAGACAATCTATCACCAAGAGAGTCAGTTTTTGCTCATCTCGAGAGAAATGTATGGCGCAACTACTCGCCCATCTCGGCATTGAATGACACGACAGGACCGCGTTTTCCCGTGTCAAACACAGCAACCCACGCGGTCTCCATGCCGTAAGCCGACGGCGTGACGACCCAGCCGCTCTGGGATTTCATGAATCTTGTCAATGCATCGTGGGCGATGAACTCCTTGAATCCTCTTTCGGGGTTGTCGTGGATTTTCTTGTTTATCGGCCAAAATTCCTCGAGGAGATTGTCTATCGCGTGGCTGATGGCATCGAGAAACTGCGGTTCCCGCCGATTAATAGAATAGCCGCTATGAGGCACGATAATGAAGCCATCGTCTTCTTCGTCGATTAGCGCCATTACATTGTTTAGTAAATCATGTTCTTCTCAAGACTTGGTTCAACAAAGGACGCCGGGTGAAAGATTACGAGGATTCGAAGTTGTTGCTACGTCTGTCTCACAGTTTGCAGGGTACGCAGTAACTCAAGAGCCAAAAATGCCACCTATCAGACCATCGCCTCCTTAGCGAGGGGCACAGTATGGGTACTGCTATCCGTACATGTACACAGAGACGTGTAAGATATCAGACTCATCACGTGCATCGACTCTCATTGGTGGCGGATCTTCCTGGCTACTCAATCAACTCGATGGAAGCGGCTTCGCACCTTGGACTAGGAATGTTGGCAGAGTCATATCGGCCATCGTATTGTGAGCACATCGCCCAAAGCGGTTCAGGACGCGCTTAGACGACCAGTTTCCAGTACGCAAGAAACCCGAGGATCCCTTGACTTTTAAATCGAATTTTGAAAACTTGAGCCGCAAGGACAGTTGAGAGAGTTGAAGAACTGCTCTGTCGGCGTTGGCTGCGTTTGAGTAGCTGAGCCAATTGCGACAACGGCGTGATGAGTTCTTCGCGCTCAGAACTAGACAATAGTTCGATTCAGTCTCTGCAGCCGCGATAGCAGCACGAATCAACTTAATCACTTCTTTTTCCCCTCTTTATTTTCCTTCTCCCGATTGACGGACGCAACCTACCACTATGCCTCAGCCTCAGCATAGCGGAAGTCCTAACCCTTCAGACGACTCATCTGTCGACTTACACGACACTCTGTCGGAGCAAGGCTCGTCAAACGGAAATGCGGTGACCCGCAAGTCCAACAAGCCTCTTAGTCGCCGCGGCCATTTCAAATCGCGCCTTGGATGCTTTAATTGCAAACGGAGGAGAGTGAAGTGCAATGAAATACGACCCGCTTGTTCGCCTTGCGGCCGCCTTGGACTGAATTGCAGTTACCCAACACCGACTTCGGCTTCTAGCTCCTCGTCATCGTCGTCTTCTTCTTCTTCGATGGCCCCGCGTGCTGCACTATCTACTCTTGCGCTGGAAGATTTGCGATTTTACCACCAATTCATCCTAGCAGCCTTCCCAACTCTACCACTGAAAAGCAAAGATGTATGGATGGATGCTGCCGCCATGTCACACCAGGTGAGGCTATTCGCTATGCTGTGCAATTTTGATTGTCTTGTGTGCATGGATCTGACTAACACCCATTGCGTATTCTATTAGTATGACTTTCTTGCACACGCTGTCTTGGGTCTTGGGGCATCACACTTATCTCAGCACGGCAGCGCCGACTATACGTCACAAGCCTTGCAGCATCGCATCACTGCTATGAAGCTTGTGAATGAGCAGCTTGATAAGCCGCCTGCCAAGCCGGCGGATGCGGATGCACTGCTTGCAGCAATAATCTGTCTCGTTACTCAGTCATCTCTCTTGCCAGATAGCATGGTTGACTACATTACAACGACAAGAGGCGGAAACTTGGTTGCTACATCCATGATTACAAATTATGAAAAATCCATCTTTAAATATTTCACACCAGTGGAACATGATCGGTCCTTGGAGCGACTCATTACTGAGCAGCCGAAAAACTTTGAAGTCATTGAAGGGTTTCATTCGTCAGCTCTGAGACTCAAGCCTCTGTGCCAGAAGCCGACAGAGCTGATATACTGCGAATCTATAATCAGATGCATGGAAAATCTACGAACCTCTTGTGTCGAAGGTATGTAGCACTGCCATTGATGCCACCCGCTAACGCTAACACGCCATTGCTTCCCATCCCTTGTAGCATGGAGAGAATTCGTCACATTGTTCATTCTTCCAACCACTTTCAACAATCAAGAATTCATGCTATTCGTCGATAATGAAAACTACATTGGCCATCTCTTACTCATTCACATGTTTCTCTTAGACTATGTGCTTGGCAACGCCTGTCTTGCTAAATCTGAAGAGCCCAAGTATCCAGGGAGGAAGTCGGTCGTCATTAAGTGGACAAAGGACTTGGCTCAGAGGCTGCCCCCTTCTTATCAGATATATTCAGAGTGGCTACTGCGATATTGCGAAATACTTGCCAATCAAGACGCACGATACCTTCTCAGCCCCTAAGAATGATCTTAGACGGGATACGCATTTCAGAATCCTCCAAATATACCCCGGCTTACAGCAGCTCTGTTACTTCCATTTGTGTTATACATATATGCTTGAAGCATGCAAATTCACGCCGAGATACTCTATGGAACTACATAATATAATGTCTCTATTTAATAGCAAGAATCGCCTCTGACGACCTCTAAATGATCAAGAGATGCTGCGTTTTAGCCCACAGAGCGTCAAGCATCTCTCTCTTCGCTTCTCTCTCCAACTGATCTCTTCTAATCCCACTTATCTCTTCTGTTTCCAACGATCTGATTGGTCTGGTGGTCTAGTGGTATGATTCTCGCTTAGGGAAAACCCTACAGCTTGTTTGCGAGAGGTCCCGGGTTCAATCCCCGGCCAGACCCTGATTGGAAGTTGTTCTCGAGGATAATCGAGGAGAATTGCTTTTTTGTCACTTCTTTTTCGCGGCCTTTCTACGCTGGCACTGTTGTTAGCTACCTACGCATTCTATTGTAGTTGGTCTGTAGCCTATTACACATGCTGTGTCTTATACTTTTGCTCTGGTTACGTTTTCCAAAAGCTCTGCCTTCATTCGAAACCTGCCCTAGGTTGTCCGGACAAAAGTCTGCGACTACCCCCAATTTTGGCATTTGTGAAGAAACTGTGTAGATAACTTTGGGAGTAGACACTGCAGCTATATTGTACTTATTGCATCCCTACATCAATGTGCTTTTCGTGAGTCGAATGGCTGTGTCTGAACGTGGTAGGCTACCAACTACAAATTAATTGTGACAGCCTCTACTGAGTAGGTTGAGCAAGATTTGCTACAAAGTCAAGGCCTGAACACGTCTCTGTATCCAAAAGTCAACGATGATCCATTTACGTCTTTCTCTTATTTACTCCGATTCTTATCCCAACACTACTAGTCACGCGGCTTTATCACCGGGACCCCCGGAATTATAGGTGATTTCGAGGACAATCGAGAACAACCGAGGTCATTTACTTTTTTTGAATAAAATTTCTTTTTGACTGCCCTTCTTTACTGAGACTGTTTCAACTACCAACGTACATGTGTTCACTCTATTGTGGTTCGTCTGCAATATATTATGCTTGTGGTATCTGATTCTGCCTCGGGTTGTCATTCTCTACTAGTCATGACCCCTTCAACTCCTCTCTCATTGCAGCATATTAATAAAGTGTCGTTCTGAATCACAGTCGCTCTCTTTCATCAAATCCACATACGTCCTCTATATAAATAGACACAAAAGGAATGGCTCAGTACCAGACGAGTTCGCCTAGTTACGCCTTTTTCTTCCCTCTTCCTCTTGTAGATTTTATGCTCTGAAAGTACGCGTCCACCATATCCTTGGCCGTCTCTTCCACAACCTTTCGAGATACCCACGTTGCCTCAGAAGGCTCGTACCCAACCCATTCGACCATGAGCTTGGTGCGATTTCCGTTGTGCTTGCGAATGGCAAAGACTTCATACAGTTCTGGATCCACGGGGTTTAATGGCCGGCCTCCTTGTTCGCGCCAGTACTGAAAGAGAGTGTCGGGGACATCTTCGTGCAAGTTGGTTTCTGGCTCCCAGGTTGTCTCACCTGTATCCCACTCGACGTGGATCTCAATGGAGTTGTCGGCCCAGCGGTACCCAACGAAACGTTTGAAACCGTATTCCTCCGCGCCTTTGTCTTCTTCAGTGTCTAGCACCCCAATATCTTTCCGATTGAGAATTTCCGAGATCCTGCCAGCACGGACTGTATTGGCTGGAGTGCCAGATAGGCTTGCTGCAGCTTTCGCCGCTGACCTTTTGCTGCTGCGGGTTGCACTTCCTGGGCTGGGCCGCACGCGAGGAGTAGATGCTGATAGCGGCATCATGTCATCTTGTTCCAGCTGCAGCGATGCCCCTGTCTCTTCACTCACAGCGTGCAAGCTGCTGTCATCCCTGCCCTGACTCTGCGGAGACGTCTCTTGGTTGTCGGTGAGCTTTCTGGCAAATGACCGGCGCCTATTTGAACCTGGAGTGTTCTTTTTGAGTCGTGGAGAGTCTTGGGCTGGAATAGAGGAATTGGGTCCCAGGGAATTCCGCGGTGAGCTTCTGGTTCCTCTGCCAGGGGTGAAAACAGCCGGGATGGCGGCCATGATGGACTGCATCGTGACGGCGCCGCAAATTTTCCGCGATGGATCTGCTGCAGAGAGTATAGAGAATGAAACGAATGAAATGGACAAATACTGAGAGGAGAATCGTCTATTGAAGCTGCCTTTGAAGATTTGTGAAGATACGCGTCTTTGGCTGTTTACATTATTTAGTCAGCTGTTTGGCGCAACTGCCTCGATTTTCGAAGCGACGACATGCCAGTAAAGAGAGTCATCACGTGACCCTCATTGGAGCCTTCACCATCTTTACATTCTTCGCATAAACTCAATCCCAATTCAGTTGACAGGGTTCCAGATGTAGTCAATGATGCCTGTATTTGCAGTACATCGCCTGATCAATGAGGGGTCGTGACAGCAAAATTGCAGGCCTCCACAAATCGAGGTTGCATCCGCGGCTTGGATGGGAAGCCCCGGAGGAGAAGAAGGATCAACACTCGCTGTTTAAGCATGGGTAATGGAAGGATGATGGGTGTGGACATGATGGAATAATCATGATTAGTTGGGCTGTTTTTTTTATTATGCGAAAAGTTGCTTGCGAAGCAACCCTGGTCTACATATGTGTGTGCGTCCCCTCTGGCTTATACTGATCTTGGCTGCCTTTTCGCGGATACATCTTCTCTTTCTTGTAAAATTTGGATTTGAAACTTCTTTGGTGTTATACGAATTTTTACTTTGCATATTTCCAAAATGGCTCTCGAGAATGCGAAATCCTCTAGACCAGTTCGCATCGCCAACTGCTCTGGTGCCCTCAGTATGATGAGCACGATACATGTATCTACACATATCACGATCTCATTTCACCACTAACAATCTCCAACTTATTGACAGCCGATCCGGGCATTTTGATGTATAATCAAGCCAAATATGGTCCTGTTGATGTCATCACAGGTGATTACCTCGCAGGTAGGTCGGATCAGAAGAGCCATAAACAATACATGTACATACATGTATACAGAGACAGATGTATAAAACAGTATGTGAGAATGACTGACTTTAACAACGCCGTCGATTTGGTAATATAGAAGCGACAATGGCAAGCAGTGCGATAGAGCGTGCGCAGTCAATCGGACCTGGCTGGATAAATCCCGCCTTTGATGGAATCCAGATGTCTTTGGATCTGATAAACGAAAAGCGCATCAAGATAGTTGTCAATGGCGGGGCAATGAACCCAAAAGGTCTTGCTGAAAAAGTTCAAGAAGCGGTAACGTCACTTCCTCTGGCTCTTCCATATTGCATCGCGCTGCTAACGTGTTGGACTAGATCAAACTCAAAGGCCTGAAGCTTCGCGTGGGCTACGTCGAGGGAGACAATTTGATACACAAAGTCCATCACCTGATTTCCAAATCTCTCGCACATCTCGATGGAACGAATCCGGATGTCCAATACACCAAAGACACGGCGTCTTTCTTAGAGTCACCAAGGGAGATGCCGATTGTTGCTGCAAATGCGTACCTCGGCTACCGCGCGATCAAGAAAGGTCTGGATGAAGGTGCCGATATTCTCATTTGCGGCCGAGTTTCCGATGCTTCGCCAGTTATTGGAGCAGCGGCCTGGTGGTATAACTGGTCTGAATCAGATTTTGATCAACTTGCCGGATCACTAATCGCTGGCCATCTGATTGAATGCTCAACATATGTAACAGGCGGCAACTTTGCTGGTGCTTATAAATACCCACCGAGCGATTTCCTGCGACTGGGCTCTGGCATCGCGGAAGTTCTTCCCAATGGAGATTGTGTGGTTACTAAACACGACTCTCTTAACGGATTTGTTACGCCCGCTACAGTAAAGTGCCAATTCTTATATGAGTTGCAAGGGAACGCCTATCTCAACAGTGACGTAAAAGCGGACATTTCCAAAATAACCGTCACCGAAGAGTCGAAGAATCGTGTTCTTGTATCTGGCGTCAAAGGCTACCCGCCTCCACCTACTACAAAGCTCGCCGTCTTTTACCAGGGAGGCTATCAGTGTGAGCACCTGATCAATGCCAGCGGATATGCCACGGATCATAAATGGGATGTCCAAGAGCTACAGATAAAGGATACGCTCAAAGAATGGGGAATACTGGACAAGTTTGACGTGCTGGAGTTCCAGCGGATTGGAACTCCGATGAAGGATCCAGATTCACAGTTTGCTTCCACCACGTATATGCGCGTGTTTGCGCAGTCGAAAGATGTACACGTGTTGAGTAGATTGCACTTGGCTTGGTTTCACCAATTCATGTCTCATTTTCCAGGTATTCGTGCTTCGAAGCTTGCATGATGTCCAAGAACTGACTATATTCTTTACTAGGCATGCATTTCTCCATGGACTTTCGCCCACTGGCACCGAAACCGTTCTTTGCTTACTACCCGGCCGTTGTCTCTCAAGATGAGATTAAAGAAACTGTTACGATACTGGGTGACGCCTCAACCGAAGAGGCGCTTTGCTTTCCTATCCTCCCACCGAATAAGACAGAGCCGCTGGCACCCCGAGAAAATTACGAAACGGTAGATCCTGTAGCCCTAGAGAGCTTTGGCGCGACCGTCAATCGCCCTTTAGGCGATCTCGTTCTTGCTCGTTCAGGCGATAAAGGTGGCAACGTAAACATCGGCCTATTCGTGGACTCGCCCGAGCAATGGGAATGGTTTCGCTCCTTCATGACCAAAGACAGGCTTCGTTCATTGATGAGGAAGGATTGGAAAGACTGGTACTTTCTCGAGAGAGTCGAGTTTCCAAACATCTATGCCGTCCATTTTGTGATTTACGGGTCTTTGGGCAGAGGGGTTACCAGCACCAGCTTGTTGGACAACTTGGGCAAGGGATTTGCAGAATTTATCAGGGCAGTTCATGCTGATATTCCGCAGAGATTTTTTGGTGAGAGTATTTGACTGTCAAAGTCGAGAACTTGTCGATATGCCCACTAGAAGACAAAGTGCTTTGTTACCTTTCTTGGAAGCAATTTTATAATACCGGAAAACGATTACGTTTATATTTTGGCTGTTACGAACCACATACCACCTTCAGGCCATAGTGAATGTGCAAATGGAAGCAAAACATTGTATTCATAAGGCTAATTGGCAAGGTAGTAAAGTAGGGCGTGGAGCATAAGTGAGAGGTACAGGTGCACAGAGGTCAATTTTGCCATATTCATAAACATACGATACGATTTAAGAAGTCTTTGTGAGCACTCTTAAACAATTTTGTAGCTAACCAGGTTAGTCCTGTTGGCGAAATCGACAAATATAATGGAAAAGTGCAACGCTGCGTCTAGTATATTCATTGGGTTTGCCTCCTTCACGGCATTTTAACCCTCCCCAAGGCTTGGTATAATCAGGATTGTGATTTGCTAGTTTTACAGCTGCCTATGCTGAAGATTTCTGACACATGCAAGCTGGCTCACTAAAGCGGATTCTTTCACAGCATTGTTAACCCTCCCCAAGGCCATGAAATAACCAGCATTGTGATTTGCTAGTTTTACAGCTGCCTATGCTGAGGATTTCTGACACTTGCATGCCTTATCGTGGCTCAAGCGGGTCCTTTCACAGCATTCTTAACCCTCCCCAAGGCCATGAAATAACCACCATTGTGATTTGTTGGGTTCCTAGTCATGAAGTATTTCGCTCTCAACAGGAAAATCTGGCCTATCAAGTTCAAACGTTGTAAATCGTCGCAAAACAGCATTTTTAAACCTTCCAAGGCCTCGAATAGTCGTAAGCGCAAGTCAATCTCAACTCTCCCGACTACAGTTCGAGTACAATGTTCGTTGGTGTTCAATATGAGACATGAATATTAGCCATATACGCCAAATGACAAATTCGAAGCCAAAGACAAGGGTATAACTACAAAAAAGCAATCTAGCTTCGAGCATCCAAATCTCTTTCTTCTAAAGATAGACTGACGGCTCCTCCCTGTTAATCTTATCTAACGATAGAGCAAAGAATCCCTTCCGTCCCACCCAAAACAAGCAAAAGAACCTAGCCAGGGCAGTGGACCCGTAAGCTCCCAAACCCCGGCACACACGTGGCTGCAAATAACCATCTCATTGATCGCCCGCAGCCATGATCGGATCGCCGTCCTTTGTCCATCCCGCAAAGGCAAAATTACAGCTCACAACCTACTAACCTTTTCCTAGGCGCTTTCTATTAGTGTTATCAAGATCGCCATCAGAAATCGTGGGGGAATCACGATGGGGCGTAGAAAAACGTTTGGAGCTTGGGTGGAGCCTAATTTCTGCAGATGGTGGGAGTATAGCAATTTCTACAAGCGGGTAACACGCAAAACACCATTTGTTGTGTTTCTAAAGATCCGAGATGGAGGAAAAGAATTTGACAACAAAATTGACATCGTAATCAGTTTCACTTCATAAAAAAACGAAGCCCTCAGCTAGAAAATTGACCTAACAACTTTTGCGTCCAAAATGTTGACGCTTCAAAGGTTTTCATCATCTTTACATATTTCACTGAGCAAATGCAGGATAATCGTCAGAGAATATTAAATTGTTGTAGTAGCCAATTTGAACCCGTGGTATCTGATATTATTGTTACAGCTTATACCCCCCTCCTCGGTCGTCCAAGTATAGAAACATAGTGAAAAGTTCATTGCGACCAAGCATAGCTTCATAAAAAACAAGATATTTCCCAAGTCCCATATCGTAAAAAAATAGTTTCATAAGTTTTTTTTTCTCTTCTTCTTTCGCGCTCTCACTAAATCATGTGAAGCTGTAGTCTGTCTCCCGTAGACTCGCGCAACTCATACATGCCGACATGGCCCTCCAAATCACCAACGTTCAAGAATTTTCCATCTGCAGAGAAGCAGAGCTCTGAAACTCGCGAAAGGTCATCGAACTGTTCGAATCCGGGGCGGGGAGTGTAGTCAATCGCCAATGCCTCTGGATCTGGCCAGCTCCAAACCTCCTTGCCAGTCATGACATCCAGAATGACAATGCTGCCTCGAGCGCCAATGTCGGTTCCGGTGGCGGAGACATAGGCTACAAAGCGACAATCCGGCGACACGCACGAAATCGTGTTGGGAATGCCAAAAGTTCGCGTCGAGTTGGCTGCAAGATCCCAGACCAGGACATATCGGTAAGGGACAGCGACGGGACTGAGATTGAAACCAGAGCCACCATTTGTAGCGGGAACAGCGCGGAAAGACGCGGGAATCCAGATGGACACGACAGCGCTTCCGTAGGTGACCAAGTCACACGGAATGGCTGTGTCCAGTTCCTTGTGTTGCCATGGCCTGGCGATTCGGTATGGCTTGTTTTGGCCCTCGGTGGTGTCCCACGCAACTAAGAGCGTCTCCTTTTCAGGGGGAGGATGGCCTTGACGTGGAGGACGTGGTCCAGCAGCAATGACCAGTAGAGGGCTCGTCGTTGATAGTGCGAGTTCTGGGTACTGAGGCATGAATGGTAGTTCGACGTGATTTAGGTTGATGGTTCGCGACTTGACAAAGGGCTTCTTCTCCGGCGTCGCCTTGTAGAGATCAATGACGTTCTTTTCGCCGCCATAGATGGCCAAGGAGCACAAGGCTCCATCATATGACTCGATTTGGGCAGATGTCCAACGATCAGCATCATCAATTGACTGCAGGCACTTCTTCTTGGCCCAGTTCCAGATCTCAATGTATCTGCCAAAGCGGGTGGCAATAGCAATGAGATTGGTGGGCTCTGCAAGAATAGCGTGACTGCGAATGAGATACTCGCGAGAGCGGGACTGCGCTGCCGTGTAAGAGGTAAACTTGATAACTTGCTGCACAGTTCCTCCGGCCGTTGACCAGACCTTGATGATGTTGTTTCCGTGCTTGGTCGCTATGGTGGAGAGAGTGGAAGACATGTCCAGGAAATGGATAGGGCCATTCTTCTTGTCGTCTGACTGAAGGAGCTTCCAGAAGACAACTTCAGCTGGGCGAGACGACCGCCGAGGTGGAGGAAGAGCTTCGGAGGGATCTGGGGGTTTGTAGAAACTGGCAGGGAATCTGTTGTTACGGCGAGGTGGCGGCGAGAAGCTGACGGTGGTGGCATCTGGAGTGGAGGCGGTTTGCGAAACTTGAGAGGAGCGGTGGGTGCTGATGGACGACCTATCTGAGGAATCTCGAGAGGGCACCCGGTGAGTGGCGGTTTTAGGAGGAGGAATTGCCGGCAAGGGCTTTGAAGGAGCAGGATAGAGGCTATATCCTGAGGCGTAGTAGCTGGATGATGCGTTGGACAACTTGCGTTGTGAGTTTAGCGATTCTCGTCGACCAGTCAAGGGCCGATCCCTGGACGGCGGGCGACGGGGCAGAGATCCTCTTGAGTCTCTCTGCAAGGGCATGTGGTATTGCTCGACGACGTCGTCGCTCTCCTCAAGCCATTGCGCGACGGCCTCGCCCTTGGACGGGGGAGGCACAGGGAAGTCGCGAGTAGCCGCGTGATAGCGAGGTTCTGTGTTCATGATGTCTGAGTTTCTTTGAATATCTCTGCTGGGGTCAAATGATGTGGCATTATGCCGGGACGATTGGGTTGAACCATCAGTGTCAATACGACGCAGGGTCTCACTGGATTATAAAGAAAAAAAGCAACTGCATTAGCCTCATGGATCCCTGCGGTTCGAATAGGTAGCGTAGGCTACCGGCGTGGTTTGACCAGACCGGTCGAGCCCCAGATCAAGTCTCAAGGCTAAACAGTAAAGGGGGATGAGGCAGACTCACGCTATCCGATCCAGATCTGTAGCAAACGGAGGAGGCTCCATGTTTGTTGGCTGGGCTGGGGGTGATTTCGGCGGTGGGACCTTGATAGCGGATAAACAGGCCGAGGTGGTGTAGCAAGAAAAGAGAAGAGAGAGTTGTCTTGTTTTCCCCGCGGGGTTGAACAAACGGGTGATGGCGGAAGACGAAGGTTTCGAAAAGTGGCTGGACTATTTCACGGGGAGGAAATGACAAGTAATAGTTTCTCGCTTGGCGACTCAGGTTCCAGTAGGAGCTGAAGAAGAGGGGAGTGTCTTCCTGGCTGGAAAAGCGACGGTGTTGACAGCTCGACCAGGGTGGCTTCCAAGAGGGTGGCTCGCAACAACGAGTGGCAGCAGGGACAGGCTCCTGAGGCAAAAAGGCGTCTTCCTGGTTGTGAAGGGTAAAGTGGCAGCAATAGCTGCTGTCGAAGGAGATTGTCAAACGAAAATAAATGAAAAAAACAGAAAAGCTTCAACGGATGGTGTCTAAGCCAGCCGTGGACTGGAACAGCCGATAGCTTGGGGAAAAAAACCGGACCGAGAGCGCATCCTCCGCTAAGAAGAGTCGGTAGCAGACTATAGCACACGAAGCTGGCGGTGCTTGGATGGAAATGGAGAGGCCTGATGGGGACGCTACGGGACCCATGTCCAATATGTATGAAGATTGGTGGTGAGCTCCGTATGGGGAAGTGATTCTGGCGATGGCTGCTCTCCAGACCCTCCAGTCGGGGCCCCAATTTCGCTCGCCCAGACGCCACAACGCCACTAGGCCAGCCCAAAACCCATTGGCCGGAGACAAGGGCTGCGTAGGTTTTTGATAGGTGCAGGCAGGCCTTTGGCGGGACCCCTGGCGCCAGTTCACCCGGGGGCTCGCTCTCTGGGCATGTTGCTTTTTACCCGATGAGGGAACCAAGTCCAGCCAGTGCCCATTTTGCGAGGGCCCTGCAGCAGCGTCGAGTGACACAATACCTAGAATGTGTGTGTGAGTGAGTGAGTGAGTGAGACATGCAGAGCTCAGCGTGTAGTTCATGCGTGGAGGCACACGTAGATCGCTTTCCTGTTGCAAACACTCGGCTACACGTCCATCACGAACTCTTGTCGTTTCAGGAACTGGCCTAGCAGTCTTCTCAGGTCATTCCGGCGCCACGGAAGCCTGCCGCGGACAGCAGTCATGCATTGACGGCGGCGTTCTATCGAGTATAGGACAAAGTATCAAACATGTGTCTTCTAAGCACAGCAGCCAGGCCGAGCAGCACCAACTTCCAGGTTCTCTCCGCACCAGCGAGGTCCAGCAGGCGGCTTGTGGGGTGGCCTCTCTTCCGTGGAGGGACCGGTCAAGCGTTGACGATTCAGCCGGCCAACCAGGGTGGTCCATCAGCTGCTTTCCGGGGTCTCGCTCTCCAGCCGCCTGCCCTAGCTTACAAGTACTTGTTGCCTGGGCCATGAAGAGGATGAAATCACGGTCGTACAAAAGAGTGGCGATGCAAGGCTGTAGGACCAGTGGCAGCGGCTCGTCGTCTTGTCTGACAGCTATTCAGAGACCAGCCCCCTGGAGGGTGAAAAGGTCTAGGAGCGAGATGCGCTGCTACTGGCGCATTGCGGATGTGACGACCGCGGATCTGCCCTCCTTCGTGCCGGCCTTGTCCTCCACACAACCGTTGTGTTTGCAGCCATCCTGTCACAGAAGGCTGGTGAAACGATAGCTCACCTGGTGCCTTACAGCGAATTCCAGAGACAGAAGCGGAGAGACGAAAAAGACGACAGCCGAAGCGAGCCATGGGTGAAGGGAATCCATGCTCTTCTCATTGTCTCCCGCGCGTAACCGGTCAGCCCTGTACTGAGGAATCGCAGAATTTGATAACGTGACGCCAATGATTGCTAGCAAACCATCTCGAGTCAGGCCACCCAGCAAAGTACCTGCTCTAAACAGTCCGGGCGCGCAGACTATCAAGAGCCCAGGTACGGATACTCGTATAAAGCATTACATGTATATGCACTGTACTGGTCTGCAAGGATTCTATGGACTGCTTCGACTTTACTCATCACTGGGGCCATGGCACCGGGGTAGCATTCACATGTGCCCGGTCAATGGGATCTTCAGTCGGCTGTCTTAGATGCATCTTCTACTTTGAACTGGTATAATGGCTTGGCCCAGACACCTGGCCCGGCTACATCCGCAGACCACTACGCCGCGGATTCCCAAATGCAAGGCAGAGAAAAATTTTCTTTAATTTCAGCGTCCCCTTCATTTCACCGGGCCGCACTATTACGTATCTACCGTGCTGTGGCTGTCGGGAGCAGAACGTGGCGTTTTGCTTATTAGCGGCAGCTTCACATGCAGGTGGGTATCACGGCCTGCGTGGGAGCCAGACCTAACACCACTAGAAGAAGCACTATCCTTTCTGTCCTCGGCCTACTGCTAGTGGAGGTGGCCTCTAGTGCTTCGTATGTGTTCCATTGCGTTTTGCAGAGGCCGGGGCGCGTCCCCAAAGCTCAGGTCATCTCCATCAAACTCCATCCAAAGGGGACTTCCCCGCCAGCCCGCCCGTTTAGCTGCTCCGATATATAAGAGAGCCAATAGTGCTCTGTGCTTGTGGTGTAAGTGCGAGTGCAGAGTTGTATGTGCAGAGTTGCGAGAGCCATGATTACGGACCATGGATTACTGGTATTGTACTGGCATGGCACAGAGCAAGTTTGCTAGGCCATTGTGAGGCTAGCCCAGCTGTTCAGGATTATCCCATGGTGATGGATCGGTCAAAAGCTGACTGTCAGATGCAGCAGATAGAGAGGCCCTACCATGCAAGCCTCCCTGCCCGTTACGCCGTGCATCAGAGCATCGCCACCATCACTATCGTGGTCTATATCTGGGGGTCTCCTCCCACTATATTACAAGTACTCTTACCACTGCTATTGTATGCCAGAGCTACTTTGTAGACTATACATGCTCTAAATTAGTAGCTCACGGCGTCTGTGCACAGCGTCTCGTACACATGGCAGGGAAATTGGACAATATATCGTGGGTGACAGGGCTCCGCAGCCACCGCCAACAGCATCGTGCCAAGGTGCCAAAGACGACTGCGTAAGATTGTCTTGAAATTCGTTTCTCGTAGAATTCGCCAATGACAGCCTTGCGGCCCCCCGTTGGGCTGAGCCCAAGTTGCTCTTTATCAAACGGCTGCTCAACGCACCTAACAGAGGTGTGCCCCGTCAGCCCACATCGGAATCCTACAGCAGGTTGGCCGCTTGGGATTCGGCTCAAAGAGAAAACGAAAGAGGTGTGTATCCGCCCCAACATTCGGGCCAGTTCTGGTTCTGGCTGCATCCCGCTTCATCAACTCCAGGGCCGCTACTCGGCGGTGTCCACTCACACGACTTGCAGATGACATGAACTGCGGAGAAATAGCATCTACGCCGCTGTATTGCTTGTCTGGAATTCTTTTCTGCATCTGCCTTCACTTGCCACGCAGCATGACGGTATCATTGAAAACCTCGACAAATACGACGTACCCATTTGGAGTATATATTTGCACCAATAGCACCACGCCGAGGACATTGAATTGACAACACCACAATTCACATCGCTGCCTGCGAGCATCTGAATCCAACGCGGAGGGCTCCGTATAAATTATATTAACCCCACTCACTCTTTCTTTCCTCTCCAACCCGTCCCTCAAGCCATCGTCCAGAGGCTGAGTCTCGGACGCTTCTCTGGGACAAACACCTCTGATATAAACGTATACTTGGCGCTAAGACGCTTGAGGCTGTTGCGATGTGAGGCCACCATCTTCAAAGCAAAACACTCTACAGCGAAGCTTGTCCAACCTTGTTGCCATGGCCAGTTTCAAACATTCATTTCCTTTCTGTGGTGTGGCATCGCATGTCACCCTAGAACAGGAGCAGCAGGCCTGCCTCAGTGCGCGCATTCTTTTGCGTCTTCCTGCTCGGCCAACAGCACCGACACTCCCCTGCTAGAGTGGCATTATTCAGCAGGGTTCAAATGTCTTGAGCAGAGGCAAGTCAACGAGGGATCCCACGTTTCATTGTTCCATTCCGCCCTTCTAGATTGCCGTAGGATGGCACTACCAACCCGCAGAGGCGGAATACCAGTACGACTACGGCGTAGCAGCAGCAGGAAAGCTGCATTGTGCACTAAAAGGCCTGTATCGTCAGCACCATCAGGCGCGGCGCCGCCACGGGCTCTCGACTCGGCCCGCGCTACGAAGCACTAGATTGAGCAGAAGCTGGGATGCTGAGGAAGCAGAAGAGTCTAATGTTATAGGGGCATAAGCTCTGTAATGAAGAGAGTTTCTCATCTGTCAGCTTATGGCTCGGCACATCGGTCACATTATGTGATGTGAGCCTGTGAAGCCAGCCGAATTCTTGTAGTGGTTGCTGACGGGACGGACCGACCGGGAGATTTGACGCTGAGTGAGAATCATCACCATTGACCGGTCGTAGAAGATTCTGTCAACAAAAAGTGTTGAAAAGTTAATGAATTCTTTGGTTTAAAATGACAAAAACGTCGCTAGATCAGACTCAGTTAAAGCTACCAAATGAGTTATCAACTTCGTTTTAGACCATGGCCGCTATCTGGCAAAGTAGGACCCTATCTGCATGCATGCATGTGGAGAGCC